TAATTAAATTTAAAATTTAAATATATATATTATATTTATTGAAGTAAATATTTCATCTTCATCAATAATTCCATTAGTAAATAAACTGCGGCAACGCAAGGTACACAAGTAGGGAAAAAATGCTGAGAATGCGATACAACAAAGAAAACAAAGATTGCCGAATCTGAATTATCTAAAAATAAAATAATTGAGATTTCCTCATTCTATCTTGCCACCCTGAAGAATAATCTTACATGCTTTACTGTTTTATCAATCCTAATTAATAAATCAATCTTACTGTTTTATATGTCCTGCGCGTTAGATTCAATATTTGTAAAAGTCTCATTTTGCCCCGACCACACCCCCTAGTCTCGAGGGGGTGTGGCGCAGCTCGGGAACATTTACTTTAACTCTATTTCATCCATGGATTCAATTTTTGTAAAAGTCTCATTTTGCCCGGACCACACCCCCTGGGAGCGAGGAGGTGTGGTCCGGTTGGCCCCAAAATATGACGGGATCGTAGGGTCATACGTATGATACCGCAAACCGATATTTTCAAAGTTCACAACCAATAGTTGTATATATATTCAAAATATATATAATTTAATTTTTGACAAACTCCAAAGAGTTACTTTAATGCATAAATATGTTGCACATTCCAATATATCAATATTTGAATATTCAATATTAAACGTAGGAAGTAATTTTGAACAAAAACTGACCAGTTGTTAAAGTTATAATTGCACTACGTCCTTTTACAAGATTTTATTGTGCACTTACGTCTTTTTCGAATTAATGCACGACTGTACTTACGTCTTTTTCGAATTAACATACGACTGCACTTACGTCGTTTTCGCATTAACACACGACTGCACTTACGTCGTTTTCGAATTAACACACGACTGCACTTACGTCGTTTTCGAATTAATACGACGATATGTTTTAATTTCGGACGATAAGGATAAACGAAATTTGCTTATCTGAGAAATTGACAAGTACCATGATAAGCCCCGTGGCATTAATTTTCTACTGGATATTATTATTATTAATTCTGATAAGCTCATGTTTTTAATTTGGGGCGATTAGACAGTTAAAATATCGCAAATTTTAAGTTCAGTAATTAGTGGCTAGAGTTTGTTACAGCTCTTGCGATATAAGATGGCCCCCACAGCAACTTTGACCCCCAAAAATCTCATGGTTCCAGTCATTTTGCTTCGGACAACAAAAGCTGAAAATGTAGCTCTTTTATGGTAGAAAAATCTGGCATCAGATTGTCAGCCGCAAATTGACTGGAACCATGAGTTTTTTTAATGATTTATGTTTAGGTAAAAAAGCGCGAATTTTCTAATTTTGAAACTTTTCATGCGTCAAAATGCTCGTATTCATGGGGGAATCCAAATTGCAAATGCAAGTTGAGGTCTGTCTAATTCTTGTTTTACGGAGTGTACATTGACTTTCTCATTTTTTCTTCCCCCATTTTTGAAATTGGGGTAGATAAACATATTTCAAAAATTGTCGTGTCAAATATATCCTTGCACCCGGAATTCAATTTGAAATTTTTCTTATCAAAATCGGTGACATCGATGCGAAAAACATTTGCACAGTTGGGTCGGCCTTGCTCATTTTTTAATTAGGACGTGTGTAATCTATTAACCATGATGAAAATTAAGAATGAACTAAATTATTCATTCATACTTCATAAATAGTTAATGAATAAATATTTCATCAAAATTCATAAAGTTTGAAACAAATTATTCATATATTATTCATGAAATTGAATAATAAATGTTTAATTTATTCATTCTTTATTGAATAAGTGATGATAACCAACCAGGTACTGTGAATAAGGTGGCAATCCGTGATTTACGCGACACATTGGAACGTTCCTTAGTACGACTTTTCTCAACTCCTTTAGCTACTAACCGGTTCTACCTGATTCGTTCTGCCCTTGGGTCCGGAAGTCAGAAGTGGGCACATGGTTTGCACGCGTCAAGTTCTAGATTCCCATACATTTATGTAATCCATCGGCTCATATATGTAAATTCAAGATAGCCTGGTGATAAATTCCAACCTTGCAGAATGAGGGTGATGTGCAACGATTACAATTTGTCGCCGATTGGTATCAATAATATCAAACAAATATAAATAATTTGTACACACTATTTGAAAATCTGTTCGAAATCATTACTGACCGGAGTAAATATTTGACTATTTTTGTAATATTTGACAGTAATGCCCGTAACGGGCATTACTGTTTAGTTGTGCCGTGGTAATGAAATTTACCAAAAAATACTGCCCGTTTTGTAATCGGTTATTAGAAAATTAATACAATATGGAGTATATTTTGACTCTACAAGATTTTCAAATGCATAAATCTGGAAACAAATTTGAATTTTGCGGGTATTATTGTTGCCATCTGGCGAAAAATTAGAATTGCTGCGGTAGCACATGCATACATAATTTTAGTTATGACAGGTTGGTGATTTATTACCACGCTATGTTGAATGCACTTAATTACAGATTTTGTCTTACAAATATTTTTTGATAAATCTCGTATATACGTGGTCATATTTTCTTAGCAATTCCGACCTAGCCAACATTATACGGATTCGTTCTGGAAGTTGGATGTAGTTCCAGGAACTCAATTTTACACCATTTATCAAACTATGACCCAAAGGTCGGGCAACATCCGATATACCGGGTGAGTTAAAGGGGATTTGTATGTACACTCTTAGAAATGGGGTTACGATTATAACCAAAAAGTAAACGTATGTGACTCAACCGCCCTGGTTATGAATTTGTCACCAACTGGTTATAAATTTATCAGCCCTGGTGACAATTTAACACCAAGTCGGTGAAACTTTATTATTAGTCGGTGACAATTGTAACCACTCGATGACAAATTCATAACCACGGCGGTAGAGTCACATATGCTTACTTTTTGGTTATAATCGTAACCCCATTTCTAATAGTGTACAACGCTCTAAATAAAGTTGGTTACAATTTACTCAAGGTTGGATCTTGTAAATACACTCTTAGAAATCCAGTATTAAAATAATACCCAGCGGTATTCATATACATATAACTTTACCAAAGTGATATTAATCAGTAATACCGTGTGGTAATATTTCGGTATTAAACTTTTACCAGATTGGTAGCCAATTTCTACTGTCCGGTATAATTTTAATACCAAGTGGTAGCAAATTTAATGCCTAGAAATCAACCTGCGTGACTTAATATACCAGGTTTCTAACACTGAACTTAATAAAGAGTTGAAAGTGCATTTACTTTGCAAATGGTATCATTATTTTTAAGAGTGCATTTGGTAACAAATTGTAACCAACTGGGGATGAGCATCACATGGGAAAAAAAGGATGCATTTTTGTTACCACACGATTTTGATGTATTTCACGCTTGATGTAATTTATAGAGTGGCCAACGATATCGGAATCGAGCTGGATCTTGTCACGCCTAATAATTCTGTTTCCGCACAACGATGGGGATTTGTCAGGTGTCCGGCCTGACAGGTGAGGATTCAGACAATCTGGTGTAATGTCGATACTAAATTTACATTTTACGCAACACGGTTGTTAAAAACTTTTAAAAGATTTTATGGAAGCGTCCAAAATCAATAAATTCAGATTAAGATTAATTTACCTGAAAATCCATCATGCGTGAATTCATTAGGGTTTCCATGTTTTTTTTCCATTTTTTCATAAATCGACAGTAATTCGACTTTGAAGAGTATTGTGTAGATTATAAATAATTAGTTTGTTAAAAGTACAATATTTCTAATGTGAAAAAAATGTGAACAAAAAAATATGCATTCATGTGGAATGGGCCAACTGCAAAAAATCTGTATAATCAGAATTTGCATTATGTATGTACATACATACCTAAGTACATTAATATGCAATCGTATTTAGCTCAAATGCGTATTACCATGTAACTTACTAAACTTGTGCATTTCATTTCTTGAGGCCTATTTTAAATGGATACGAAGAACGATGCCTGCACAATGTGAATTCTAAAGTAGTCAGGAATTTTGGTTAAAATACTGCCGAACATTATACCAAATACTTGGCAAAGTAAAAATTTACCTTGCGTATTCAGCTTATTTTACACATTTCATGGCTCATCCTCAGTCCTTTCTCCATATGGAATATTTATAATGTGAGTAAAATGCATGCAAGAAATTTTTATAATAGTGAAGCATTCAACAAAAGTATTTTTAGTCAAACCCTTTCGTAGCAAGAGTCATGCATAAGCAACGTCACCACAAGTACATACATACCCATTCATACATACCTATATTTCTTTATCAATATCCTGCCGAAGATTATGTATCCAAACCTCTCGTGGAAAAGTATTTACTTACAAATTTGAATATGTACCTTTCATATCAAACTTGTAAAATTATTATAAACGGTTACGGGCTTCTCCTGAGTTCTCTTGGCTCTCTCCCCACTCTTTAAAAGTAGTTAAATGGACTCTGAATTCTATATTAGTAAATTTTGCACACTAAATAAATTCTGTAATCTCAATAAATTTATGACATAATTGTTACCGGCAGAGGTACTATAAGATTCAACCGCATCGTAACACTCTAGTAACAAGAATTGCCTCCGGAAACCGTAATATTTTATTACCGTTGACATTGGGGGCTGAGCAGGACTTAGCCTAGTATGCATGCACCCTTTCGTGATAAATTATTACCGAAACCGTGAATTTCTAAGAATCATGTCAAAAAATTATTGAGAGTACAGTTAACTTGGTAAATAAATTCAAATTTACCCTGCAGTCGTTTAGTTTACTTAATTTATAATTCAGCATGCATTTACATACTTTTCAAAAGAGTAAAATTATTTCCAAGCGTGTGCATACATTTTCCATGCAAACCTTATGAGTGTCATATTATGTACATATTTATGTAGATATGTACATGATGCCATCCTTGATGCACAAGCTCTGACGGAACTACACGATCGTAGAGGGCTAAATTCGTACCAACTGGGTTCTGCCTCATTTAACATTCCATTCATTCCGGAGAAATCCATTCTACAACCAACGGACAGATGTGGCCATTTCTAATTCAACCATGCTTTTGTCTTGACATGGCTTAATTTTATTCCTCTAAAATGTGAAGTTTCTTTAATTTTAAATAAAGTGGGGGGTTTGTTGTGGGGTGAAGAACACTAGTGCTGCTAGAATATCATAGCTTCAAGTTGAACAACATGAATTCATGGTAAGACCTAATTTGTTGGAAATTTTACAGAATATATACATATATGTATATTTACTAAAAATTACAAATGCACAAAGTAATTCGTTAATTAATATTTTTCGTATTTTTTTATTAATTCAGACACTTGTAAGCGTAAGCGCACAAAGAAATTAAAACCAGGATTAGTACACACATTGGTTGTTAAAATGGTACATAATTTTTAAATAAAATTGAATTCATATCGTGTTTTATTTTTATCTATGATTTGCGAAGATAGAAAAGCGTAAAAATTTGTGGTTTCTTATCCAGCAAGGTGATTGATACGTAAAATTGTGAAGCTTGATAAAGCTTGGACTCCAAAATGGGTTAAGACTGCACATCGAAAAGGTATTTAATTTTGAGCTGAAATTAATTTAATCACATAAATTTATAATGATTAAGTTTACTAATGTGTACGTACGTATTTCCTTTTATCTGATAGTTTCTATAATTATAATCTCCATCCAATTCCATTCTCAAATTGAATACAAGTTCGAATACAAATTAAGCTAAACCGGTGTGCGAAATATTCAATATTTCTTTTCGTGAGTAACTACAAATTTACAAAATCTTATGTTAAATATTTCAACAGTAATAATAGTAATTAATTCAGTTTGCATTTATAGATTGACACTATATCTACAAGAGTACATATAACAATGCGGATCGTAATTGGAAAAGAGTGTGCAAAGAGGTCAGAAAGACGAGAAAAATTGCGAAAATGGAGCCGATAACCTTACAGATTACTAGATAAGATTTAATTTAATTTAGTTAGATTTAAGCTAGGATATTAAGGTGTACAAATTATTGTAAATATTCTTCCTTGCTCTCCACTCGACATTTCATTGATATGTAGCTACATTATCACAACACAAACCACAAAATCCTTACCATAATTTGCCATATATAAATAGCGTAAAATATATGTGTATTTTACGCTACAAATACATGTACATTTACGTACATTGTCTTTCTCTTAAAATTAAAAATTTAGGGCTAACTTTCCCAATTTAGGGAATTCTTAATTAGCGTTATTTTGAATTTGTAGGTGAAAAACTTGAAGCACAATTTTTCTGGGTTCTATGCCATTCTTAAAACAATTCCTTTAGCAAAAAAGAATTTCATTTTGCGGAGTAGTATTCACAAAAGTAGTCGGACTTTTGTGTGCCGGATTTATTCTTGTGGCCCAGCTGGCGAAACGCCACCTGGTAGAATCTACCATCAGTGCATAAGGGACACACGTTCAGCAATCCGGAATTATAAAATAATATAATTATTCTCATTTTGCAAAACAAAAGAGCTAGTTGCGTATATGTATACATACACAATTTCACAATTGTACGATAAAATGATTCACTCAGAACTCGACTTTTTACGAGTTTTGATGGTTAAAATATGCGGGTCCGCTTCATGTTTCTAACGTGATGCTTGTTCTTGGGCCTAATTACCTTGGCTGGTTTGTGGTTTATAGTCGGCGTCTTATATATAACATGCATTAAACTTATGCACATTACAAATGCCAGGCTACGTTTCTATTGAATCTCAAACTGTTTCTGCACTTATTGGAACCTTTTAGATGGCACACCTGTGGGACAATTTCTATTCAAAGTTGCAAAGCTCGACGTTATTGTCATATTTAAACAGATTTACATGGAGAACAGCGTTGTTTGTTTCCCCCATAGTCGCAATAGCTACATATGTATGGGTATGAATGGGCCACGTTCATGTTTGTTGGCGTACACGTTACAAATACCACTCGGGATCATTTTAATGGGTCCAAAAGTGCTTATAATCTGCCTCTACAGATACATCATCCGTCAGGTTCAAACCAAACCAGTTCCTGGCCGAATTGCAAAAAGAAATTAAGTACTGTGTTGAATATCCACAACTAAACGCAAGCAGCAGTTTATGAGTTGTAATCATAGAGCTGTTATGGATGGAATAGACAAGTATTCCCTCGGCACCCGTGGCAGAACGGCCCATTTTCGCAACCAGACAATGGGAAGCCACACCTGGGCCAATGATAATAGGGCAGACAAGATTGGAGTTGATTGATCAATTTTAGATCAGTGGTATCAACTTTACCTCTAAGGAGTAGGGATTTGGAAAAGAATTTCGTATTTTTCTTTGTTCTTTGATTGTGTCTGCTTAACACGTGTAGCCACATGTTGTCGCGTTTCACCGATCTTCACTAGGTTCAGATCGTTATTTATTGGTGGGTTTGACCACATTGACCTAGCTTTTCTGTATACGTACACAATGCCCGGCCCATCAAGTTCTTGTGGGTTTAATATAGCCGGTAACGGTCCTTTGCTCCAGCGAAATTTTGCATCGGAAGTATGGGAGTCTTGCTGCAATGCTGCAGTTCACTGTATGTACAATAATTCACGATTATAAAGAAGCGTACAGATATCTACTTGACGGAAATTATCTTACAAATTGTCTAGTATCGGCGAATTTTTCCAGTACGAAATTGGAAGATTTCTATAATAAGATTTTCTGATTCTAAATTCTGATAAGTTGTGGAATAAATCTTAGTGGTAGTGTGCATGAAATTTCAAGTCGCTAGCAAGCGAAATGATAGCTATCATGGCCATCCAAGAGGAGGAGACCATCATAAGAATATTCTTCTTGATTTGTTGACGAATAGAATGCACCTTTGTACATAAGAACGTTTTCGTACAGTAACTTCGCTCTTCGTGGCATATATTCAACTTGGTTGATAGATTTATCCATCCAAACTTTGTTTGTAAGTGCTTTAACTGCTACTACGTCCGTCCCATAGGAGCTTGAGAGAGTTGGCCATGTTGATCGATTTCGGGCATGGATATTCTTCATGTTCAAAAAACCAGTCTTTCCGGGTGCAATAATGACGATTCGCACCAGAGTCATGAAGTCAAAGATAACTCAGTTCGACCAGCCATGTAGGGTCCTTAATTTATCATAAAATTTCTGTACTTTCTTGGCTGAATCTTTCAAAGTGCACTAAATTTTCCATTGTCACTTTAATTTGCACAAGTGACATTGACTGCTTTTATGTCTTCAATACGTGGAGCATTTTTGTAAGTCTCTCGACCTTCTAACTCCCAGATTTTTAACCTGGCGAAAAGAAGAGCTGATGTTGTTTCACAATCTCACTAACGTCCAAGAGTCTCGAAATTGAGCAAAGGTATTAATCAATATGCTGAAAATAATATTTGCGACCTACATCTCATCAGCAACTACTGCTCCCATACTTTGTAGTTTAGATGCATAATTTGGAATTTCTATCATAATTTTAACTAGTGACTTGTCTTGGCTCACCATGATTTACTTAGCCATACTTCTTTTGCTACAAAACTTGTTCGAATCCCCATTAATACTTTGATACGCGGTGTTCAATTTGTTTCAAACTTCATGATCCGGATCACAACTAAATCGACTACACCTCGGCTTCAGTCAAGCACATATATGTATTTATGTACAATGAAGTCATAGCTTAATTTTTCCTTTTGATCCGGTTAAATTTGAGGCTCGCCTGCAGGTCCAGTGGATGTTCCTTCAACTTTTTCTAATAATTTGTGTTTTTAATAACGAAACGCAGAATTCTGTTCAGTAGAACAAATTACAAAAATTTGCGTTACGCCATCGCGGGTGTGACGTAGTATTCAATAAATTCAGCTTTGTTAATATACATAGGTCAGTTTTATATAAATTTCTCTCTTTGGTAGCTTCAAGAAACCTCAAAATTTTGCATGTCTAACTTAGCAAGACATTCAAAATAGCGTTGAGATTTTTTATTTTGTAGTTAAGAAATCCTCATGACAAGCTGATGAAACGTAATCGTTTGCTTCAATAAAATACGTAAAGCTACGACTTAATAGCAACTAAAGCAATTATGAAGGTTGCGTATGAATTGGACGCTACTTCCCTACAAAATGACCCTTCCAGAAGGACGTTTGTAACCTTAATCGTGATATGATTAATGGAAAGTTTAGATAATTTATATATAACCACTGATTTACTTGTCATTGTAAGATTATTAAATCAGTTTAAATTCAATCAAATATTTTTCCTTCCTGACCGTTAAAGCTTATTGCTTCTTCATATTTCGTGGTAAGGTTCCACATTAAACTATCAATATTTATTTCATTGAGCGGGAGTAGTGACTCCCATAGTTTATGATTGACCTAAGCGGCATTAGTGCAGCAGTTAAACAAATAGGAACATAATCCATCCTTATTTCTACTAGTTTTGTCATAAAGCTAGCGATAAAAGTTAGTAATTACTTAAATATTTGAAATAAATCTAAACATCGTTAATTCAATTGTTTAAGTATTTCCTTGAAGTTTTATCGATTCGACATGTCCTCTTTGTCCTGATGCTTTAGTCCCCCCATTTGTGTTCGAGGCACTGGGTTTTCCTGCAATGCGCATAGTTCTAAATTCGTGGTTCGACATACAATGGAGGTCTCCCAACGTATGCTCACAGATTTGGACCAAACTAGCGTCAATCGATCACAAATTTAATTAGTATGAAATTTGCAAATGGAACTATCTGCCAATGCGCAGGTTTCGCGGAGATATTTGCATCAAAAGAGGAGAAAACGCACCCCCAAGGCTGGCAAATTTTTCATTTTCCAAATTTGCTGCTCATTTGTTCTGTTTTTATGCAAATATCTACGTCAAACCTGCGCATTGGCAGATAGTTCCATTTGCAAATTTCATACTAATTAAGCTTGTGATCGATTGAGGCTAGTTTGGTCCAAATTTGTGAGCATACGTTGGGAGATCTCCATTGTTATTACACGTCACGGTTGCTGATCACTTCAATTTTATGGCCTATGCTGGTTTGAGTTGAAATTTTTTCTTTTTGCTTAGACTGACGATGCAGTGAGTATTTTTCACGTGAAAAGTAATAGTGTTGATATTTTCGAGTTAAATTGTTCCTCAATTTTTTATACATATGTATGTACGTATGCTAATGAGATGATTATCATCTAAAACAAATCTCAAATTGACATCAGTAACTTCGAAATGAATGTAGTTTAACGGGATACTATGTGCATAGCTTCACATTAAAAAATTTACTATTGTCAACTCACACTTGGCTACATACAAATGCGATAAATGGGAATTAGTTTTACCCTGCACCGAACTCTTCTATTCCTTGAGTGAATCAGAATAACAAATACGAATACGGTTCTGGTGGCCTTGCAATTTCATCAGAAAAGAATATGAAAATTATTTAACATGTGCAAACCTACATACATATATGTAAATTATAGATTTTCAACTTTTTTAAACATACATACTTATGTTTATGCAGTTAACAATGAATGATTACATATAATTCCATTCAAAACATTGCGCTAAATATGTATCACCCACTAATTTATAAAATTAACAGCGCACATAGCACAAATTAAGACCATGCACATTAATCAGCATGCATATGTAGGCACAACATAATGTAGTGCATGTGATCCTCATTTTCATACATATTAAGGCTAACGCATCGTCAGCCTTAATATGTTTGACTCTAATTGTACATATTTATTGCCGACTATTTATTTATTGACTATAATAGATACATAATAGATATAATATAATATAATATAATAGGTATAATATAATAGATTTATTTATTTATTGACTATTTATTTACTATTTATTGAGGATTGGTAGATAAGCGAGTCGAATTTATTGGGTAAAAATATCAATTCCTTGATATTCTAATTTCTTATATATTTTGTAATACGTAGATACCGTCGATGTTATTGTACTCATGTTGTAGATCTCTTTAGGATTAGATGAATGCATATGTTAAATTTCTTTATTGCATTATATATGCTACAAATTGGGCATCGTCTTTTGCATACATATGTATTTTTTACACAATTTTTTTTACATAACTAAATTTTGTTACAAACTTATTTACATAGTTTAGCTGAATTAAATAAGTTAGTTAATTAATTCAGGTAATTAATTTGTCGGGTTTGTATGTTCTGTAGTCAATTCAAGTCAATTGGTGTTTGTACAACCCTTACTGATATTTGCAGCAATTATTAAGTGTTTAATAATAGCTCAAAATTAATTTAATAATTATCGTATGTAATGAATGATGTAATTCATTATGATAAATATGTACATGTATGTTAAAATTGGAGTAATTGTGAATGAATAAATACAATTATGAAACATGAAACAGTTTTCATGATGTAATGAAATGACTAATGGAGTTATATAATTAAGAAACAATCAATTTACTAGATAGTTGACAAAAACTAGTTCACGTCTCATTTCACATAACTTCTTGCAAATTCCTGAGACCAAGACATCTTTTACGCATGGACGAAACACCTAATTAATTAATTTGCCAGGCTTGCATAGATACAAAGCTTGCATCTATTTTTTCATAAATGTTCCATCGAGAATTTTTTTACATAGTATTTTTATGTTTACATATAATATTTAGAACCGGGTGACGTTTTACACGAAGCATATTTTCTGCTACTTCAATGTTTCTGTTGCTACACATAATTTATGTTGAATAAAAATAATCTGAATTCAAAGACGAGCGTCAATTATTTATTAATGTGAATAATTTTATTAACTAATTTTCATTTGTGAATAAATTGTTTTCAGTAAATTGGTTATAACTATGTATATACTTTATAAATAATTTAATAATTGTAACATGTATTTACGACCTTTATACTCGAGTATCGAGTAATTCATGAAGATCGGACAAAATCTAATGGCAATGGATATTTCAGAGGGTATGTTCCGAATTAGTGTCAATCGATCCCTCATAGCATTAATATAAAATTTCTAAAACACGCCATTATACAGGACTGGTGGAGAAATTTGCATACAAACAGGGGAATATACGGGTTAAAGTTCACACAAATATTACAAGTTTCAAATTCACTACACATTTGTCCCCTCTTTTATTTAGATTTATAGTGCTCGAAACTTTAAATTTCTGTTAATTTAAATTATTTACAACAACCATGGGGAAAATTATATTTATTGAGTCAATCTGAGCTGTATGTTTGTGTTGGTTAAAGGACACCCAATGTATATAAATGCCTGATTGGCAATTAACCTTTGAAAAACGTAACGGTCAGATATTTGTAGACTAAATGTCTTCCAGTTATTTACAATAGAAGCAAGCTGACTGTCTGATTAATGCAAAAATCCTGCGTCACCAACGCCGTCCCTCTGTCAATGAAATTACTCCCAACTTTCATCCTCATCGGTCGCAAGGCTCGAATTCCTCTCCGGTTTACCTTCGTTAATCCCAACTCCTTCTTCCAGTCGGTATACAGATGTTCCGAATTGACGAAAAGCTGCGCCGCGAAAGTTTCAAACACCATGCAGACTGTGAAGCAAGTGAAGATGGCGAAAGGATAGGTCAAATATCCCTGTGAAGGGAGGTGGTGAGAGAGTTTTATGAGCACGAAGGTGCAAAATATTTGAAGTATAGGGGCAGGGCCGTAGGAGAACTGGTTTTGGGTGGAGAGCACTCTCCAGGCCCGACGGCCCGAAGGGCCGTACCGGCCGGGTGGTGCAGACACTAGATATAATTGACCCTCCGAAGTACATGTAGCAGATGTAACTTATACATAACGTTCCTAAGCAGCGTTTACAAAGTTATAAATTGAATCTCGATTTTGTTCACTTCTGAAAAGTTTCAATGATCTCACAATATGAAACAATATTCAAATTTAAGCCTTCCGGGACGATTTCTGTAAATCGGTTAAGGTAGCATAAGATAAATAGTCCTGCAGTTGAAAAATTTTCAAGTTTGAGTTATTAACCCTATCAAACAATTTGTCATATGTAATTGAAGAGGCCGTGACACTATCAATCGAGCATAAATACGTTCGGCATTCTATCTGTGTCGACCCACAATGCCAAATTTCAGTCTCCCACGATTATTTCGAATATTTTGCACTAAATATATGATCCCTACTTCATCAAATATTTTTTGGTCTAACCTAGCTTCAAATTCTTTCATAACAATGGCCAGGTACATATTATTCTTTAATTTGGTCATGATCTATGAACGCGTTCGAACATTTCCGAGCGATAAACTGAATTGCATGCGTTACTTTTTTTCTAGGAGCTTTGATGCACGAAAGTGGGGTGTTACAAATGCAAATACGCATCTATCAAAAAATGGACAAAGAGAAATTGAATTATGGTTTCAACTATAACTAAAACTGTCTTAATGTACATAACTTATTCGATAATTTCTGTTTCGCGAAATTTGCCAATCAAGTCGCATCTCTGGAGCATCCAAAATCGGGAGATTTTTAAAACCGGTTTGTAGTAGAAGTTTTGGCAAATTTAAGTAACCCGGTTTTCCATTTTGGAAACACGGTTCTAACCCGTTTTTTAAAAGCCCTGTATTGGTTAGAATTTAAAAAAAGTTTGTCAATACAGTAGCAAGCTATAATTTAATTTAAAATTAAAATTAAATATGAACTTGAGATTTTCGGAATTCATAATTTGTGTATATCAGAAATTAAAAATATTTTTGATTAGATAAAGATTAGATTTAGATTTAGATAGATTTTTGATTAGATATTGTGATTAGATAGGTACAGTTCTTACAAAAATATAGACTTAACTCATCAGGAAAATCCGGAATCGATTTACGAATCCCGAATTTTCAAGTACTTTGGAACCCTTAAAATAATGACTGGAAGAAATATGCCCTAGAAAAGTCCTTGGAGGTTTTTTTATCGGGTAAATAGCGATGCATTCTTGAAGTTAAGAACAAGGGCCGTCATATGGAATAAGTTTTGCCTTAAAAAATTCCGCCTGTGGGGTAAAAAAATTGCCAAACCCTTCCACGAACAAATGAGACACCGACTGTATTTGTGACCATAGCCGTAGATAAGAAATAAGCGATAGAAATTCGCTGTATCAATTTTAGCAATTTTGCACATAAAAGGCCGGACGAGAATTTTACTCTCCAGGCCGGACCAAGGACAGAAACGGCACTGTATAGGGGTAGCAATGAGGGTTGCGGGGATCACGCGGGTTGATAAGACCTGATTGAATTTTTTCTCGAATATTTGAACGCTTCGGTATAATTGTATCCGTCTGGTGAGACTAGCACGAATGATGCGATTTACCGGGTTGGCCATCCTATATTAACGGATGTGTCAATCAGTATGATAGTTTCTAAATAAAATGTAGAATTTAAATTTGAGCAAGCCTATCATTATTGGATTGTGCTTGTGGGAAAAATGCCCGTAGGGGCTTAAACTAGCTTTTGTTGAGTGCAAAATATTCACGAATTTTGTGCCATCTGGTGAATAATCCGTATCTTATAGTGTAGTTTGAAGTTCGTACTACAATGCCGTAGTATATTTTTTTAATTTCGTGCACTTTACAACTACTAATTAATTTCGTAGCAATTTTTGCAATTCATGGCACCTGACTAACCTACGCGAGCACAAATCCGTACCTAGCGGTACCTAGCGGTAGATTTTTTGCCAAATAATACCAAACCCATTCAATGTACCTCTTTAATACATCTAAATATTCCAGCATACATCCAGTACCGACAATTGTGACGTTAAACAGGAGGAAAAAAGCTCTCCAGGTTTGTACTACGTTGTGATATCCATCCACAAGTACGACCATGAATTTAGCAAGGTCCCAGACCCGTTCGCCCTTTGGAACGAGGTTTTTCTGACAACTGGAACAATATCCAATCAAATAGCCCAAATATACGGGATTACAAGGGTTTCCGAGTAACCGTCTCATTCTCGTGATTCCCATCCCGGGAGCCATAATGTTCATGAAAAGTAAGACTCTGCGGAGAATGGTGTTGCGTTGATTCCTGCCAGAATTGGGGGAATTAAAAAAATTTTGAAATTATTTACAACCTGGATTTACACCTTGGATGTATCCCCATGACCTTTTGACATCATCTATTTATTTACCTCGTAGTTATCGACGTTTTCCCAGAATTTTTCTCTGCCAGTATATCCAGTTCGGGAAACGTGTTTTGCAGCCATTTTTCAAATTCTATCATCGTATTCAGAAGAACTCACTGTTACCCCATCCCCCAAAGGGACAGGGTAACAGTGACCAGCCACATGAAAATATTGGGCAGCATTGTGTACACGCATCCCGTCTGGTACTGGTCGTGCAGGACAATCGTGATCAATCCAAAGTAACAAAGTTGTAGGATTTGCACAATTTTCGGAATGATCAATTTGCCCCGGGTTTTAACGGGGACGACGCGTTTAGTAGAATTGTCCCATTCGATGGGTAAACCGCGCAAGTACGATATACAAGTTAGGCTCCATTTTATTATTTTAATGTGATCGTGCAACATTTGCACTTTAATTTGGTGATATTGAAATTCTGAAGGCTAAAAGTATACCAATTTTCCAAGTTGTGAAGAGAACAACTACATATCTACATTTTATACGGCTGAGCTCATCACTGCCTGGCGATCCTGGTCTCAGAAAATGGTAGAATTTCAAATTGATGAATTGGTCGCAATGCAAAATTGAACTATGTATGTAGCAGATCGTGCATACGTATACAGATTTTGCAATATTTAGGTTGTGTACGAGTATTTTTTTCTGCTATCGCCCCCTCCAAACATTTGTATTTATAATTTGATGATTTTCGCTTTCAATAAGTGTACTGGGGTATTTTGATGCAGAAAATACGTCTTAAAAAAATCCGCATATCAAGGGTACTATTTGACCCAAACTTTGACCTTTATGTAAAATTCAAATTTTCCAGTCTGTTAGCACGCTATTTTATTCGTCATGCACTATTAGAGTGATAACTTAGTATCAGCGCATAGCTCCCTACCATCAGGAACGAAAATTATGTATGCAATTATGGTCGAGGAATTGAAATTAGAGACATTTTTTCTTAGAGGATTATTTGGCAAATCTTAACAACATCGACTAAATTCGGATTATCATACAAATTGCGGACCGATTTTCAAAATTATAACTTTTTTGGAAACCTTGGATCCATTGGCGAAATACATATTTCCAGATTTTTGAAATTCGACCACACCCCCTCGAAATTAAGGTCACAAGTTCAAAAATTGTATAAAATAAAATAAATAATTACAATGAAATTCCAAAGGAAAAAAATCGTATTGCATGTCTAAAAAATACTCCAACCCCCTGGATACCTTAACCAATGTTCGAGTGGTCACATGCCCCACCCTCAGTGGGTGTGGCCCTAGACAATTTTTCGAATTTTCTTAAATATGGGTTGCGACCTATCATTTCTCTCAGCTCAGTGAAGAGATCCCGATTGAATTATTACAATTTAGAAACCACGCCTCCAGTGGGTGTGGTCCTTAAGGACTTTTTAGTTTGGCAAAATCATGTCATGTGATATGCCAGATTTCAAAGGATCACGGCTTGCTAAATAACATTCAGGCCAACCCCTTGGTCTTGGCCAACTGGGAAGAAAAATGTTGAAGTGCTGTAGAACTAAACTTTTTATCAGTGTTCTATGATCGACCTATGGTATTGAACTACTTATGGTAAAATTTTCAAAATTAACAGGTTCAGAAATAGTACCTGAATTTTTCTCCGCGCGGGCAGTGAAAACTTACTGGGAAGAAAATAAATGCGAACCCTTTACATATTTACTTATCTGTGTTTTGAATTAAGAGGACAAAGCAAAGGACAAAGCAAAGCAAACCATAAGTAGTTCAATACCATAGGTCGATCATAGAACACTGATAAAAAGTTTAGTTCTACAGCACTTCAACATTTTTTAAGTCTGAAAAATTTTGATGCATCCGAAAAACTGTATGACTACGGACGAGCACAAATTTTGCCATATACAAAAAACGGTCTAAGCGACGTAGTATGATGTCGCCAACTATAAAAAACATTGATTAAGCTCAAGATTGACCAGGAAGAAGAAGTTGGGTACTTAATTGCTTGAAAGAGTAAAGTGACTGAAAACTAGCATCTGAATTTGTCTCCGCACGGGCAGTGAAAACTTACTGGGGAGAAAATAAATGCGAACCTTTTACATACTTATGTATGTGCTTTGAATTAACCTCTTTTCACGTAAATACGCGATATGACGTATTTCAAAACATGTCCCTAAGAGACCAAATCCGTCATATCACGTATCGAAAAAAAATCCGTTGTATACCAAATTCATCATATGACGTACCATGACGAATGTCCCTTGAGGACCAAATATGCCATATCACGTATTAAGGCACGAGGCATAAAAATGCAGATTTCTCAAAGTTTCTCAAAATCCGAGTATTTCTTTGGTATTTTGTGGAAAACTCGATGGTAAAAAGTTGACTTTTTGGGATATTTTTCTTCACAAATTCTGGAATTTTCTCTATACCGACCAATGTTAAAAAGTGCAGTTTTCGTGATTTTCGCCAAAAAAACTCGAAACTTGGAAACTGGTATTAATAAATATTGGGATTTTACAGAAAATCATAGAAATTCAATTGGTTGCTACCAAATGTAGTTATGAATTCAATAGCGTACTCAACGGAAATTTTAATCGAGATAAATAAAGTTGAAAGAGGTTAAACAAAATGACGCTTAAAATTATTTCCTGCACACTGAAATGGTAACAAACTGTTTCCAAAGGTTCTGGGGTGATGTAAGACTTTGATGAATTTAGGGTTTTTTAAGCTTGTACATGCCTAGAATAATTATATATGCCACTGAAACTCTTAAACGTTGAGAGCAACTGTCGTTTTTTTGTAAAATCGCAGAACAGGTTTTTGAGAAGTTTGACACCTAATAATTTCCTTGGTCGGTGGTTCCCGACGGACTTTTTTATGGTGCCTATAGAACTCCACTATGACTATCAGGAACCGGAAGAACTAGGTCGGGAAGTCCCGACCGAATGCGCCACACCCTCTCAAAGTTGCCCGAAAACCCATGTTTTCGGGCATATAAAAGGGTATATTTTGGTCAGATATTTTTTTAAGTCCACAAAATTTTGCACCTAAAGTCCATATGAGTTGCTGATTGTAAAAATATAAAAAAATTTAGACCACACCCCCTGGGGGGCTAACCACCCCCACAGGGGGTGTGGTCCCCAAATTTTTTAAAAAGTGTTTTCCATGCCTCCCATGAATTACAAATATGTATACATTTACATAGTTACGCCCCCTACGACTTTTGGGACTTGACCTGGCCTAATATTACAATGTGCGCCGTCGTCATAAATCACGCAAGGTGCTTCCCTAAGAACTAAATTCTTGAGGTGAAAGCGCATTAAATTTAAAGCAGGCAAAAACAGTGAAGTGAAAATGTATCATTTTAAAATGATGCTCAATTGTAATCAATAATTTTGTGTTTCTGGACAACTTATAATTGTATTGTTATATTTTCTCTGGGTTTTCGTATTTAAAATATTTCATTGTATTTAAAAAATAAATTTTACAAATTTTTTTCCTCATTCGGGTTTCCTTATCAAAATTGTATGCGAACTAGTCCAACCACCGCGATAACTAGAAGATAAACTCCATGCTTATCACTGCTCGATCCTCCCGACGTCGTAGCTCGTACCGTGGTGGTGGTCGTCGGTACCGTGGGAAACAATGTACACACGTGTTTCGCCCAACCCACTTCAATGTCGACATTTGTCTGGTACGTGAATCCGTACCCGCGGCGGTACACTTCCTCCGTCGCGTTCAGACAAATCCCGCCAAAACCGCTGTATGATCTTCTATACTGCCAGGAATTTGGTCCCGTGAAAAAATACGACCGCGCCTGTCGTGTCGTCGAGTTGAGTGGGGCGGTTGGAAGGCTGGAGAAACTTTCCCCGGTAAAACCGACCTCTGGAAAGAAGACAATCCTTGCCTCGACCTGGTTGGCATCGCCGTAGCGGGTGACGTGTATCCGGGTATTATTTGTCCCGACGGGTACAGGGATGCAGGTAGAATTCGTCCCGTGTGCGATGTAGGGTGCGTCCAGGCACGTGGTGGAGTTGCGACAGTGGTACGATTTCCAGCTGAAATAATGCCCAAGGTGAAAAATTGTATTATAATTCCATTAATTTCTTGAAAATATAGTTATCGTTTTGCAGAGTAAATTCACTAATGCCTATGTACATAAATTTATTCAATAAAGAATGGGTAAATTATTCATTCATTATTCACTAAATTCAGGTAAAAATAGGGATTTTTGTTATTATTTTGAATGAATTAATATTAAATCAATGTTTTTTCGCTTAATACCAATGAAGAACGAATGAATATTTTTTATCTTAGGGGCCGTCCATAAATTACGTAACGCAAGAGGGGGGGAGGGGGGTCATGGGAAGAGCGTTACGAATTGTTATGTAGAGGGAGGGGGGTATAACAAATTTGTTACGTAACGCATTTCATAAACGCGATTAAAAATCGAATTGAACTCATGTCATCCAGAAGGTTTCAGTGTACGCATGTAAGTACGTTTTTCATTATGGTGCTCACATTAAAAGAAGAGCAAAATTCTTGCCTACTTGTGAACCATCATTCCTCCACAGTGACCTCGGAGGGCGATGGTGTGACGTAAGTTTCACGATTAATTGAGCCTTACCTTTAAGATGAGAATTTGATCGAATTTGCCGATCACCTGAGCCCCAACAAGGTCACTTAGGAGGCATGATGGTTGTCAAGAATTGTACTCATCTATTAATGGTCGTACGATAGTTTTCCGGGTGCAACTTGACAAAAGGTTCCATTGTGAGTCTTGGTAAACGTTGAGAGACCTGTAAGATTTACAATTTCCATTTCTTATATGATGATGTCGAATATGATTTCGTTGTTCTTGAACAAGAAATTCACAAAATTCTAATTTATCTAGCAATTTAAAAGAAATTGAAGCAATAAAAGCGACATTTGTCTACACAACCTGGAACAAATGAAAATTTTGCAAGTTACTGTTAAAGAAATTACCTGCGGTGAAATCAAATTTACGTTACGTTACGAAGGGGGAGGGGGGTAGTCGAGAAGCGTTACGATGCCGTTATGAGGGGGGAGGGGGGTCTAAAAAATGATGATTTTTGCGTTACGTAATTTATGGATGGCCCCTTATGCACAATATGTCCATAAATGAGATATATGGTGGATTCCAGGCATGTATGTGATAATGGGAAGATACAATGGAAAAAATGAATAATGGAAATAAATATATTCATTTTCAAATTTTACATAATTGAATCACGAATGAAATTTTTTTTTTCTAAATTTTACATTGACTTAATTTTGAATGAATATAGATACATTTTTTGAACTGCTGTATGTAAATATACACTGAATTTTACAGTGCATTTACTTTTCAAAAGGGTAATATTGAGGATATTCATTATTTATTCGTATCATTACAATGCGGTGGTGTGAGGTGGTTATCGCCGATATCCACCGGACTAAATTGTTCACGCTCAAAAATAAGTGGACCCGTATTTTTTCGTTTTCCTGAATGGGCATGTTTACGCACTTGGCGGAATTTTCAAAAAAAATTTCAGCGAAAATCAGGATTTTTAAAAATGGTGTAACTTTTCGAATTTTAACCCGATTTAGAAAAATAAACCCAATTTGTGTTAAGAACTACATCCCTGAAAATATGAAAATTAATTTTTTTTTAATTTGATGTTTTCATGCTATTTCTGAATTTTTATAAACCCAAAACGTATTTTTTTTTGGAAATTAAAAGTTTTTTAAAAATGAATTTTTATATTTTCAGGGATGTAATTCTGAACACAAATTGGGTTTATTTTTTGAAATCGGGTTAAAATTCGAAAAGTTACAACATTTTTAAAAATCCTGATTTTGGCTGAAATTTTGTTGGAAAATTCCACCAAGGGCGTAAACATGCCCATTCAAGAAAACGAAAAAATACGGTTTACAAATTTTTGAGCGTGAAAAATTTAAAATTAGTCCGGTGGATATCTGCGATAACCAACTCACACCTCCTCATTATTAGTATTCTTCGTATCGTAAAATAACTTACGACGCTTACGAGATTTTGTAAGCATCGTAACATTTTGTCATCATAAATCGCGTTACTGCGCTTACGATTTTTACGAAACCTGACCCCTCGTTTTATCTTCGCAAACTACATATTTTACGATACTAAGGATACGAAGAAATAATGAATACCATCATTATCTTTAAGAGTGTAACTTACAGCCCATTAACCCGATAAGAAACGTTTAGTGTCCCAGGTGAGAGTGGCAGCTGCGTGCTGACAGATGTAGTCGCATAGGAAGTTCCCGTACATCCCGGTGCGTTCCAGTAAGTTATAAATTGTGCTTGTTGGCATGATCCGGATTTAATCGCGGAGAGAAAAATGGCAAAAGTTAGTACAAGTAAAACAGGTGATTTTGGTTGCATAATGGCAATAATTTTGGCAAAATACTGAACCGATTATGCACCAAAAAAATGTGCCCTTGTCGGCTTAAATCTGACGAAGAAGTGGATATGAATCTATTCAAACGTTGTGTTTTATATCACTAATGAACGGGTTAGTTTCAAATATTAATGATGGATACTTATGCATGCGGGAGGGAATGAATCATGACACGTGTATGTACGGCATGTATGCAAAAGAGGTACATACGTAATTATGCACCTCACCTGATCGAGTTTAAGTGTCTCATCCTGTTGTACATACATACATACATACAGTGCTTCTCCATGATAAGATAACCATTGAAGGATACGCGTCATATCATTAATTAATTAAGCATGTTTTTGATTATCATGCCTACATACATAATTTATGCATGTGAAGAGCAACATAATTAATAGTAATTTCTGAGTGCACATACATACATACGTATAAGTATGTATTTGTTAACTGCTTAGGTATGTATGCATACATACCTAAGCAATTATATACATATGTACATATGACATGACGAGTGGGCACAGATTAATTTTGTCAAATCTTGGAAGCATAATTACCGATTAGCTAAAGTATGTACTTACGACATTACGTGTTCCTATATAAATAAATATGTATAAATTGCAATGAAAATATGTCACTACCCTCCAACCTGCATTATGAGAACTAGGTGGTTAAGACATAGCTCGGCTAAGGCACACCAGGATGAAGAAAGGTAAAGAGAACAGATATACCCGGCTTTGTGAATATCTATTGTTTGATAAAATGCACATGCCGACCAGTAGTCGGTTTGATTGAGGTGGGAATAGGTAAATGAATCTTTTGTCGTTTTAAGAATAACAGGATTATTTAATTGATGAACTTCCGGTAAGTCACGTACTTATTGACGTAAGTGACAACTAAATGTGTATAATTTATTACAAATTTATATAGTTCATTCATATCCTATCGATATAGACCTCCTCAAGATGTCACTAACTAATAATTGAGTAATTTGTGCGCGAAGAATTTTTTAAGGACTAATTTTGCGGATTATGTATTATGTAAATATCCACGCCGCATGTAATCTAGACGTTTAGTTGCTTTTATTTTAAAAAAAACATTACACATACGTACATATATTTTTACAGATAATTCTAAATTTTACACTGATATAATCACTATTATATTTGTTTTCAAGAATTGCACAGCCAAATAGTTCATTTAATGAATAATAGCTTCTTTATTGTACATATTGTATTTAGCTATAGATGTTAATGTGATTCAGCTGGAAGCGAATTCAAAACTGGAAGCGAATAGTACCTAGAATAGCCACGAAAAATGGAACAATCCCCAACGCGTGGGTGTAACCGCTGGATTCCGTCGTCGATTCTGTTGACGCCTCGGTAGTAGGAGGCGTAACAGTCGTCGGAAGTGCTGTAGTTGGTACGGTCGGGATGTCTGATGCGGTAGTAGTTGGTATAGTGGTCGTCGGTGTGGTTGGTGTTGTAGTCGTAGTTGGCGCCATAGTCGTCGTACTTGGTTCTTCCGTTACATTACACTCATGCTGAACCCAACCCACTTGATAATCTCCCGATAAGGCAAACGTGAATCCATACCCGGCCTGGTTTACCTCGGGCGATGCGGTAAGACACGCCCCTGATTCGGCAGATTGGGAACTTTTGTGCTGCCAGGAGCTGGGTCCGGTAAAAAAGTAAGATCCGACCCGACGGGTAGTTGCATTTAAGGGTGTGTCCGGAGTTATAGAAAAACTTTCCCCTTCTAAACGCTCCTCCTCGAAGAATGTGATCCTTTCCTCGACCTGGTTCACATCGCCGTAGCGGACCACGTGCAGTTCGGTGTTACCCTCTCCGACCAATCTGGGCACGCAGCCACTTTCCATTGTCCCGTACGCAATAATTGATGCGTCAGGGCAGGTTTCCGCATCGTGACAGTGCTGCAGTTTCCAGCTATAATTAATAAATGACGGAAAAATTGTGGAACTATTTCTTTAATGAGAAACCATACTATAAAAACAAAATTTTGATTTAGTGCTCTGTCAGACTTGGAATTGATCTTTGTTTTCAGAGATACGGTAAAGCTTTTTGTCAAATAACCTCCCGCAAAAGACTTGACGACACACGTGACCAATTTGTCATCGTGAAGTGTAACCGTTTCATCCTAAACGTCACCCAGCCAACGTAACCAGAAATAAGGTCATGTTAAAATTAAAACTCAACAATGCCCCTCAAAAAAGTGTATCCGTTCCAAAATCATAGCACGGCAGGACAGTCAGACCCCGTGTATTTATTTACACACTCTAAACAAAGGTTGTGAAAAATTTACTCAAGGTTGAGCGAAAAAGAAGATGACACAACAATTGGGTAAAATTTATCCAACCCTAGCGTAAAATTAGTCCAACCGTTGTGTAAGTTTTACCCAATTGCTGTCATCTTCTGCTTTTTGCTTAAGCTTGGGCAATTTTCCGCAAGTGCATGTAAAGTGCATGTAACATGCACTTTAATGACTTACAGTCCATTAACCCGGTAGAAAAAGATGTTCAACCCGGGAGGAATTGGGAGATTATTGGTAGACTCTGCCGTAGTCGCGTAAGCGTCCCCGGTACACCCTGTTACGTTCCAGATCGAGAGATATTGCTCATTTTGACATGACCCTGGTTGAATTGAAGAGAGCAATGTTATCGTGAAGGCAAAAGTTACAAAAAACCAGGACCGCATTTTTGGCAGGTAACAAATTAACTAGTTTTTAATTGGCGTTTGAGGAAGGACTGATCATAAATCAATGCAAACCTTGTGATTTATTAAGAGGCGAGGCCGACATATTTTAAGGATGAGGTAACACCGATAACCAATCAATCAATCAGCGATACCCACCTTGTAGAAGATCATGGTTAATTATGGTGAACTTGTTAAATACTTGAATAAAGTATCAATCACTCAATCAATCAATACCTTGGGTTTATAAAGGGTGTTGATTTAATTCAGTCAGATTTTTTTCACTGCACGAAGCAAATACATATTTATGCTTCAAGGATACATTTTTAGACAACTAGGACTAAATCATTATTAAATTATACTGTACTGGCATGGTACTAGCGAGCATTAGGGTTCAGTAATGTCGTGGTAACGAAAATACTACTAATCTGGTAGGAAGTTACTACCAAATCAATACCAGCTCGAAACACACAGGGAGGTTAAAATGTCACGGTACAATGGAAAATTTTTAGATGGGAAAAATTCGTAAATTTCAATTAGTTACCGAAATTGTGTCTCAGAAAAAAATTCAACATTTTAAGAATTTCGTCATCAGTGATCCGTCAGTTTTGGTAATTATTATAAAAATCTCAATCCCAAATTATGTAACTAATGAAGATTTAGGGAGTTTTTCTTTGAAAATTTTCCATTGTAGCGTGACATTCAAACCACCCTGTACATGTTTGCGACTCTACCAAATTTTTAACCCTTAAATTTTCCCCATTTCAGACTTTCTATTGTCATTTTGTCTTACTGTACGCATGTTAAATAAGTGTGTTCGAATTGAATCAACACCCTTTACACAACTCGGTTTCCTTTCATGTCGCATTTTTGAATGATAAGATAATCAAGTTTCGACTGCACTGTTAATAACTAGGTACCGGATTGGACGCACCTTGTTTTTAGTGATTGCCATAACATATGTAGCTAAACTATAATGCCCGTTACTAACAGTTATATATGTATGTAATCCAGTCTGTAATGATTTAATACCAGTTTTCTAAGAGTGTGAAGATCATGTCGGAAAATCATGGGTCAAAAGAATGCTCAGTTATTTACAAGGGCGACATAATTAATACATATTTATTCCTGTTTGTATGCATTTATAAAAAATGGTACATGTTGTATTTACATGATGTACCGATAAATATGTAAACGTTGAGAAATGCCGTGTGCAATGTTCAGAAATATGCATGCAAATTTTTGGTAAACAAAATGCGTCAGTGATACATATTATTACTGACTGTTTTACTAGGTCTACTCCAGCATAGAGACGTGCTACATAAATACGTCAATTATTTAATTTATAATTCAAATACGTAACTATCAAATATGTAATTTTTCTACATGTTTGTATAAATTTCAATAAGTTTTTATCCATTCCTGGTAACAGAATTTTCAAAAATTGTACGACTATTTACGAAATAATTTATTCTAAATACATACCCAACGAAAGATTAGTTTTTCAAAAACCAAAATCAGAATTTAAATATTTCGCGCATACGTCAATCTTATCGTTTAATTTAGTTAATATTAATTACGCACTTTGAATTCTGTAGACTTGTTATCAAAGTTAAGCCACACCAGGAAAACTAACTCCGATAAAAGAAAAGGACAAGATAAGCTCACTTGGATGAAGTTATGTATCACAAATGATTGCTATAGCGGCGCCCTTTGGAGTCACATTGATCGTATTTCGGCCAATTAATTTTGTCAGTTTGATTGACATGTGAGTAAATAAGGTAGCGATAATTTTAAAAGTTCCTTGTTTGCTGAGATTGCAGCATTATTAATTAATTGATCAATTTGGTGTGACACGGTTATGCTGTTGTGTGAATGTATGAGGTTAGTACATATTTAAAAAAAGTAAGTGACACATGAAGTACACTCTTAGAAAAATAGGATTTAATCATCACCGTAATGCATATGTATACCCTGTAAATAATCTGGTAATAAACATTATTAAAAAGCACAAGTATATGACTCTACCAAAGTGGTAATGTTGTTGTTGTTGTTATTGTTTATTGTTAATCCTTTATTCACGTGTCAACAGAGATCATTACAAATTGGTTTACTCACCATGACACAAGTAGCATATAAATTTTTATGAGCATTTAAACTAGTCTATTTAATTAAATCGGGCAATGAATTAAATCACGAAAATCATATATATTTCATGCATTTGTCCTTTGATTTATACATAATAAAGTCGCGACATAAATTAACAAATTGGGTATAGGAGACTATTAAAATCCCAGGACCGTGGCAGAGTGTTCCTTTTGTAGCTCTATAAGCAGCGGCGTAGCCAGGATTGGGTCTTGGGTGGGGCTCAGCCAAAAAAAAATTCTAAATTACCCTTTTTAGGCTTAAAATTTCAACGCTCACTCACAAACACCGCTTCCACACATGGCATAGTTACATAGGTACACATATGTAGCTTAGATTTAAGCGTAAAAAACAACACACTATATATTCAATGCTTGATCTAGTAACGCCTCAAACATTTGTTATATTTCTAGTAAATCGTGTGTTAATTCATCACAGTGATTTTTTGGATGACACAAAAAATTTGATCATACATTAACGAGGGTCTGCAAACTCGGATTACAGTTTGGTGGTACCAAGTGGCTTTGGCGCAAAGTGCGACACCTCAAATGGTAGTTGTCAGTTTAAAAATCAACTTTGTGTTCCCTAGATAGCCTGTTGTGCACAGGGTTCGGAAAACCCCGGGGTTTTTGTAGAAAAACCCAACCCCAGGGGTTTTTCCGGGGTTTTTGGGTTTTTGTGGGTTTTTGTAGATTTTGGGGCAGGTTGAACCAGAATTAAAATTATATATTAGACAAAAACTCATTTAATATACGAATTCATCATGCAATTTTAACCGTTATCATTGACTTGGACTGTTATATCGAAAATTCCTGTTTAAAATGTACACCTGGAAATATGCAATGATATTTGGAAATTCACGTCGTAAATGAAAATTCTCAAAATTTCACGATGAAGCAGAAAATTTAATTAGCATTGATCTAAGTTGTAGTTTAAGGAATTGTGTTTCAATCTGCGTCAAAAACCTACAAAAACCACGGAAAAACCCCACAAAAACCCCATTAAGTATTAGGGTTTTTCCGGAGATTTTATACTCCAAAAACCCACATAAACCCCAAAAACTTCAACCCACAAAAACCCGGGGTGGCGAACCCTGGTTGTGCATTCCAAGGACAATTGTACGACAAAATCCGGGCAACATGAAGGGTTTAATAAAAAAATTTAAAGATTGCGCAACGATCAAACAACTTTCTATTTCATCAAAATTAGCCAAAAGTCATCAACAAAGTGCTTATAGGGCATGATCAGAATAATTGGTCCAAATATTAAAGGCTATTATGTAGTATTAATAATAAAGGATGTAAATTTATTCCATTAACATTCATTTTCTGGCCCCCGCTAGAGCTATAACTACTGATCCCGTCAATGTTTTTCGTTGAAATTTTTACCGTGGGCGGAATGCAGATATACAGGGTTTGGCACTTTGGTGGATACGAATTTGACCTTGAATAACCCCGGAACGGTTTGTCGTAACGGTTCAAAATTTTGAACAGACGAGCATGTTATCCTCAAATAGTTGTGTGCAAAAATTCAACTCTCTACTTTCAAAAATGCCTCCCCCACAGCCCCCAGAAGCTGAGACAGTCATTTCAACTTGTTCCAGAAAAAATCTCGCCCGTGTTTGCAAAAAATGTTATTTAAATTTTCTGTTCAGGAATAAGAGTGCGTTATTGGTAACAATTGACGAAGCACTATTTTCCCTATAAAATACTAATTGGGTCCGAAGAGCTTACTACACGACAAATGCCGAAAAAAAATGCAAGAAATTTGGTGCTTTTCAGGGAGGAGAACTTTTTAAACAGTTTATGGTCGTGGGTGCAATGTCCGATCGCGGTGTCCACCCACTTATCAAAGTTTCCCAAAAAATGAGCGTATCTGCAAAGCACTATGTGGACCGTGTATTAAAACCACTTTTAGAATAATATTTTCCTAAATAGCACGGTAAAAAAATAAAGCATGTGATTTTTCATCATGACGCAGCGTCTTCATAAACGGCAAAGTTGACCCAAGATTATGTATGTAAATGACCTTGAACCTAGATTCGGGATAAAAATCACTTCGAATAGTGAAATACCTGTAAAATGCCCTGACATAAGTCAAATAGACTTTTTTGGGTTCGAAGACTTGAAAATAAATTTTTTTCTATGGAGACCAAATTTTTTAGACGGAGTTTGGAAAAAGTTAAAATGACTCTCTCAACTTCTGGGGGCCGTGGGGGAGGCATTTTTGAAAGTAGAGAGTTGAATTTTTGCACACAACTATTTGGGGATAACGTGCTCGTCTGTTCAAAATTTTGACCCGCTACGACAAACTGTTCCGGGGTTATTCAAGGTCAAATTCGTATCCACCAAAGTGCCAAACCCTTCTGTATGCTAATTAAAAGCAACATAGCTTTAAGAAGAGGTCTTAGAAGCAGTGGATTCTAATTAAAAATAAAAATCCTCTAAAATTCAGACGTGCCGGAAAAAGTTCGTAGCAATGCTTGAATAACAATTTTTCCAAGGATATAAAATGACCTAAATAATTCAAAGTAGAGATGAGTCGAGCAGCGGTTGACAAAAAACGGCTAGCCAAAGCACAGTTCGAAAAAAGCTCGACACAGGAAAAACTCGATAAAAGCTCATTACGCTAATCCTAAGTTGAACCGAGCCGAACTTGAGCAAGCTCGGATCAACAGAGTATTTGGCTCACCTCTAATCCAAAACAGTCTCACCTACGAGAAAAAGATGACTATTCACAAATTTCAGATAACTAAACTTACTTCACTTTCAGATAACGATATAGATACTTACACTTATATTTCAGGTAGTGAGAATTTCATAACGTAAAGAACGACGTGACCTTTTTTAAAAAAATAGTTTTGTAACACCTGCAGTTTCGAAAAAGAAACATTTTCTTGGCAGGGAGAAAGGTTCCCTGATTAAATTTGCCCCCTTTGCATATGTCCAATAGAAACCTTGGCGACGAAGTTTACAATATTTTTTATTAAAAAGTCTCGAGCATTTGATTGAAAAATTAACGACTAATTAAATACACACGCCTCACATTCAAAACCGGTATCGAGATTTATCTTCGCATCTTAGTATCGTCAAATATCATAGAAACAAAAAACAAAGCGTCAAGCTTCATAAAAACCTTAAGCTTATAATAGGGAGACCTGAGCTGGTTTTTTCCCATTTTAACCAAGCAAATTTTAAGCAGTTCGTGCATGCAGAAATAAGCGGGCCCTGGCCGAATTTTTAACAAAATCAGGATTTTTCAAAACGTTGTAACTTTTCCAATTGTGTATAACTCGATAACAAATATTAAAGAACACAAAAAATTCTTTACTAGAAAATTTTAAAATTTGAAATTTGCATGCTACTTTGGATGTTTGAAAAATTCAGAAAATATCAAACTTTTTAACGTTACAAGTTTTTCTTATTAATGTTCTTTAATCAGTTTACAATTGAAAAAGTTATGGAATTTTGAATGATTCTGATTTTGTTTAAAAATTCCGGTACAAGAGCAAATACGTGCATCCACAAAATTGCAGTACTGATAATATTTTAATTTTCGTTCGTCCAATTTAAAATTCATCCAATTCAAATTGAAGAAACCCCTTTGGTGCTTGCATGCATATTTACATGCACATTGTTAGTAGCGTGATTTTTTTTAGTACAGTTTTACGACGCTTACAAAATCTTTTAGGTGTCGTAACTTATTTTTCGATACAAAAATACTAAGGGTTCGAAGTAATAACAAATTCCCCTAATGTGTAACATATAAGTTATATTATTATCTATGTTACACATTAGGTGAATTATTTGGTATATGATATAACTTCACACGTAACTTACTTTTTAATTTTTTGCAATTTTTTGCAATTTTTTAACTATTTTTTTTTTATTTTCTCGGGCTCTGGGGGGGGGGGGGGGGGGCTCAAGCCCCCCTAGCCCCCCCCTAACTGTCTATAAGTAATATTATTAAGAGCCAACGCCGTGCGAACCCTAGGAACAATAAGAAGTGGCCAAGATCGCTGACCGGAAGTTGAGCTTTGTAGATGTTTAAGATTACAAAAAGCATACTTAAATAGATACATTTCTCGTCTCTCCATAACCGACAGAAGCTCACATTTAGTTAATAGCTCATTGTAATTTATGGTAATGATAAGCTGTACCGTGTGGTAATGGTTTGGTAATAAAGTTTTACCATCATAGTAACGAATTTTTGCTACCTGGTAAAATATTCTTACGAAATTTATTACCGAGAAATCATTACCTGCGTGACTTTACCGGATTATGTATTAAGAGTGTGGGGTTTTGAGAGTATTTTAATGCCACCCTTCTCCTAACTGTGGGGACACTTGAAGGGGCATCTGTCCAAGCTGTCGTCATTAAACTTTGGAGATATATGTTTGATAGTAATATCTTGTAACATACCAAAAATCAGTTTAAAAATCAACTCCCTGCTAGAGATATGAAGCTGCGAATTTGTATATACTACCTATAAGCGTCTTTTGTAATTTAGAAAAGCGTGATTTATGTTCTACCAAGTCTAGACTTTATGACCATTTTCATGCATTAATTATGTACGTATTTCTCATGTTTTCTAGATATGTATGTATATAGCTATATTTCAAACCATTACACATGTATTTTTACACAATTCTAGACCTCATTATTAAATCTTTTATTATTCATCTCATTATCAAGAATTGCACGAATATGAAAATAGTTCATTTTAAAAATTATGGCATATTAATTTAATCGTATTTTATCAGTGAATGTATTTCAGTTTGGTAATCAAAATTGGAAGCAAATTGTAGCTAGAATTGTAAGGAAAACTGGTAAAATTCCCAACGCGTGGGTGTAACCGCTGGATTCCGTCGTTGGTTCTGTTGACGCCTCGGTGGTAGTATTTTGAGTAGTAGTTCTCACCGTAGTAGTAGTAGTTAATCTAGTCGTAGTTGGTGTTGTTGAATTTGTTGTAGTTGTTGGTGTAGTTGTTGTTGGTGTAGTTGTAGTTGTCGTTGGTGTAGTTGTAGTTGGTGTGGTTGTAGTTAGTGGAGTTGTAGTTGATGCATTTGTGGTTGGAGGGGACGTCGTCACCGTTGTAGTTGGAGGGGGCGTCGTCACTGTTGTAGTTGGAGGGGGCGTCGTCACCGTTGTAGTTGGAGGGGGCGTCGTCACCGTTGTAGTTGGAGGGGGCGTCGTCACCGTTGTAGTTGGAGGGGGCGTCGTCACTGTTGTAGTTGGAGGGGGCGTCGTCACCGTTGTAGTTGGAGGGGGCGTCGTCACTGTTGTAGTTGGAGGGGGCGTCGTCACTGTTGTAGTTGGAGGGGGCGTCGTCACTGTTGTTGTCGGTGGAGTTGTAGTTGATGCATTTGTAGTTGGAGGGGGCGTCGTCACTGTTGTAGTTGGTGGTGGCGTCGTCACCGTTGTAGTTGGAGGGGGCGTCGTCACCGTTGTAGTTGGAGGGGGCGTCGTCACTGTTGTTGTCGGTGGAGTTGTAGTTGACGCATTTGTAGTTGGAGGGGGCGTCGTCACTGTTGTAGTTGGTGGGGGCGTCGTCACCGTTGTAGTTGGAGGGGGCGTCGTCACTGTTGTAGTTGGAGGGGGCGTCGTCACCGTTGTAGTTGGAGGGGGCGTCGTCACTGTTGTAGTTGGAGGGGGCGTCGTCACCGTTGTAGTTGGAGGGGGCGTCGTCACCGTTGTAGTTGGAGGGGGCGTCGTCACCGTTGTAGTTGGAGGGGGCGTCGTCACTGTTGTTGTCGGTGGAGTTGTAGTTGACGCATTTGTAGTTGGAGGGGGCGTCGTCACTGTTGTAGTTGGTGGGGGCGTCGTCACCGTTGTAGTTGGAGGGGGCGTCGTCACTGTTGTAGTTGGAGGGGGCGTCGTCACCGTTGTAGTTGGAGGGGGCGTCGTCACTGTTGTAGTTGGAGGGGGCGTCGTCACCGTTGTAGTTGGAGGGGGCGTCGTCACCGTTGTAGTTGGAGGGGGCGTCGTAACCGTTGTAGTTGGAGGGGGCGTCGTCACCGTCGTAGTTGGAGGGGGCGTCGTTACCGTCGTAGTTGGTTCTCCCGTCACATTACATTCATGTCGAACCCAACCCACTTGAAGATCTACCGTTAATTCATACGTGAATCCATACCCATTCTGGTCCACCGCCGCCGTCGCGTTGACACACACCCCTTCCTCGGCAGCTTCCGAGCTTTTGTGCTGCCAGGAGCTGGGTCCCGTGAAAAAATAAGATTGTACTCGTCTGGCTGCATCAGTTAAGGGCGTGTCCGGTGTAACCGAGAAACTTGGCCCTTCAAAACGCGGTTCCTCAAAAAATGTGATCCTTTCTTCAACCTGGTTCGCATCTCCGTAGCGGATCACGTGTACTTCCTTGTCAGCTGCCCCGATAAATCTTTGCGCACAGTCGCCACCTGACCCATGTGCAATTACTGGTGCTGAAGGGCAGGTGGTCACGTTGTAACAATGTTGAATTTTCCATCTGCAATTAATAAATTAAGAAAATGGTATTATAATTTTATTAATTGTAAACGGATGTAACAAAAGCGTGAAACAATACAAAATAGTACAAAATATTAGTTTAGACGTTTTATCCCTAATTGCAGAGACATGGTGAAATTATTTTTAAAACAATATTTATATTCAGTTAGGTATGGCGAGCAAAATACTTAATCAGTTTGACCTCCAATTTGACCTGCATACATACATATTTGTCACTACGGGTAGTGTTAATTAAGACCTGAAACTGTGACCGTTTCATCTTAAACGCTCCCTTACAACAAAATTTGACATGAGTTCTGAACTTCTAAATCTTAAACGCAAAAACGTTAATTCGTTCCAAACTTAGAACACCGGGACAGACAGGCAGACAGTATCAATGTATAAAGGGGCTTCAACTTACAGCCCATTAACTTGGTAGTAGAACACGACTATTCCGGCAGGAATTTGGATATCATTTGTGGACACTGCCGTACTCGCGAAGGGGTCCCCCGTACATCCCGATGCGTTCCAGAACCTTAGCGATTGCTCATTTTTACACGACCCGGGTTGAACGGATAAGAGCAAGCTTATCGAGACGGTTAACAACGCGACAAAAAATGAGGACTGCATTTTTTCTATCGGTCAAAATTAACTCGTTCTTACTTATTTGGAGTGGGAGGAAGAACTGGACCGAAATTAAGTCAAACCTTGTACTTTATTACGCGACCCAGCTCATTTTAGTGATGATGTGACACAGATAACCCATTAATCATCCACTCCTGCCCTACATACATAATTTATACATTACCCGGTTTTCCTTTCGTGTGGCATTTTTACAAAGATAATCAAATCTGAACATGTCAGAAAATCATGCGACTGAAGAATGATATGTAATGTACTTATTTACAAGGGTGACATAATTAACACATATTTATTGCTGTACGTATGCATTTATTTTATTTTACACGGTGTAAAGGTGTGCATTGTGCAATGTGTTGGTCACGTTGTCAAGTTTTGGAAAACAAAATATGTCGTCAGTGATATGATGACTGATTGTTTTAACTTGTACCAGGTCTAGGCCAGCGAAAGGAATTTTATACGTATAAAAGCATTGTTTGACTTAACACTCTAAAAAAGAGTGTTAACCTTTTGAAAAATAAAAATGTATCATGTAAACTGTGTAAAATCCAGAGTAGCGTTGACTTAAAAAAGCATTTTGTACGCAGGACACAATTTTGTAAGAATGTTTTTAAGAGTGAAGACATAAATCTGAGGTATGAGTAACACGTAAAATCATGTTTGTTCTAAATAATTTTTTACCAACTTCCGATTTAAGTGTGATCGTATTTTCAAAAATGTGTAGTATGAATCTTTACTAAGTAATTTGTTGTACTTATGTAAAGATATGTGGGTTTAAATTATATAATGCATAACTTATCTTTTCAATTAATCAATATTAAATGTTGTACAAAATGTTGAATAAATATACATGCATGTTTATTCTTGTCATTAGTAAGTTAAACCTCCATAATTAAGTTAAACCTCTATAATTAACATCTGTAATGCTACCGGCAGGACAGTTTCAAGTCATAAATATGCACCACCCACCCATACCAAGCATGGGTGGACGCCGATAAAACAAAAGACCAAGATAAGCTCATTGGGACCAAGTAATGCATGCATGTATGACAAACTGGGCCAGCCTAATTTATTAGATTGATTGACAGGTGAGTAAATTAAATTCTGATAACTTTATAAATTCCTTGTTCGCGTAGAGATTGAAAGATTATTTGTGTATGAATGAATTGTCAAATCTGTGTGACTCTGTGCATTGCTGGGCGATGAGGTAAATAGGTACACCCTTAAAAACCCGATGTTAATTGTCACCGAACAGTGTTCGTATGTTATACATCCATCATCAAATGGTGATAATATTTTTTCACCGCATGGTGACCAATTATCACTGGCTGGTGTTAATTTTATCACCATTAGGTGAGGGACAGCATCACCGCATGGGTGAGTCGAATGTGCTCATTCGACTTTTAATTTGAAAACATATTTTCAAATTTTTTTATGAGTAACGGACAGACAGATTTGTGCACAGCCAGGTTTGCAATTTTTGTCCGTATTGCAAAATTTATTTAATAAACGTTGCTCAGGATGTAGTATATGTTACTTAATGTAGAATAGGGCAGCATTATTTTTAAGTGTGTCCCTTAAAACTAATCGTGTTCAAGCCACGTATGTAGAAAATAAATACTTGGTCGCGACGCCCTTATGTATTGAATACAGGGCTTAGACAGACAGCGGAAATAGGAGGACAAGATAAGCTCATTAGTATCATATCATATAATTGGACAACATGACTATGCAATTTGTCAGTTTGATTGACACCTGATAATAAAACCATGTTCGCGGAAATGGGGAGATTAATAAATTTTAATTTTCTCTGAATTACCGAGCCGAGGTTTGAAGTGAGTTGGTAATTCCGAGTATAGTAAGTAATTAATGCGTCAATCGCAAGTTATCTCATGACTTCGTCTAATTTACAGAAATATGTGACCAAAATCGATAAGCCGAACAAGAGGATGGACACATATCCAAATTTAGTCGCTTCATACTAATTTCTTTGATGTACGCATTGACCAGTTTGTCGGATCCGTTTAATGTGACAAAATTTGTTAAGCCAATATTTCCAAACAAGCCAATTGAGTAATACAATTTTTTGGACGTACTTAACTTATGATTTGCTGTGCAAACTATTCAAATAGTTACTCACATGCTCTTCAAAATTGGTAAAAAAATCATTAATTTAAATAATCAATGTATGAATATGAAAGATATTTCATCCTCATCTTGCTAAATTTTTTGTCGGGATACGAATAATTTGTGAATCTTACAAAAAACGTGTTAAAATTGACAAAAAACATTATTTACCCAGTTCACAAATGCTTTGAAATTTCCATGTATACGGTGCCGTACTTTTGTAGTTTTATAAATAATAAATATGTATATTTTGATCTGAAATTCTTTGCGAAAACAACTCTGTATTTCGCGACTTTCTCAGATACATATTCGCATACATGTGTCTGTATGTACACATATTCGCCTACTCATAAATATTTTACCAGAAGATAATTACCGAAACATTCAAATTAAAACTCGGAACGATGTGGCAACTCGTCTTAACTAGTTTCGTAACTAATATTCGAATATCTGCAAATACTGGAATATGCATGCATACAAATCCCCAACTTGCAATACGTTACTTTGTTAGTAACGTATGCATGAACCTACTTATCTATTCTACATGGAAAATTTGCACCAAATAATTACCATCCACCGGAGCCGTATTTATAGTTCAGATGGTCACCATGGTGATTCAGTATTTTCCGAAATTTGAGCAACATTGTTCTTGAACAATTTTTTACCCACTATTAAATTTACCTCAAATCCAGGTAAAGAAAAAAGAATTGAAGAAATTGAAATAATAAAAAATATTTGGGGGTATTCATCCCGAGTTCGTACAGCTGCCGAAATAAAACAAAGTTTGCAAAAAAAAATATAAAATTCATTTGCCAATCTTCAAGACTAAAATTTACTTGGCAAAACTTGTTCTCAAAATTATTTTATGATGCAAGCATTCTAACTTGTAATGAATATCCCTGTTGTATCCATATATTTAAATTGGTGTATTTTTTCAGGACAAATACAGAACGATGTTTCGAACCAAATTTGAATTTTTCGTCGTATCTCTTCTTTTCACAATATCAATTCAAGGCGCACCGTCTGACACAGTTTTGCATCTACTTTACGGAAACGTGTGCACATTCGCGAACAATACTACCCTCGATGACGCCAAGTGCGGAATACTTGGAGATAACATGCTCTGCACGGAGAGAACTATTTGCGACTGTGCAGACATGTACAACTCCGGAAGTGGAGAGCTGCCCTTAGCTCAATTCATCCTCTCCCCCGATAATTCAAGTTGTCTAGAAGTTCCACAATTTTAGAAATATGTAACATTCAATTTATGTAGAAATAAACCAACAATTTCCTCGATCGTTAACTATCAATTTAGTTCCTAATGGATAAAATTCATATTTTTGTGATATATACATGTATGTATTTACACTCCTAAAAATAATCAAGAAATATGTACTCTGGGTTATAGACTATAACTTATAGTATTTACAGTTTCCTTGTTACAGAATATAGACTGCATTTGCACTTCAAAGGGGTAACATTATTGTTAAGAGTGCTCGTAATAATAAATGAGTTTATGTACGTAGGATGAAGAAAATGAAGTGCAGGGTTTCGATTGGTAAAAACCAAATTGACCAGGGCAGCGGTAAAAAGTGGGAAAAAGGCATTTTTACCACCAAGCCAAAATGGGTGGGAAACGGGAAAAATGGAAGAAATGGGAAAAACTCTGGTTTTGGGGCAATCCGAAACAACTTCTTTAAAACTTAAGATTTTCAAAATTTGGCTTCATATTCGTATTCTCCATCAAATTCTGAGAAAATTAGTCGGTAATACGGTTCAATTCGAACAATCTCTAAAATTAAAATGTATTCATATGGGAAAATTGGAAAAATAATCAAAACTGATCAAAAGTGCCCGTATTACATATCAAAATTTTCAGAAATTCGTGGAGCTCACGAATATGAAGTCCAATTCTGGAAATATTGATTATCAAAGAAGTTAGCTTTCCCCATAACTAAATACATGGGCAGCCATATTTCCCATTTTGGACGGTAAAAACCGTTTTTCCCGGTTTTTACCACTTTTTCCCACCTGCCGTGGTAAAAAATCGTTTTTGACGGGAAAAACGAAACCCTGATGAAGTGGTTTATTAACAAATATGTGCGGTACAGTGTTTCCATACGAAGCATAGCACATACATATTTACATATTTATGTACATATGTAACTACGAAAAACTGCGGGTTTTAGGGTTTCCTGGACATTTGCGGTTTCAATTTTCATGCACTCATACATATTTACATATGAAGAATGGCACATGTAAAATGTCATCACCACGGGATTTCTCTTCCTCATCCTCATTCTGTATTTTCCGTGTATGTAAATTATATATGTAAATCACGTCCCCAATTTTCAGTTTATTCACTCTAAAACTTGTAGTTACATTAAATCATCCTGTTCTCGAATATTATGTTCTCAAATATCAGAGTAGTAGAATGGCTATTATACATTCACATGATCCTAGTACCAGTAAGATTATTTACATTTTAATTACTTGCAAAATATTATTTTGTAAAAAAATATTTATTAACTTTTTCAACAATCACTTCAAAATTTTACAGGCTATCTGTTTCATGTGCTCCGTGGAAAATGAGGCTTTCCAGAGCACCGAACAAGGAACAAGTGTCGGGCTAAAGTTTGCCTTAATCGTAATCTCGTGCATTATGGGGTTCGGAAATATTATAAGTTTACTGATTTGGCGGGTAAGTTTATTTATATAATTGTTAGCACAATTATTTTCATGATTACTCATTTCACGTAATTCTTGGTAACATTGTAAAATCCTTAAAGTCTCTAAATTTACCAACTTTTTAAAAAGTTTATACATACATATTTCTGATGAAATTTGCTTATATTTTTTTAACATGTTCCGGACATGGGCGTCTATTTATTATGCATTTTATACAATTTTGTAAAATAATTTAACATAGTCACGAATAATTACGTAATTCACAGAACTGTGAATAATTGAATAACAGAACTGTGAAGAAAAATTGAACTTTCAATTTTTCTAGCGATCGGAACGTTTCGCCTTCTCTTATCAAGTATTTGTGTTCACCATCCCTCCAATTTTTTGGGCGCTGCTGCAATACAAAATTTGGTGGGAGGAACGTATCCCGATCAAGCTGGGATTAAATCCGGGATTAACGTTTGGTTTTTGCGTCTCGTTTTTTAACTCGGGCGTCCTAATTGTAATTTACCAAGACTTGATGCGCATCACTATTGGGTACCCACCAGCTTCGAGAAGCATTGGAGTTCATGTCACCAAGTTAATCACGTTGCATTTCATGGCGAATTTTGTGAGAGAAAAAATCATGTATTTTTTATTTTTTTGCAATTAATTACACAATGAGGGTATTCACGATTTCGTAAAATCGAGTATCGTAAAATCGTTTGAGAAGAAAAATAATTTGTCAACCTTCTTAAAAATTGTTATCCCTATACAAACATAGTAAAGCGATTTTTGATGGCAAAATCTTGCAAAATGTTTGCCAAATCTCGTCACCTTCGTAACTTATTTTATGATCGAACAATACTATTGGTCACAAAAGTCTGGTGATTTTTCTGAAAAGTTATTTGGCCATATATTAGTCAGATAATTTCGTTACTGGCGACAATAGCGAATTTGTTGTAAAATAAATAAAAAGACGAGGATTATGAATAAATTTCTATTCACAAAAATTTATTTTACCTGCCAGATAACCTTTCATAATATTTTGCGACTAATAGTAGTAAGGAATCCAGAATACCCTCGATATACATGGAATGTTTAAAATCTATATCACCTCCTAAATGGATAGATTATTTTAATATTTTAAATTCATTTTCATTTTAGGGTTATGCACTCGTGTCGTTGGCACACATCTTCATATCGCAGTTTACGCAGGTCGGGGGTTCATTTTACGGTATACCAAGGCACAATTCCACAAATAATGCGGCACAATTTATGAAGTCTTTGGTAACATTGAAAAATATGTAAATTCTGCAAACTTTTAAACGTTTATAAAATTTTACAAATATTTGTAACGACAACCCAACCGGCACATCGCTGAACGATATCTCTGCGATGAGAGCGATTATTGAGCTACCTTTTCTAGCGCCCAAAATCGCTCAATAATCGCTGCAGTAGTAACTGCGAAATCTAAGAGATATAGCTGGATATCATTTTCAGTGCGCGAGTAGTTGCGAAATAGCGGAGAAATCGGTACGTTTAAAATCGCTTAAAATCGCTTTATACTCTGCAAATATTTCTAAGCTCATTAACAGCGATTTCGTAGCGATTTATTGGTTTGACTGCAGTTAGAGAGAAGCATGCTCCGTGATTACTAGACAGCTGATGTGACGGGCGGTGACATGCCTTCTCGCCCTTATTATGCTTTGAGTCAAAGGTCAAGGCGTAGACATTTGAGTAAGACAGTTCAAACACTTTTGAAAAAGTCTCGTAAACTACAATACGAAACGAGAAAAAGTAGTACTCCCCGATCAAATTCTTTGGAAACCGAAGAGCTTTATTACTTCCAAAATCAAGAAACAAATTTTTGCGAAAATGAAGTTGTCCACCGCCTAGAAAGAACGTGTCAGGCCGCACAAGCTTCACTAGATACACCAAATATAACGACACTACCAGCGACAGTCATTTGTGAAATTTCAGAAAGTTGTGATATAGAAAGTGTTACCAATGTGAACATTATAAATCGAATTAAAAATTGGAGTTTAAAATATAACATTACAAGAGAAGCTTTATCGCAGCTTCTTCTGGTGTTAAAAACCCATCCGTGTTTTACTAATTTTCCTGCTGATGCCCGGACGCTTTTACGTACGCCAAGGTCCACACAAAGTTCGGTGGTGGGAAATGGTGAATTTTGCTATCTTGGCATATCAAAAGGATTATGACCAATATTATCTGATTTAATAAGTGAACGCCAAAATAAAATATCTCTTCAATTCAACATAGATGGACTTCCACTTCATAAGAGCAACAGCAAACAGTTGTGGCCAATTTTGGCTCATGTCATGAATACAGATTACGTGTATGCCGTTGCTATATATTGCGGAACTGAGAAACCTGGTGATTTAAATCTATATTTTCAAGAATTCATCGAGGAGTTAACAGATTTACAATTAAATGGATTACTTTACAACCAATTTGTTTTCCAAATAGAGGCTAGTTCATTTATTTGCGACGCGCCAGCTCGTGCCTTTATTTGCTGCATAAAGGGCCACTCGGGTTATTTCTCGTGTGGAAAATGCGAGGTCAAAGGCCAACGTGTACAAAATCGAACCGTATTTTTAAAGACTGATATTATCCTTAGGACGAATTTAAGTTTTAGAAACCAACACAAAGGCAACATCATCATGGCAATTCACCACTTGAATCACTTAATATTGACATGGTGAACGACTTTCCATTTGAATACATGCACCTGATTTGTCTCGGAGCGACTAAAAAAATATTGAAGTTATGGACAGATAAGAAACTTTCCCGCCACAGACTACGCTCCAAAGAAATTATTAGAATTTCAGATCATTTAGAATATACAAAAAAATTTGTGACGAATGACTTTGCTAGAAAGCCAAGGACATTGGGAGAGCTGGATCGCTGGAAGGCCACAGAACTTAGGACCTTTCTCCTCTACACGGGCCCCATAGTGCTAAAAAATAACATAAGTGACAAATATTACAGAAATTTTATGCTCCTTAGTGTTGCTACCAGATTACTTGCAGAGCCATGCCAATCAAAGGAGAATATAAATTATGCCGAACAGCTTTTAGAATATTTTGTTCATAATTTCATGGAAATTTATGGCAAGGAAAATGTTTCCTATAATATACATGGGCTCATTCACATAGCCAACGATGTTCGATTGCATGGTAATCTGGATAAATTTAGTGCGTTCAAATTTGAAAATTATTTATATCAATTAAAACGATTGATTAGATCATCTGCTCAACCTTTACCCCAACTACATCGCAGATTGGCCGAGAGAGAATGTGGAAAGTTTAAAACAAATGAGCACGAGGCAGATGCAGTCCAGCAGGTGGAGCTTACGAGCAAATTAATTGTTAGAACTAATACTCCAAATAATTTTGTGCTACTAAATAATGGATACATAATTAGTGTTACAAACATAAATAAATGTGGTGAAACCGAACTCGTTGGGAGAAGATTCAAAGAGTCAAAGAACTTATTTAGTTACCCTTGTGATTCAAAACTTCTTGATATTTATAAAGTGAAGTTTAATAATTTAACGGAGGAAATCTTTAGTTTTAATTTGCTTGACATTAAATATAAATTAGTAGCAATAACTAAATTAAGTGACTCCATTGGACTTTTTCCCATTCTTCATTCTAAGTTCCAGGATGGCGAAGGTGTTCGGCATTGCGAGTTTTGAGGACGATAACTCAGTCGCTGTTATCTCCAAAGCTTGGATGTGTGAGAATAATCTCGAAATATACTACCCTCCAAGTGGCACGAAGAGTATCAAAAAATTGGTTAAGAAAAACCTCGCACCTGGTGATTCTTGGCCAAAATACAAAGTCAAGATTCTTAAATGGTTTGGTAGGTTTCAAATCCTCTCACATATCTCGACTCTTTTATTTCAATCAATAATATCTCTTTATTTGTAGAAACTTATGAGGCAGCTCACACAAAACTGAACGATGCGACTTTAACGTCTGACCTCTCTGGAGCAGAAATTGGTAAAAGAAGATCTATCCCAACTTCTCTGCCTTCTTTTCCTACTCATCCTGCCCTGGTCATGGACTCTGAAATATTGGCATCTAGCAATGCAGTTAACACGCCCCTTGATAATAATGTGGAACAAGAAGTCGCCGTTCCTCTATCTGATACGAATCAAAATCCCGAAATTATTTATTACCAACCCGTGGACGACAACAGTAAGACGAAAGTATTAAATAAGTCCGAAACTAAATCATAATGTATGCTCTCCTATGCTTTCATTAGATTTCCAAGCTGAAGTTTTGAGAAGATTGGAATCCATGTCGCTGACCCTGCAGGAGCATGGCCGTAGTCTTGCTGCAATTACGGAACAAATTGCTGCACAATTATCGTCAGTCCGTGTTCCCTTGACTTATGAATTTGAAGTTGGAACCTTTCCGTGCAAAAATATAGAAAGCCTGAGAAATCTTGAATTACTTCTTACACGTGATGCATGGGCTCGTAAAAAAATGGTTAGTACATGTGTCCTATTATCGTTTTTATCGAAATTATGTAATTGCCTGTAAAAGTATAAACTCTTCTTAAATCGTTTCCCAATTAATATTTTAGGTTGAAATTTTGCGAGGATGTGGTGGAGGCACTATTGAGGACGCAGTTGATCTCATGTTTAACAAACTGATGACCGAAGAGGTCGCCGAATTACATAGCTTCAAAGGAAAGAGTAAAAAAACTGCATTCTTATCATACGTGGAATTGAATGATGCTTTATTACGTAAGAAAAGTAAATATTATTCTTTAAAATAGGTCTGGTATTACTTTTGCTGCATTTTAATTTATTTTGTTCAGTTGGACTTCAATGCAACACTAAGATCAAGGCAAATGCAACATTGGAAGCTCTACATTTGGCGATTCCCAAAACTCTGAAGAAAGCTGCAGACAGATTAAGAACTCGGAAGTAAGACAACAATAAAATATTTGTTTTTCTTAATGAGATCTATAAAATGTCATAAAATCAACAGGAGAGCAGCCAATGGACCTATTATTCCTACAATAAACCCAGTGGATGGTGAACAGGCAGCAAGTTCTAATTCTATTGCTTGATATTTGTTGTTATACTTTTCAACGTATGTGTCAATTTCAAATAAATTGTCACTTTGAATTTGAATCATTTGAATTTTGTATTGATTTTCAAGGCGATGTATCATTGAATAAAGTAAGCTACCATGAGCGAAATCACTGCGAAATCGGAGAGATTTTCGTCGTTAAATCGCTGCGATATAGCAATAAATCGCCGGCCATCTAGCGCCAATTTCGCGACTAATACGTAGCGATTTGCCTGGATTCGCTGAGCGAAATCCGTAGTCGATATCGCGGCGATATAGCGGGATTGTGCCGGCTGGGAAGTACAAATTATTGTAAACTTACTCTGATCAGTGGCGACTTTTTCGAAGGTTGTTATGCGAAGGTTGTAAAATTATTAAAATTACAAATTACAAATTTTAAAAATTCACAACTTTTGTAAAATTACAGAACTTATGAATTTTTAAGTTACCAATTACTGCGTGAATTGCTGTAATGAAAAAAGTGCATCGTTATTTCGTATAATTCAATATTTTTGCAGATTTCCTTCCACTAACACTTCCGATTTTCGCAAGCGAAATATTTCGCATGTTTTTGGCATTCGTATTTCCTAGAGCGTATAAATTGGTAAATATTTATTCATATGTACATATTTATTCACATCTTTTTTATCAAAGTTGGCCGGAAAAGTGTATATATTTCAATCAAGCATGATGATTTTTTATATCAGAAAAGCCCGAAATTGATGACTCGGTTCGTCTGCATAACATATGCAAATGACTTGGTGGGAAAAGCTTTTCAATTTATTACCGACTACAAAAGACTAATCGTTCTGGCCAAACCGGCCTCACTTTGGGACAAGTCAGGTGTCTCGTTTCCCATCCAACTCTTCATGTTCATGTACTGTTATCGACTTTGGTTCATTTACATCAACTACTTTAAACGACGAAACGAATCGAAAGAAATTGTCCTGTTTCACCAGAATTTCGAAAAGTTTGTGGGCGAAGAAAAAATTGGAGTGGTTAAGGTTAAATGTGGTAAGGGATTTTGCAACATATTTATTTTCACATATGAAAAAGAAATGAAATCAAAATTACCCAAAAATTATACGTCTAAAAAATTATGTAAAAAAGTTCTTCAAATTCTTGCTTTATCCAAAGTACCAGAAAATTGTAACAATTTTCTAGGACATTATGTATCTAGAAAAATTAAGGCGTTTTTGGTCATAATTGGACAAAAAATTGAGACAAAATCCTAACAAAAAATTCGAAATTATAGTTTTTTGTTGTCCCATGCGAACAAGCTCTACCCGATTACCTGTAATATTTGTTAACCTATTTATTTTTTAATAAATATTAAGTAGTACGTATATAGGGTTACATATTTGCATATCTTGAGACAGATAAAATTTTAAGTATTTTGTAAATTTTAATTTACATAGATCAATCTGACCAAAACTGCTTGGGCGAAGGATTTTTTGGAAAAGTGTACAAAGCTGAAATGGTCCATCCAAAGGAAGAAATTGTCGCAGTGAAATTCATCACAGATTTCAAATCCGTCCTAAAAGATGCCACCGCTTTGCAACAGGAGCTAAAAGTTTTAACTTTGCTAACTTCGACGTCAGACGAAAGCACCAATCTTGTCAGGTTTAAGGGGATTGCGTGGCATTTTTCCGATTTTACATATCAAGTCGCAATTGTATTGCAATATTGTGAAGGAGGAACGGTCAAAAATTATTTGGATGGAATTCGACTAGATTACAGTTTTCCGAGAAATGTGACATCGGAAATTTTGGAATCTCTGGAAACCTGGGGTCTTCAAGTTGTGAATGCGATGAAGTTTTTGGAATCAAAAAATGTAAAGGCTCAAATAAATTATGATATGCATTTTTATGCGCGACTATTTAATTTTTGAGCAGGTAATTCATGGCGATCTTTCCGCAAGAAATGTACTTTTGGATGAACAAAGAAATGCAAAAGTTTCCGATTTTGGAATGTCACTGAAATTATACCAGTACGAAGAATATGCTCATCCCGGACAATCAGTATGAGAACCATTGACTCCAAAATATGTGATAATATACACTCTTAAAAGTCATGTTACCATTTTAAAAGTAAATGCACTTTCAATTCTATGCACACATATTAAGTAAACTATTATAAATCCAGAGAAACATTAACTTGATAAAGACACAAGTTTATTCTGGATTTAGTACAGTTCACTTATTTAGATAATACAGAATTTAGGGTACATTTGCTCCTCAAAATGGTACCGTTATTTTTAAGAATGTGGATATTCTTTTTTTTAATTCTGATGTCATCTAAATACGTAAATATTTCCAGGTTTTCCCATGGCGACACATGTCCATAGAAGCCATACGTGATTTGAAATTCTCTGTAAAATCAGACGTCTGGTCGTTCGGGGTGCTTTTGTGGGAATTTTACACCTTTGGTGAAACTCCATGGGCGGGGATTGAATGGAACGGGGGCTTTGTAAAATTGTTGATGGATGGATACGCGTTGAGACAGCCGGATTTTGAGGGTCACATTTATACAGGTGTGTACAGATATAATATTTGCATATTATTTATACTGTAGAGTTTCAAAAACTATGGATTTGATTGCGAAATTGGGAAGTTCCGATGGTTTCGATACGTGTTTTAAGATGAGATTTTCTTATTCCAAATTTACAGAGGTGATGCTTCCCTGTTGGAATATGAATCCTTGTGAGCGTCCATCATTCGAGATGCTGGAAGCCTTACTGGTTGGTTGTAGTAAGAAAATGATATGCTAGTTTATGCAAAATTACATACATGGAAATTTAATATATTGTGATAAAATTCAAGTCAAGTTTATTATTAAAATTCCCTACACATTAATTTACACAAAATATGGATTAAATATGTGTACTAATTTTCACAAAATACATACAAGCCATGTATGCATTGTCAACACGAATTATTTACTAAATCTATCTATTTATATAAATCTATTTATTTATATTTATTACAGGTTTTAGAATTACACGAAGTTAAGTAGTATGTAGCTACATATATAAATATTATTGTGCATTTTGGGTATAAACAATTATTGTGTATTAGGCATCACATGTTATTTCATATTATCAATTCCAGTTTTATCTTAAAAAATACTTATGTAATTGTATAAGACAATTTTACACTTTCATCGTCAACAATTTGCAAATGTCTATTTGGGTCGTTATTTTCGCAGAATTAAAGCACCGTTAATCATATCACTTCTATGCTTATTTATCGCTCTTTTCAGATCTGTGTAGTCTCACTTGCATTAGGAATCATGCATATACAAATGTTATTTCATATCTTAAACTCTAACTTTATTATACATAAAAATACTTTTTGAATGTCGTATCGACAAGTTTCACACATTATTGAAAAACATTGCCCACGTTTGTGTGCATCTTTGGAAACAATTTCCACCTAAAACGCCCTTTTTCCATATCACTTTCTCAGATCTGTCCAGTTTCCACCTGTATCAGTTCGACTAAACCTCTCGCCTCATTAATAATTCTTCTAATGTATCCCATTTCGTAGTCTTGTTTCATCCGACTGCCTGACGCTGTCCGTCGGTCGATTACTTCATTTTCATCGGGCGTTTTCTCAATGGGATAAATATCGAGAAACTGGAAGGTTCTCCGAATTCGGAGGGACGTATAGTTGGAGACAATGTCGTCATACGTGGAGACCCAAATTCGCAAGAGGAGCTTCCCATCGGGGCCCAACTTGTCGTAAACTTGGTCTACAAATTTGACCATTTCTTCCCGCAGGGGATGCCACTTTGCAACTGACGCAATAATACTGGCTTTTTCCAGGGATAACTCTTTCCTTCGTTCGCTACCTGGTAGTTTAGCGACGCGTAAAGTTCCCGGGTAAAAGATGGGAGATAATAGGTCGAATACGAGCTTCCAGAATGTGTAACAGGCGGACTTTTGGCCTTCGTCCTGTAGAAAATTAAAATGGGATTAAATACATTTTCAATTAAGAAACACTGAGGACATTCACGCAGTCCTTAGTAATTTGGTAAAATTCTTAAACTTGTTAACTCATAAACCTCAACAAAATTTTGTAACTATTGAAACTATGAGCAAAATTAACTATCGTATTATTCTCATTCATCGCTTAAATTTTTATAAGCTTGCTCGGATAAAGAGCGTCTCGTAATTTTGTAACAGTTTGTAAAATTAGTTTACAAAATTTACCAAATTTTACAAAGTTACTAGATACTGCGTGAAATGCCTCAAACTTTCCAACTCTCTTACCCTGAACATATAATCAGACACGAGTGAATCCAACTTCTGCGGTTTTATAGCATCCCAATTCTTATCCGTCCTCAGAGTTCTCACATTATCGAAAAATAGTGAATTCGATAATAGCGAGTAGACCAGAAATACCTCACATTTCGTATACCTTCGCACCCCCGCTGACACACCTTCCACTTGGCCCGTAATCACGACGAAATCCCCAGCTGCCTCTAAAAAAATTAAAATCATTCATACATAGAAGAAGTAGTTCCATACAATAATTCATGTGATCACTACCCTCTAGATAATTTGGAGATAAATCGTCACCCACGGAGGTACTGTTTTTTTGGTAATGATTCGGAGTAACTTTGTCACCAACGGATAATTATTCAAAAACTCGTCTAACAAACAAAAGTAAGGTCGTTGTTTTTTTTAAATTCAATACTTTCATGTAAGAAAATTATACTTATTAAGATAAGAAAAATACACATTTTAAATTAACGACACCACGTGTGTTTGGTGCACGCTTTTCCATGGGTTACAAAACATCTCTGTAATCATGATTCAACAATTGAGCACTACCCCCACCGGTACCGATTTATTTCCAAATTATTTAGAGTGTGGTCATGGTACCTAAATGACGATAGATCGTCCTATAAAACGTGTTCACAATCTGAATGGGAAAATCCAGATCGTAAATCTTCATCCAGTTTAGAACACAAGTGTACCCAAGGCAAAAGAAGTTCACGATATTCATGAACTTTATCACGTTAAAGAAAAATCCTTGGTACGAGATTTCATGTCTGGTCAGATATTCATGAATCGTGAGGAGGTACTGCACCACGGTCCATACGATGTACGCGGGATCCTCCAAACCCCGTGAAATGTCGGTGGTCTCTTTCTCCCCGCTGATCGTCTTCGTCTTGTTGAGCAGTTCTTGGTAGATCGGGAGCGTCGCATTGGTCGTCCCGGGTGTTTCGGCCGTTTTCGTGGGAAAAAGGAAATCCCACGTGCCGAACACGATGAGGCCGCAGAACACGGTCGTGTAAAAGTTGAGGAGGTGGTCCAAAGGTTTTGGGTAGTGAACGCCGGGAACGAACAGGTTAATCCAGAGGTCGATCAAGTCAAAACCGGGCCAGGGGATGCCATGCCTGAAAAAAATTTGAATTTTTTAAAATTTAGTGTCTCCAGTTTTCGAAATACGTTACTGTGAATCCAGCATAAGAATAATACCCAGCGGTAGTGGCACTCATAACTTATGCCGTACAGTAATAAATTGCTCGGTATTAAAGCATCATTTAATCATAGGAAAACTTCTAAGAAGCGGTATATCTAATTATAATACCGAGCCGTAGCAACTTTAATTCCGAGAAGTCAATACGTGTCGGACCATTTAAATATATCACATTTTTAGTAGTGTTTCTAGGAAATATTTGTAACAATGGTTATCAAAATTAACTTTCGTAATTTGTAAATCGTCTACATAAAATACCCAAAATTCCGCAGAAAAATATGCGAAAAATTGGAACGTTGTTATCACATTATACATTTACCCAACATGAAACGTTTAAAGACAAAAAATTAAACTAGCATACAATGGATTGTCCAGGACGGGTCGGAAACGCCACGACGACTTATTCCAGACATAGATGAGGACATAGTTCACTGTCAGAATGCACAACGTTGAGACAATGAATTGGAACGGAGACCAAAAAATTATCGCGGAATAGAAGCAAATCCTAATTCCTGTAAGGTAAAAGCGTCCAGAAATTAGCCAATTTAATATAGGAAAATCATAAATTTGCACAATTTTCATCGTGATTTAACACAACGAGTTTGTCATAATCTTGTCTAACTGCATACTTACCAATTGAGAACACTAGGTTGACAAAGTTGGTCACCAAATACCCCTCGGCTGGAATTACGAGATTCATCCCCAGTTTAAACCCGGATTTAAAGCAGTCTTCAAACCGTAACACTTTCTTATACGCTAAGTAATCTGCTTGGTAATTCGTCGCAGAGATTGAGGCAGAAATTATCGTGAAGAAAATTGTGGCCAGTCTGTCCTCTGAAAGCACAAAAAATGCATAAATAATTTTTTCATAAATAAAGCAATTCATGTAGTCATTGGTAAATTTGTAAAATCTGTAAATTTCATAAACGTTTACAAATATTTCTGAGGAAAATTATGCCAGCAAATTTTTGACAACGTACATACTCAGATTAAGAGCGTCTCTTATTTTTTAAATTGTGCAAAATGATTTTATAAACCCCACGGACTTTACAAAGTTCCCAAGGACTGCGTAAATTGCGTCATTATTTCATGCAATATTTATTTAAATAACTATATAAATTTTATTTACGGTCCACGGTCGAGTAAAGTTTAAGTGTGGCGCCAGGATGTGACTGGGACATTAGAAAAACTTGGACCAACGCGGTTGGAACGGTTTTAAAGAAAGAGTCCACCAAATCATAATGACTTTCCACGAGCTGGTTCCTCTTCTGGTCAACCACGTAGCGAATTTCCCGTCTGAAATTTTCATAATATTTCAGCTTCGATAAAATTATACAATTCTGCAAAGAAATTCGCGTGAAAAAATTGACCAAATTTGGTCATGGAAAATTGAAATTCATACAGATATGCAAGCTTGAAATTTCTAAATTTCGCACAATTCGTAACAAAAAAATCTGCAAAGAAATCCCTGCAGAAATTGGAACTACTTATGAAGACTTTGACAATAAAAATTTCTACAGATATTTTAATAATTCGTAACCGAATTAAGTATGCTAATTTTTGCAGACATAGTTGTTACAGGTTTTTGCAACTTTGTCAAACTCACGCCGATAGTTTGGTCCTTCTCATCCTTAAAATCTGAATTTGCTTATTCCTCCTTCGATTTTCCAGGTACGCTGTGAACAACCTGTAATTACATTATTCAGTTTTTGCCACGGAAAAAAGAGAAAGAAACTCCAAACAAATATTGCAAAAAAATACCTAAATAATCTCATTGTGAGCGTGAGATGGGCCAGCCACCTCAGAAATATGAACCCTTTATATTTCCTACTTAAGTATTTTCCCCTCCTCCCCGTTATCGCGTCTTTGCTAAAATACAAAAAAAACTTAATATCTGCATGCATTTCACACACGTGCGAAAAATGGGAATGAGTTTTACGGAATTGTACATAAATACTTATTATACTCACTTGAGCGAATCAATTACTGAGATTAATAAACTCGAAAAAATGTGGAATCCGACCAGAAACGCTGCTATCACTCTCCTACAAAAAAAGCAAACGCAAATTGCATTCAAAACCCTCCAATTTACACATTATTTTCAAAATTTATTAAAAATTTTAACAAACTCTAGAAAACAATTCATTACATATTGCGAATCACACTCTTAGAAATCTGGTATGGTTACATAGGTATTAATTTCTCGATTATATTAAACCTGCTACCGCTTCATATTAATGTTTTACCGGTACGTAAAAATGTGGTATCGATATTTTAAAACTTTAATATCGAGATGTTGCTCCACGGTATTACTTTTCAATACCATTTGGATAAAGTCCTACATCAATACCGCTTGATGTCATTTTAGTACCAGCTTTCTAAGAGAGTATTCATCCATAATTCGCACAAAGTTTTTGCATAAAACTTACGGATCACCAAACGAATTCGAGTCATTCTTATGTTTAATCGCACTATAAGTATTTTTCACTAAAAAATACGAATCTATAAAATAAATGGACACTGCGATCAGGAATTTTATGAAGGGGATGAGAATCGGTGCCCCCAATTCGTCCCAGGCCTCCGCCCATTCGTCGCCGATGTCCTGATGGACGGGGAGGATAAATTTCGACGCCATCTTCCTCGGCGCGGGATCCGGATCCTCCTCCGAATCCACGTCGCCACTTGCATCGACCCCATTACTCGTCGCCATGGCAACAATTATGTTCTGTCTCTGTCGACTTTATCCTCACATAAATAAACCCGTTTTTTACAGTATATTTCACATATTCGATGATGATATTCTGCCAACTTTTTCCTAAAAAAATAACCAGGTATACAATTCTTAAAGTATATTTCACAATTTTAAATATCTGTGATGTACTTTGTCGAAAATTTTTGAGTTAATTTTGGAAATTAAATGGGCTAAAGTTTCCAGTTCGTAACTTTGTTGTCTCTTTTATCCATGGAAACGGTACGATAAATATTATACCACTGTTTAAATTATTTCCTCCTCCGTCGTACAATAAATCCCGTCTATGTAAGTACATGAATTAATTTGCATATCAATTAAAACTCGATGGCACAAAACCCACAGAACTTTACTAAAGCGTAGAAAACCCCGCAAATTTCCGGTTGCTTACAGATTTATGTACATAACTAGTTATCTTAACGTAATGGAAAGCGATATTTGGAAAATACTTTTACATATTTTTCCAAGAAATGTGTCATGCTTTTAAAAAATTTGCAGCAGAAATTGCACACTTTTATGTATCCAAAAATGTGAGTCACTTTCTATGTTCATGGTTAAAAGTAGCCCAGGGAACAGATGATTCTTATGGCAAACATGTACATGGGACTGCTCATAAATTATGTAGTACTCGATTAAAGGAAATACCTTAATCTAAAATCTTCAATTATATATGTACCAACTCATGTTACATAATGTTGGAAACGCTAATTAACGGTTGCGCATGAAATCCGGATTATTTTCCACAGCGTTAATGCACGTCCCCCGATTTGAATAAACAACACAATTGAGGAGCCGGATTACAGTGTAGTACGCAAGAAATGGAAGTGGTGGTGGATTGGATTAGTAGAGTGGATCAGCATTTATGTACCCACAGTTTTGGCATGGCTGCATGCATCATAAAATATATCGTAACGTAAACTTCGCAAAGTGCACTGCTCATGTTGCTTATTAGCGAGACAAAGCTGTCTCTCCAAACAATGTATGACATGCTTTTACCCAATCCTGAGTAGGGACTGTGCAGAAAGAATGTGATGGATTCGCGGGGTGCTAGGGGTTAGGGCATCCTATCCTTCCAATAACATGGGGCGTATAGGTCATACCGGGGGCTGGGGTCAAAATTTCCTTAAAACTGATAACATGCTTTATGTACGGCCCCTTATGCATGGGATAAATATTTTCAATGCATTTTACAACCCAGGGTTATTCACCATGAATGAAGTATTAACACTCTTTCATCCAATGAAGGTTAAGTATACGTGAGTTACAATTTGTTAAAATACTTTATATGCTTGTTTAAATCTAATTAAAATCGCAATGTTGTTGTAATGACTAAAATCGTAATGCGGCATATGTACATAGATACATATGTACGTATGCATATACATACGTAAAATGCGTTTACTTAAAGTGTATGTACATACACTGCATACACACACATATATATATACATACATATGTATGTACCGTGCTCGGTCATATACTCTTAGAAACATGTATTAAATCGTTACCAACAGGAGTATATATTTACTTATACCTATGACTGGTACGGGTAACAAAGGGTATTACTGTTGAGGTAACGAAAAATTTATCGCACAGAAAAATAAGTTATTATCACATCAATACCAGTACGGAGCATACTTATATCTGACTCTACCAAATTTTTAACAGTGTTCATACTTGTGTAAATATGAAAAAATTGTATACATTTCTTAAAGTGTGTGGTTAAAATCCAATCGCATTAAGGACTTCACATATTTTCAAAGTTTATATTTTATTCCGGTAAGCAAATTAAATCTGTTTTAAAATTTCGCTAATTTCGCACATATGTACGTTCAGATGTAGGTGTATCTATGTACATATATGTATACTCAAGTATTGACACCAACATGGAACTTCTCATTATTCTAGAATTTAAACCAATCTAAGTATTCTGTACTAGTTGAAACTAGGTATTCATGTTGTGCTATGAAGTTTAAACAAAGTCTTGATAAAAAATTATAACTCGCAATTCACCTTTGAAGCATAATAGATTCAGACCATGTTAAGAAATTTCCACGATTTGAATTCAAATTTGTAAAACCTAGTTTTCACCTGTTGTCTTTAGATGTTTCATTCTTCGAAAGAGAAATTTGTAACAATGCGCCGAGATACACACAAAATGCTTTAATCCCATAAAGTACCCCTAATTAAGCAAAATCTTACATGAGCGGTATTGCATGCAACTATTTGATCATATTTACATAAGTCTTACTCCTACGGTCAAGTAAATTCCGAGGAATATCAATAGGTCAATACCAATTGGATACACGTGTAATATAGGCTCAATTTGTTACGTATAATGTTTGGTTGGTTTAAATTACTTCGTTCGTACTGAATTTCCATCCACACAAAACTGAAACTAGTCGATAAATTACTTAAATTTTAAGCATCCGGCGAGTATTAGAAATGCTTATACGAAAAGTTTCATAATCCGCGAAGTAACAAAGTACTTAAATTTTTGTCCAATTTAGTAAAATTGGCGGGCTGATGCATCACACATACCTAGCAGTCGGAGAATATGTGAACAAACAGCACCAAAAATGATGGCCTTCAGGGGCTTTCTACACATCTTTGCCCATTGTTGCTTTGAATTTTTCAATTTTAACGATATTCCTCTAGACAACCGGTACATCACGGTACCTATGTTAAACACGTATATTTTCAACCTGACCCGAAACCAATCTTTTTCTGGGGTTGTAAATCTCAAGAACAAAATTTGTAATACCTGCACAGCTGAATTATTCAATTTAGACGATATTCTACTAAACGTCCCCAACTTTTTTGATGTCATCACTTCTTCAATGACGAAAACTCATCCAAGTTTTCGTATTTTTGTGTATTCACGTGACGATCCGACTTCAATTAATACCCTGCCCAATAGCATAACAAGAATTTCAACTGCAGAGAATATTTTCGTTGAAATTAAAAATAATCCAGTACTTTATATACATCGTGTAAGCACTTTAAGAGCATCAAGATTTGTACAATTATGCTCCCTGGCTACATGCAATACTTCCATATCACACCAATTGCAAGTAATGTGGAAACCAACAGGTCGTGATTTGAGTAACCAATACGTTTCCCTGCCTCAATATCTTAACAAGGAGGTCAATTTTTGGGGTGAATTCGAATCGACAAAACAGTTCCTCGAACGATTTTGCAGCGATTCAAATAAATGGTATCACCACGAAGTTCGTCAGTTTTTAGCTATCCCCACTGAGTGGTGCTTACTGTTTCATTTCATTCTGGAGACGAACGTTACTGTGCAAGAGACTGACTTGGCGAGAAGGGATAAGCTAAATTTCATTCAGAAATTGAAATTCCCTGATATATCGCGCAGAGGGCTGCACACAAATATGATTGATATTCACCCACATGCGGAAACTCATGATGGTCTATTCTACTCCGTTTTTATCAACAAATCCGAGCTTGGGACAAATTTGAATCTAATAAAACCATTTAACGGTTACGTCTGGATAACGTTCATCTCCTCTGGGGTACTTCTTTCGGTGGGATTGTGCGTCCTACTCGACAAAAGATGGACGTATATAGGTTCAATTGTTTTTTTCATGTTTTCTATTTCTTTGTTACAAACCAATGAGGTATTTGAAAATATGTTGAGACGTAAGCTTAAAATTGGGTCATTTATTATTGCAACGTGGTCAGGAATGATGATAGTCTTAGCGTATACATATATGAATTTGATTTATTCCGTTGTAATGTCTCCGATTAAACCTAACTTGCCGAACAGTTTGCATGAACTTCTGAAACTTGAGGAGATCAAGGTTTACACATTTCAACATCCTCAGTACGCGATAATAACGACAAGAGTGGATGATTTAATAGATAGGGTGGTAGAGTTTGCAGGTGGACGGAATAAAAGTGTTGAGACTGTTGAAACCGTTGATGATAAAAATCTTTTCGAGAATACCGTACTTTCACTTGCATATCATGGGTTTGTCGGTGCTAAACGTATCTCCCCGAAATTTATAGGCTTACAGAGTTTTGGAAATTTGAAGACCTTCACGAAACTACTATTGGAAACTGGTAGGTTTGTGATGGTCAAAAATAATGACCATCACCTAATAAATTTCAGATCTGTATGGATTTCGACAAGATATAGAGTTGGCCAAGTATTTGGAACATTTTTGAAGGGCCTACACGAATCAGGGATTTACTCATTTTGGTTAAGAAGGTGGCATAAATACTTGGATTCAGCAGGATTACGTACTGTACGGCATAAAAACAAGGAATATAATGGTGGTCGTACGACAGTTCATTTGTCACCGAAGGATAAACCCCTTACTTTTATACAGCTAATGATGCAATTTTCACTTTTAGGGATTGGGTTAGCAATCGCATGTTTTGGACAAATTTTGGAGATTGTATGGTCAATCGGTGGAAATATCTTGAAAAAGGCAAATTAACCCGTTCTTAGATAAACAAGTTACTGAAAAAATGGAAACTAACTTTCATTCCACTATTAATAAGGTACTATTATTGAAGTACACTCTGAAAAATAATGCCCCTCCCCCTTTGAAAATTAATTACATGAACAATTTATATAAAGTACACAATCATAAATCCTTATTTACTCTCCTAGATATGTGGCATAGATTTGTAGTATAATATACAGAGTATATATATGCATACATATATCGAAACTTATGTAAATATATACATACATATAAGAAAGTGTTTGTACAATTTACATATGGGCATAGTAAGAATTAAAATAATAAGAAATAGTAATTATCACTACCCATAGATTCTTGTAAATATTTTACCCCTCTTGTACAGTCATTGAGCACTAAATTAAGTATGTAAACCATGCAAAATGCAGACCTATCCTTGACGAAGTTAGTATGATATACATTTGTAGTGTAACACTTAATAACTAGTATTAATAAATATATCCATAATATGTAATTCTGGATTACAATTTCTGGTCGTGCTGTGAATGCTGATTATAATTATGGTTTTACCTATTGTGAAATAAAGAGTTTTGATTCTCAAAACCTTAAGCAACTCAAAAAAGCAAGGGTAACAGACGAACATGGTGCATACATACTTATATACATACAGACCTATTTACATATTTATATGTACATTTACATATGTACATACATGTACTAATCATAGCAAGGGTGTCCAATTATGCATGTGAAACTTGTAATACTACATAAATACTTAATACTACTTATTTATTTAAACGCTGTTCGTGTATACACAGCTTTAACAACTTTTCACAACGTATTAACATCTTAACTCTAAAATTTAATTCCTTTCCATTGAATTAGGCAAGTTATTACATGAAACTGGGATACAGACGTAAGTCTTACTCCTACGTTCAAGTCAGAACCAACGCCCTAAGAATTTTGTAAGAAATTCGGGAAACCCATTAGGGGCCGTTCATAAATTATGTAACGCAAAAATTGACTTTTTTCAGACCCCTCCCCCCCCCCCTCTGTCACACTAGCGTAACGCAAGACCACTACGCCCCCCCTCCCCCTGTGTAACGTAACGAAAATCTCATTTTTCTCAGAAAAAATGAAAGACCCAAAAGGAACGTGCAAAAAGTAGATGTTACGTATTACCCCTATTTCGTATATGTACTTTGTATGTGACTCTAGAGATTTGTAAGTGTATGCAAAACAAAAATTCGCAAATACTCTATGCAATTTCGTGTCGCTTAAATAAAGCACATTGTTCTCATCGTCAAATGTATTTATGGTCAACATTTATCTTAATCTTTATTGTCTTGAATCACATATTCGTTATAATTGCACAATTTATTTGAAAGATTTGATTGCATATTAACCTCACATCATTGAGAAATACGGCTACCTCCTTTTCCTCTACAAGCTCAAATTTGGAACAAATGTATGTATTTTGAAAAATCTCAAAACTGCTAAACTACACAATTAGATATTTCCACGCTGGCAAAAATTCATCAATCGTCAGGGTTCCAAAAAAAATCATTTTTGTTAAATTGCTAAATTTTACAGTGAACTTTTGTACAAAGAGAAATTATTAAATCACGCTCACAATATGTGTAAACGAAAAGTATCCTACGAATAAAATAATAATTTGATACATTTTTGGATCACATTTGGGGATGAAATTTGACAAAAACTTTCAAAAATACCAATTAAATACATGACACATTGTAAGACAAACTCAAAAGCACACTTAAAATTAATGTTGCCCTTTTGAAAAGAAATTAGACTATTAATCCTTACTTTTCAAAATAGTACCATCATTTTTAAGAGTGCATTAAAAAACCAGAGAAACTTTTCATAAAAAAACAAAACATCAAGCACCCTGGTCAAATCCACATCCACTTTCTCCCATCCTTTACCTACTAATAAGCCATAAATATTTTTATAACTATTCTAATATTGTCAAAATTTTGAAACTTTGTTTATTATCATTTTGGAAGATCACGAAACTGAAATTGATTGCCTCTTCATTTCTTCCCGAGCACGCGGAGAACGGATTTTCCTCGCGACTGTGAAATAAAAATTAGACTCTCAGTTAGCCCCAGGTATCTACAAGAAAGCCAATTACCTTTAATAAGCTTGACATAATTACGTTCTGGCGGGAAGTTGAACCACCTCTCGCACGTCCGACACGGGCCGGGTAGATATTCCCGCGGGAAATTCTGGGAGGAAAAACGTTTCCCCTCCCACCACGGTAGTAGAGCGGGAAATCGCCCCGTTTTCCGTACTCGAGGGCGGCCTGGGCAGCCAGAAGTTCGTCAACGTATTCATCCTCGGAGGTAGGCCCGTCCTTAAAAAAGCGAATAATTTTTGCAATTTTTAAAAATATTGCAAATTTATTTGAGCACAGATTTATTTAGTGAATTAATATTTGCGCAAAAAATCTGTAAATGGGATAGTATGGGCCTACTCACGTCAACGTTATAAATATTTTTGCACAAACAAATAGGTTTTAACGCGACGAAATTCAAAACCATTTTTTTCATATTTTATACATATCTACATAGATATGGTAAAACAAATCCAATCGTATTCGAGCAAGCAAGAGAGTAAGAGGAATTCGCGAATTTCGCAAGGTCAAGTTTTTATGAAAATTTGCGAGATTTTAGTCCCATTCTCTTCATATAAATACATATTTAAGCTTGCCAAAAATCTTTGCATTTTATTTAGCAAACCTTCATAAAGGAAATCCGCAAGTATCAAAATGTATAGAATTCGTGATAGAAACAATTTCTAAAATCGCAATCTTTTTGCACGTTTTTTTTAATTCCCGCCACCAACTGTTCAGCGTTGGTTGAAGCAATCCAGAAATATGTATGCATAACGGTCCCGGTTATATAATGTTTTATTACGAATTTTGCAATTTTACGAGCATGCAAAATTTAAAAAAAAACTACACTTACCACCCAAGTGCCACCGCCCACCCCCACGGAACCTGCCTCGTCCTGGGCTATTCCCAACGAAACCAGCCCCACTAGGAGGACCACCATGGTCACGAAAGCTCCAATTTGGGCCATTTTGTTTGATTCACTCCAAAGATTTCCAAAAATTTGTTTGTCTTCTTGGACTCCGCAAATCTGATAATCCTCTCGGGAAGGGAAAGTGCGAATGAATGAGACGAAACGGCCCAGGGACGGAGAGGGGTGTCGTCACGGAGGTGGTGGAGAAAGTGGAGAAAGCCACTACTGCGTAGTCGTTGTTTATTATGTAACTTTTTCCACAATGGAAAAACTGTGACACTCTCACACTCATGTAGCCGTATGGGTGGGTGTATGGGAACTACAGAAAAAGGAGGCGACCAGGGTGTCCAAATTGCAGAAAACGTCTAGATATTGGTTTACTAAATCTGCACAGTTTTCAGAATTATGTAAATATTTAATTGAGCTGAATTCTAAGTAAATTTCAAATTTACCCTGCAAGTTTAATAAGTCCAGATATATTTTTACATAGCGGTACCTATATATTGTTTGTATGCCCTTAATGTTTCGATGATGTCCGACATGCATAATCATCATAATTTATTATATTGTTCAACTTTTTCAGTTAAAGACATTAATTATAAGAATTTTATAAATTTTTGAATTCATGGACTACTTTTCAATGAAAAGTTTTCAAGTTAAAAAACTTGTGAATCAAATATTAAATTTGATTAAATTTAAATTTTGAATTTAATTTAAATTTTAATTTTTCACCTGCTACAACTTGTTCCTCCATAAATAAACTGAAAAACTTGAGAATGACAATTTCTAAAAGGTGTAAATTTATGAACAAATATTTCAAAAATTTTGGCAATCATTAATTTTACCCTTAATTTAAGGGACACATTAATTTTTTCATGCATCACTGTCACATCAATTTACCGTATTGTATACATACGGAAAATTTATGTTACTACCCGAATACGGGTAGTAAAAATCGGGAGAAATGACCCTTTTTTTACGGGTAAACCCTGTTTTCCCGGTCGGGCCGTATCTCTCTCTTGGTATGTGCATACATACATTCATATGTCTGTGCTCCCTGCGAGCGGGGATGCCTGGGGAGAAAGTCGGAGAAAGTCAGTCAGACTGCTTGGCTCCCAGGATTCATTTTACACTGGAAACTTGTATCTTTAAGCTTTCATCGATCTCTTAAATTCTCTTCTGCATGCTCCATTTCACACAAATGTGATTCTAACCGTGTCCCTTACACACACATAGAAATATAAGTCTTCTTCTTCCTCCTCCTTTCTCATTGATTTCTTCGTGTCCTTCAGGCCAAGAAAGACCCTCCATTTTTGCGAGTCTTGTCCCACCTTGAACAAAAATCAGCAAAAATAAAATTTGAAATCCTTACAAAAATTGTATTTTAATTTTTAAAGGCGGACTTGTTTTGCGTTCAAATCAAATCACACAATTTACATAGACCGCATTCTCAGTACATTGTAGGATCTGCATATGTTCATACATATGCAAATGTGTAAGGGTATGTAAAATTTACATAACATGATCTGCTCTGCAACACATGTGCCAAATTATGTATGCATGTTGACTGCATGGCTCTCATCCGTTTTGCGAAAATACGAAACTATGTATTTATCTACATAATCACATCCGTCCTGGAATGGAAACAAAATCAATACTTATCCGTGGTCTTTATCCATGTGTGTCTAGCACACATGTTGACCGATTAAAAAAATATTTTCGATTTTATAATTACACCATCATCTTACCGATAGCTTACGATTAATACATATTTACATACATTTGAATATGTATATATATATGCATAAATACATACATACATAAGTGCATTAATTGGTTTATCTACTTGTACTTATATGTACAAATGTATAGCCCACGCATTTCATGGCAGTGCACTGTACACGTGTGTAATACAATGTAGTTGACCACCGCTTTTTGTGTGCAAAATTAACACTAAGCTCAGTTCTTACTTCAATATCCTTGTTGAGCGATTCACACATCATCTCCAAATCCTGTCCTGCATTGCGGTTTGACACAGTGCCAATTAATTTTAGCAGAGAAGATGTGTCCGAACGACAGTATGCAAAGTAAGGATGAGTCATGGCGCATATGTACAAATGATGTGATATTTAATATGCTCATGCATGCATATACATACGAACAAACCCATTCAGTACATTACATGCATGGATACATCGTATAACACTCATTTACTTACATATGTGCAAGGCCAAACCTATTTAACTTAGGAATGGTCACTGGGATAAAAACTCATGAAAAAAATACACCGTTAAAAATCTGGTAGAGTCACATTGATACTCCGTACTGGTATTGATTTGGTAATAATTTCCTACCGGACTGGTGGTAAATTGTTCCTGAGTGGTCGATTTTTCATTGCCACAAGATTACTGAACGGTAATTCCCGTTAATACCAGTGCCGGTAGAGTCACATGCGTACTCCGACCGGTAATGGACCATTACTAATGGTTTAATACCAGTTTTCTAAGAGTGTACTTATGTATGTACCTATCATCATGCATACATATGTAACATCGTGATTGCTAAAAAACTCATGGTCAGAACACAGCTGAACTTAATAAAAAATGTATGCACATACATTTATCTGCAAAACTGACCCACTTGATGTCCCACAATTCAATTCTGTTGTATTCGCTGGGCAGAAATGTTGTAGTTTTTATTAAATGAAATATTTTACTTGTTGTGGTCAACGGAACTATAGCATTTTTTAATAAATAAATATAACTACGTGCCAAAAAAATGTTGTCTTGGTTGTGGTCAACCCTGATTTACTTGATCCTTCTCCCCGCCCTGGTTCTTTTCGGGGTCAGAGTGTTAATTAAAAAACGGAGGGGAAAGCTTGATCTCACGAATGAGGTCGATATCCAGGGAAAAACCGTGATCGTGACGGGAGCCTCGGACGGCGTGGGGAAAGCGACCGCGGAGGAGTTTGCGCTTCGTGGCGCGCGAGTTATCATGGCGTGCAGGAATTTGCAAAAGGCGGAAAAATGTGTGCAAGAAATTCGGCAGAGGACTTCAAATGGAGAATTGGTAGGTGAATATTTTTGACAAAAATAGAGGAGGAAAATTAATAGGGGTACGAATAAATATGTTAGCTGCGGACAGGGTATGCTATCCCGGGTTTTCCAGTTTTGCGGATTTTGGTGGGTTTCGGTGTAGCAAATATGTATGAGCCAGTACCCACGGGTAGTTGGGGTTTTCAAATTTAAGAAAGTATAATAACAGGGAATATCCAACAATTTTACAAATTAATCATTTAGTTATTCAAATTGGATAAATAAACAGGTTTGTTGCTAAATTACTGGAAAAGCAGATTTTTTCACAACTTAATTCATGCAGTACTGACTCAATTTGCCCCCATTACCCCGAATACCCCTACAACCCAGGTAAAACCCATGGGTTTGGGTTTTCAATAGCAAAACTCTAGAGTTTTCCTTATACATAGATACTGGCTGCAGAGACATGAATATTGCTCCCTCCCCCAAAAACAAGTCCGCAAAATCGTACATTTCCTATGTTAATTTTCATGTATTTCAAATTGAAATTTTCAATCCATATACTTATGTACATGCTAATCCTAAGTTTCATAGATTTTGAAAGGTTTTCATCATGAGTACCCCGATAAGTTTTTTAAAAATCTTTGTACACCTATTCAAATCACGGCATTAAGTGTGTTGATTTATGTATGAACTAAATTGTCATGCGTACTCCCAGCACATTTATTAATTCTTTAAATCCAAGAATTTGCTGTTTAGAATTTTTTGCAAACCTAAATACTTAAATCATGCCAACAAATTTGTACGATTTGAGAACCCCCAATAAGCAAATTTTTATTATTAACTAGACAATCATCTTATCTGTAATCCTAGATCGTTATGGAATTAGACCTCTCAAAATTATCCTCCGTGCGAAAATTTGCGTCCGAATTTCTCCTAAAATACGGTGGCGCCTCGAACCCCGCCGGGCTTTCTATTCTCGTCAACAATGCCGGGATCTTTAACCCGTACGGGGTCAGGAAAGTGACCGAAGACGGATTCGAGGAAACCTTCGGGGTCAACCACCTCGCCCACTTCCTCCTCACGAACCTCCTCCTCCCCGAGATTGAAAAAGCCGGCTCCACTACGTCCAACCCGGGCCGGATCGTCACCCTCTCGTCACTCGCTCACGCCTCCGGCCAACTCAACTTTGACGACTTAATGTTTCACAAAACACCCTTCGTCGACTTCAGACTGTTTTCAAAATTTTATGCAAACTCAAAATTGGCAAATAATCTGTTCAATTTGGAGCTAGCGAAGAGATTGAGGGCAAAAAAGGTTAACGTAAATTCCTACGCGTTATGTCCTGGAACTGTGGTGACGAATATTTTGACCGAGTTCCGTAACGAAATGCCACGTGACCTTTACTGGCTCGTGTTCCACGTGGTGGGCCTGCTTTTTATCACCCTGTCGGGCAAGACCGCTAAAGAGGTTAGTGGTCATTTTTGTTTTTCAGCTACAGAACTGACTCTTCGTTCAAAAAAATTAAGACGAAAAAAATTTGAGAGGTTAACTGGCAGCGTGTGTTTATGTACAACAAAGTCCACTTACTTAGAAAAATGTGTCTTAATTTTTTAAATGGAACAGGAAGAGCATTTTTGCACAGAAATAATGGGGGTATTCATTACGAGTTGGCATGTTCGTATCGCAATGAAATTTTGAAAAAAATTTCGAACTAAGTAAATACAGATGCATACTTGCAGATGCACAACGTCGCAAATTAATTTTTAAGCAACCATTTTTTGCGAACTTAATTTTTTGCTAATTAAATGCTGTGAGCTCGTGATGAATATCCTTAAATAAAAATGAGTAAAATTTACTCAATGTTGGGTAAGAAAGAGGATGACACAACCAAAAGGTAAAATTTGTCCAAAGCTGTGTAAAATTTACCAAACCTTGAGTAAATTTTACTCATTTATATTTACAGTGTAATATTTATATAAATCAGTTCCAGCGTTTTTTTTTGGGGTTCTGCAGGGGCGATATGTAAATAAATATGTAAATTTCTGTTCACAGGGCGCAGAGACGACGATGTACTGCTCTCTGAGCAAGTATTTGACCCACCACAGTGGCGAAATGTATAGAAATTGCGAATTTTGGGATTACAGCAAGCGACCCAAGTTGAGCGAGGAGGATGCAGCCAGACTTTGGGAGATTAGTGAAAAGTTGGTCAAACTGAAGTAAACAATTCAAATGAATTAAATAATGTCAGAATTTTCACGACTTTTGGAAAAGGTTTAAACCCAAAAGTTGAATTTCAGTATTGCGTGCGTGCATAATTACAATTACAAATCCTAATTATTTCTTCTGTACGTATACTTAATCTGAACGATTTCAAATTTGCAACTTTACAATTAATAATTAAGGACAAATTAAAAAAAATATGCAAAAAAATAACGATTACTTCTCGACTGCATTAAACCAGCAGGTACAACTTTATTCAAAATTGTCAGTCACGTGGTCCATTTGAAATACATACATGTTCATTTGCATATCAGATCATCAAATTCAACAATTTATATAAATATCCATCAATACAAAAAGATCAACAAATACATCTACGAGCAATATCAAAAAATGAAAAAAAAATAAAATAAATTTCCCCCAAAAAAGAAAATCCGACATTTTTCTTATAAACGTCGAAATAAATTTTAAAGTAGTAAATAAAGCTGGTGCACTAAAATAAATAAAGTGGGCTATCTATAAATCACAAAGTTATTTCAAGAAATTTATTTCTTTAACATTGTAAAGAATAGAAAATATGGAATAAATAAAAAAATTCAGCAGATACATAAAATAATAAGGGAAACAAATTCTAAAATTTATGGTCCGCTGTTCTCCGCATCCTCCTTCGCCATTCCTGCAGCCTCAAACGCAGCAATCAATTCAGGGCGATTCAACTTCCTCCCAAATTCCCAAGTGTTGTGTTCCCTACGACATTAAAAAACAATTTAATTAAGGGGGCCGTTCATAAATTATGGAACGCAAAACATCGCGATTTTCTAGACCGCCGCCCCCTTCTCGCGTTACATAATTTAAAAACTCGTTTAATTCTCACCCACTGAATTTAATACAAAATAAACAATGAGGGTATTCATGAGTTACGACGGTTACAAGATTTTGTACTATTTCATCATCAAAAGTCACGTTGCCAATAATGCTATGGTGCCAAGTGCAAAGCTCCGATTTTGTTTTGGAATTATCAAGTTCGAGTTAATACATAAAAGGCAATAAATTCATTTAGGCAGTTTCTGTGAAAATTTTGGTCAAGATGTTCAAAATTTTCCATGTCAAAGTTGAACGAATGATCGGTTTTTACCAAAACAAAGCTCAAATTTGCCAATTTTCTTCCTCCGCCTGGTAAATTCTGACAATTTGTTCAACTTTGACCTAACTAAAATATTTTGACCATCGGACAAACTGCTTCCAGAAATATTGACTTGAACTTGAAAATTTTGACTAAATCGGAGAGTTACACTTCACACCATCGCATTATAAGTAACGTCACTAAGCTGGTTTTCCCTATGTTTATAAAACTAAACGAAGAAATAACGAATATCATCAATAATAAGTGTATATTTAGTTTACTCACTCCCCATAATCCTTCCATTTGCAAAGATACTCGGCCTTTCCCCGGGAGTCGATGCGCTTATCGAGAATAGTTTCTAAAACATACTGCTCCCGTTCTTCGGGAGAGTCATCGTCGCTGCTGTTACTGCTGCTGCTGTTGTCCGTCGCCTCCTCCACGTCCGAGTCCCCCTCAGCTTCGTCGCTGGCCTCTTCGAATGCCTCTTTCTTGGCCTCCAATTCAGCTTCAAAGGCTTCAATCAGCTCAATGCAGTCAAGATCCTCGTCCAATTCCCAAGTGTTGTCCTCCCTACAACATTAAATAATTAAATGGTAAATTAATTAATTAATTTGATTCTTATTGTCGGAATCTTATTAAAATAAGTTAAAGATTTGGTAAGATTTTGTCAGAAAAAATGCGTTACCAAGGTTACGACGCTTGTTTTTCTTGGTAAACTACATATTGATTTTACGAAGAAATAATGAATACCCCGAATTAATAACTTACTCTCCATGATCTCTCCACTGGACATAATATTCCGTACTGCCGCGGGGGACGGCGCGTTTATCTACAATCTTTTCAACAACGCAATTCTTGTCGTCACGTGGTCGCTTCATCGGTGCTTTTTGCCCTTCCTCGCTGCGCTTTGCCTCCAAGGTTTCATCCGCGCTTTCCTTCGCCAAGGCAGATTTCTCATTGGATGGTTCACCAGCCATTTTAAAATCTTCTTACCTATTTAATTAATAAAACGAATAATTAAATAAAAATACGATTCGATTCAAAAATAAATTCTGCCGAGAAATCAATTTGCAACTAGATAATTAATTACTCAAATCTCCAATCCATCCTCACCATTAGAGCAAAATTATCCCCCTAATTATACTTTTGATTTCAATTCAACAATCAACCTCGTAATTAATTTAGCAATTAAAACCTATTCTTTCCATCAAACTTTGAACTCATCGAGGAATGAATAATGAATGGAAAATTGCTTAAAATTCCTCTCCGGCTTGGAGTTACTTACGTTCTTAGTTGATGATTGGAAGAAGAGCCAGATGAACAGTAATTTCCGACGAGAAAAATTAACTTTAAATTTCAAAGTTAACCGACAAGCAAAGTCTGATGCTGCAGGCAGGCTGAGGCAGGAGAACGTTTTCTTGAGTGACGAAATTTCAGGCGGGTGGACGAGAAGAAAGGAAAATGGGACGAGATACTTGACACGCTGCCACGCTTCCGCTTAACCCACGTCTATTGCTACCCCTCTAAACTCGCTACCGTGCCAACCGTGTGAATCTTTTCACCCCAAAAAACACACCGGGAATTCAAATCATCGTCTCATCTTTAATCCAATGAAAATGACTTTTTCATTCCAGCATTTAAAAAGATTCAATTTAATAGGATTATTAACCTAATTAAATTAATTACAAATAATTACTTGGTTTTTCTCCACTAATTAGTCAAGCATGAACACTCATTACGCAAAATTATGTAGCAAACGGAGGAAAATTTTCGCCGAAAATGCAAAAACCAAAACTTTTCAATTTGAAAATTTCAAAATAAAATAAATCATGGATGACTTTATTAAATTAGCAGGTACAAATTTTATTCAAAATTGTCAAGACACGTGCTCCATTCCATTTTAAGTACATATTCATTTGCATATCAAATTTAATCATCGAATTCAACAATTTATGTAAATATCTATCAATAAAAAAAAACACCAAAAAAGATCAACAGAAATCTAAGAAATATCAAAAAATGTCATACAAAAAAAGTCATACAAAACTGGTACATATTTCGTTTCATCATCAATTAATTAATCGGTGGTCTCTTCCTCGTTGAAGAATTCAATCCCAAATTTTTTCAAGTCTTCTGGAAGCGAAGGATGATCCCCTGCATTAAAAAATACATTACACTCTTAAAAAAATGTCACATAAAAATTTAAAATTTCACAAGAATTTTCAAAAATACGAATCACTCTTAAAAATAGTGTTACCATTTTGAAAACTAAATGCGCTCTGAATTCTAACATCAAAATTTTGAAATTCTACTCAATTTTCAAAAATTCCCTCACCTTTCCTCACATGCTCCAAACTTCCTCCATATCGCCGACAATATTTCCTTACTTCTTCCACCCATTTTTGCAAGACGACCTTTTTCTTGCCCATTTTCATACAGCAGACGAGCAGGACTTCGGCATGTGCCCGGTACAAGAAGTTGGTCGGGATGTTCTGCACGACCCGGTAGATTTTCTCCATGATGGCGAAACACTCCTCGTATCTGCGCAGCCCGAGGAGCACGATGGCCGCGATAGTGAAAATTCCCCCGTCCACGAGCGCCAAGTTCAAGTCGGGCGTCGCGCCGCGGAGACGGTCGAGTTCGGCGATGCTTTCCAAGTCGCCGGCGAGACGGGTGGGATGAAACGGATAGAATTTCCTGACCGGGTCGTACGCCAGGCTGGCGAGGAGTTTCTGCCTTTTCGCGATAACGGTGGGGCTTTCGGATCGGTCCAGTTCGCAGAGACGGCAGTTGCACGTGAAACCTGGAGGGGGATAAAAGTTGGATATTTTTAATTAGTTTTTATGTAGAAGACTATTTTTTTCCGCCTGGGACCCCCTTTTGGACTCTATTTTTTAATTTGAATGAAACCTCGAAAATCGTGTTCAGCATAATTGAATTAGTGGGTTTAGACCAATTTTGGGTCTCAAAAAATTTTCATTTGGCGCAAATGGACGATAGCAAGTCAGTAAAGGGGGTTGACATCTCCCTGTTTTCTGAGATAACCACTGGACCGATTTGGTCAAACTGGGGCTTAAAATGATCACACATACTTCCTCTTGGGTGAACCGGGAGATGGTACTGATCCGTGACCTTTATGACCTTGATTTTGACCTTTTTCGAATTTGTTGCAAATCACCTTAAAATCATATATAATTATGAATACCAGCCTCAAACAATTTGTTTGATGCAAATTATATCTAAATATGACCTTTGTAATGCGAACAGCAGCATGTCGAAGGTAAACAAAAAGTTTTTATGCATGAATATCACAATACTTGTGCACAGCATCATAACTTGAGCTTAGTGTGACGAAATGTTGCTGCGCTATGTATTTTACTTTTTTTATAAGAAAACTGAACACCTCAAACGAACATTCGATGGTTTTAAAGATTTTTCAATATTTTAAAAAATTGCCGGGAAAAGGATCAGTGTAACGGTTCTTTTTGTATTCATACCAAGACTGTGAAGAAAACATCTTCTAAGCTACTAATAAGCGAATATCGTCAAAAGGATTATGCTGGTGCGAAAGCGCATGTTTATGTGCTGCTTAATTTTAAAACCGTCGAAACGACGCCCAATGCACACTTTCGAACCTTGCTCCGAAACTTCTAGACTAATCCTGCTCCAATACTCACTATTTCTTTATCCAGCTCAATGATGTAAATCGGACTTACAATATCAATATCACTGTTCTAACTACGGTTGGTTGAATTTCGTAGCACACACGAATTGTTATTATTTGTTTGTGAAACCGCGCCAGAGGACATATTCAATATGAATTTCAAATATTTGTATAAACTACAATGGTGCGCTTTTGACCAAACTTTATGACTCTCATATCATTGACTCCAGAGAAGAAATCAGTCCGGCTTTTTGCTGATCGATAGTAAAACCCGAGCCCGACTAAAATAAAGCCCGCCCAGGCCCGACCCGATTCATAGGATCAAAAGCTCGGCCCGCCCAAACCCTACCCAAGTAAAGCCTGGCCATAACAAATCGTGTGTGCTACGAAATTCAACCAACCGTAGTTAGAACAGTGATATTGATATTGTAAGTCCGATTTACATCATTGAGCTGGATAAAGCAATAGTGAGTATTGGAGCAGGATTAGTCTAGAAGTTTCGGAGCAAGGTTCGAAAGTGTGCATTGGGCGTCGTTTCGACGGTTTTAAAATTAAGCAGCACATAAACATGCGCTTTCGCACCAGCATAATCCTTTTGACGATATTCGCTTATTAGTAGCTTAGAAGATGTTTTCTTCACAGTCTTGGTATGAATACAAAAAGAACCGTTACACTGATCCTTTTCCCGGCAATTTTTTAAAATATTGAAAAATCTTTAAAACCATCGAATGTTCGTTTGAGGTGTTCAGTTTTCTTATAAAAAAAGTAAAATACATAGCGCGGCAACAGTTCGTCACACTAAGCTCAAGTTATGATGCTGTGCACAAGTATTGTGATATTCATGCATAAAAACTTCAAGTTTTTGTTTACCTTCGACATGCTGCTGTTCGCATTACAAAGGTCATATTTAGATATAATTTGCATCAAACAAATTGTTTGAGGCTGGTATTCATAATTATATATGATTTTAAGGTGATTTGCAACAAATTCGAAAAAGGTCAAAATCAAGGTCATAAAGGTCACGGATCAGTACCATCTCCCGGTTCACCCAAGAGGAAGTATGTGTGATCATTTTAAGCCCCAGTTTGACCAAATCGGTCCAGTGGTTATCTCAGAAAACAGGGAGATGTCAACCCCCTTTACTGACTTGCTATCGTCCATTTGCGCCAAATGAAAATTTTTTGAGACCCAAAATTGGTCTAAACCCACTAATTCAATTATGCTGAACACGATTTTCGAGGTTTCATTCAAATTAAAAAATAGAGTCCAAAAGGGGGTCCCAGGCGGAAAAAAATAGTCAGAAAGGTATCAGTTAAATTTATAAAGGGTGTGGCAAAAGTCTGTCCTAATTTTTCCGTAATATTTTTGAAAGCTGGTGACTCGAAAATGATTATGGTTAGCAGCGAAACCAATTTTCTCTAGGGCATACTTTGCAAATTTTGAACGAATTGCTTTTTGCACTCTTAAAATGGCAGAAATATTGATAAAATTTATACATTTAGGAATTAAAATATGGAACGAAGTATTTAAATGTCCACAACACGGAAATAAATGTTGAAAGAATCACTGGAAACATTGTAAATTATCAAATTCTGTAAACTTGCAAAATGTTTCCAAATTTTCCAAATACTTCGGAACGAAAATTAGCTTATAAGTTTTTGTAATCTTACTCAGATTCTAATGTTTTCAAATTCTAAGTTGTTAAAAAAGTTTGCAAAATTTTTCAAAAACCTACGGTTTTTACAAAGGTATCAATAACTTCGTGTGTTGCCTCATTGTTAAAATCTTTCCATTAAAAAACACTACTCTTCCAAAGACTAGCTGAAATCGATATTTAAGAAAACCTGGAAACATAAAGATTAAAAAACAAACATAACTCCATTTTTAAGGAATGCACAAAAATTCTACAAATCTCACACCACGTGTGGTCGTCAAACCTTAAATTCACCCAAAACCTACCGGATAACTCAAAATTCCTCTCCTTCGTCAAGGAAAGCATCGGGTCGACATAGCTCGTCAGAATTTCCTCCCCTTTCTTCACCGCTTTGAACGTCGTGACCATCATGACGAGTCCAGAATCGTGGTGGACACACGTCACGTTGGCGTCAATACAGCTGTTGTTAATTTTCGAGGAGCCGACCCAAACCCCACACGAGATGAAAGTGTCGTCCTTCTCGTCAAAGCAACGAGTTCCGGTGAAGTTAAACTTGCAAATTTGGTGGATTCGGGCCATGTCAACTTTGGTCGGTGTTTTTGATTCGTCATACCTGTTCAGAAAGAATATTTCTTCATTCAAACATCATTCAATTTGAAAATTGGAAAAAATTATTCGTACATTCTTCACTAATATGAAATGAAGAAATATTTATTCAGTATTCATTCATTCAAAAATCTCGACAAAATTATTCACTCATAATTCACTTCTTTAAAAATTGAAAACAAATATTCATCTATTATTTGTTTTCCATCAAACTCGCCTTATAGACGGATTTCTCAAGATACCCCAGGTATCAACCATACCGTGAAAAATGAACAAAATTATTCATTCATTCTTCACTTCATGAATTACTGAATATGAAATGAATCGTGGGTGCGAAAAACCCTGCAAACGCGCGAACGCGTTCGCCGGGACAGACGGGGGGCAGGACCTTTTTCCATAAGGCCCATGTTAAAATTTCCGGGATTTTATTCCCCCGTTTGCCGGGATGAAACAGGAAATCGCACCCACGAAATGAATAAATATTTATGGAATCTTCATGCATCCACACATGCATGAAGATTATTATGAAGATTATTATTATTATTCACTCCTTATTAGTCCTTATTCACGAATTTAGTGAATAATTCATTCATTCTCTATTAAATGAATGAATGTGAACACTTACTTTAGGTCAGGTCCGGCCCACAAGGTGTACAGGTCACGGGCGAGGTCGGGATCAAGCCAGATTTTGTTTGTGATAACGCCGACGAGATACTCATGGCAGGTACAGTTGAAGGAAAATTCGGTTTTTCTTGCCGAATCGACGTAAAGCCCGGCGAAGGGTTTGCACACCATGAGAAGCGTGTCAGGCTCGAGGTCCTCCGTGGCGAAGAGTCCTTGGTTCGAAATGGGGCTCGGGCCGAGTTGAATTGGTCCCCGAAATTCGGAAATGAGATCCACCATCCCCACTGGGAGGGGGGTTTGAGCTTCGTTCGAGTTCCTTGGTCGCGGAGATCGTAAAGCGAGCAGGATTTCTTTGCTGGGTGTAGGTTTTTGCAGTTCGGAGATGAGTAATCTTGACAAATTTGGAACAATTAAAATATTTAAATCATACTTAACTTATAAATAATTATTGAGGGAATTCATCGACAACTCGTAAAATTCATGCGTTTTGCAAAAGAATTTTACAATTTTTTTACAAAATAAAGACACGCCCTTGATCTTGTAGTTTACAAAATTTAAGGATTGTACAAAGTTATCAAAGAACTGTGTGAATTTTCTCATTGTTTTAAATAATCAACATATGCAAGTTACTTAAATTTGAAAGTGAGTTAAAGTGCCGACAATTTAAATCTTGAAATCATGCTCGACTACAAATATATGCAAATATAGAAGCTTAAATTTGCAACAAACAATGTTAAATGGTTACCAATTCAAATATCGAAATCATACTTAAACTGTTAAACCTTAAACAATTAAAATAGTTCTTTCACAAATACTCAAATTTTCTCTCCACATTTTTTTCAACTCACCCCAACTTGACAATATCTTTACTCGCAGCCTCTTGAAATTTGACGAGCTTATCATCCAGAAATTCGCCACCTTCGGAATACCGTCCAAGTCCGATGAGAGCCTTGGCGTGACGATAGATCGCCTTCACGTGGCCTTCATTAATCGCCAAAACTTTCTCCGTGCAGATTAGAGCAGCATTGAAACATTCCAATTTGATCAGTGCGGCCGCCTTGTTGGTCAAAATGTCGACCAAAAGTGTGGTCCTCGCCGCATCTTGGTCCCCTTCCCCCTCAGGTAAGTATTCCAGGCCAACGTTGTAAAATCGAATCGCGTCCGTCGCCCTGTTCTCGATGAAGGCCTTGTTTCCCACGTTCTTCAATCTGGTCGCGATCTCAAGGTCGGTTTGATTAAGGGGGAATTCCCAAAATGGTGGAGATTTTAACAAGGCTCGTGATTCCTGGGGGAGATCTGACTTCCATTTAACATCTGTAACGACACAAAAAACAAATTGTAGATTAATCATGTAGTTAATTAATTAGGAATTGTAATTGTATTTAATGAATTGAGTAAACTATTTAATTTAACTAATAATCTTGTTAAATAAAACAAGAAGCAATTCACACAGGCTTTGATAGCATTAAAATCCGTAAATTTCATAAACTTACAAAGTTTTGCAAAAATTTACAAATTTTTCCCAGAAAGTTTGGCTTAGAAATTTGCTCAGATCAAGGGTAGTAATTTTGTAAAAGTTTGCGAAATCATTTTACTAAACTTGCGTATTTTATGAGTTAATGACTGCATGAATTGCCTCAAAATAAATTTCCTAAGTAAAGTAATAAATTTGCAAACTGTGCAAAAAGTTTTCGCAAAATCTAGAAGTTATCCAATCCAATTAATTAAATATTTACCTGGAAATAGTGCCGCCATCCTTTTCGGACTGAGAATTTCCACATCCGCCGGATTCTCCGCGATCACCCCGTACACGAGGGTGGCGAGTAAGGCCTTTTTAAAAACGGGATTCTTCACGATCAGCACCGTCCCCAGGGGGAGGACCCCTTCAAAATCGTGTTTCCCCATTTTCGCCTCCATCGAATAATTGAAGAGGGCCAGGCGTACGGCCATCTCTCCTTCGACATCCTCCACAGCTGTGTCCACTCCGACCATCTTGCTCGACGGGGTGATCGTTCGACAAAGTAGAAACTTTCCGGTCATGACCTTCGTAAAAAACGGGTCAAAATTAGAATAACATAAAATCCAGTACATATTTTGAGCCCTGTTTTGTTTCAAAAACTTTCGATTTCCAGGGGTACGAAAAACGTCGACAATACAAAAATTTACAAGTTTCTTGAATAAATTAACTTGTTATCGATGTTGAAATACTGTATTTTTCAATAGTCGCGAAAACAGTTCTTTTTTGGACCCAAAATACATTGTTTTTGACAAATAAAGTATTTCTACAGCGATAAAAAGTAAATTTCTTCATAAAACCTATGGTTTCAAGTGGTTTTTGAATTCTTCTCAAGATTCTCGAGTTTTTATAGCCCCCCTGGAAATCTAAACCCTTCAAAATACTGCATTTCCACAAAACTAAACAAATCCCAATTAAATTTTAATACAAATTTCCCCTCAAGTTTCAAAAAACTGCTCACCTTTCCCACATTCTTCACCAGAGTTTCGAGCCCCACATAATTTTCCATCTTCAATTCGACCTCCATCCCCTCGTCGTAGGGGGAATGGTTCTCCGGACATGGGATAAGCAGAATGTCCAGCGATTTGATGTGGGGCGAGAGTCGGATGAACTTTACGGGGTCGATGACCTCACGATGAACTCGATTCATGACGGAGATGACCTTTTCCCTCGTGGAGTGGTCACGGATCAAGTTTTCTTCAAAGATTTGCAGCTTCTTGGCCTTGATCTTCCCCAATTTACGAGGGAGCTGAGGAGGGGACATTCTTTTAGGACCCATGGTTAGTTTTTTGAGGGGTATTATTTCCAGTGGGGGGAAGTATGGGGAAGGTGGAGGAAATATTTCTTTGATGTTGCTGCTCGCTCGTCAACTGCTCGACTGAAGGATGATTTGGACGAATGAGTTTGACGTTCCCTCCTTCACTTTTTCTCTTTTTGTCCCTTTTTGCCTCGTATAAAAATAATCTGAACTTGTTATTTTATGAAAAAGTCCATGAAATTATGTGATTTAACAAGTTTCAAAATCCTGAGTGCTTATTTTTCAAACACAACTGGCAATGATTTGCTCTACAAGTTTGCTTTCCAGTCTAGAATTTTAAAATAGAGCCGAGAAATGATTAAAAGCTTGCTGATTTTTGCGAGAAGTTTTCGAATCCTACGTTAAGCAACGGGCAGTGCAATAATCAGGGCCCGTTTAGGGGTCAGGCAACCTAGGCAACTGCCTAGGGCGCCAAATCCTAAAGGGCGCCATGAGGCGCCCAGCTGTACACTAGATAAAAACGACATTTGCGAAAATTGATAAATGATTTTCTTATATTCGTAAAGATAGAATGGTCAGTAGAAAACTTATAAAAAATGTTGTGAAACGGTCTGAGGACTATTTGATAAACTTGACAAACAAGTATTGTCGTCTACAGGCAAGCTCCTAAATTTGGTAGAAGCAAATTGTTGAAAACTCCAAATTATTCCCAGAATTTGAGGCGCCGCGCGCTCAAAGGTAATTGTGTATACGAAGGCGCACAAAGAATTCTTGCAGTCAAAAACAGGTTAATTTATATTAACCAAACTGGTCCAAATTTAAAAACTGTAAAAGCAGTTTTAAAAGTTCACAGATATGCTTCTCGTATCCCCAAAACAATTCGCAACACACATAATTATTAACTCATCGAGTTCTTACTTGGCCCGTGAAGGGGATAAGAAGGCCGGACAGTTGAGGGCGCTAAGGCGCCGCTGAAAATATGAGCGTGAGGTGCGAATTTTAAACTGCTTTCCGGGCAAAACCTTGATTTCTCATAAACGTAAACTTTTCGAACCTTAGCGTAAGTTCAAAAATGCGAAAATATGATGCTATGAACAGGCTCCAAAATTTGGGAGGGCAACCAGAACAATTGCACAGGGCTCCAAAATCTGATGGCGCCTCGAATTTTTCAGCCAAGTGAAAATTTTTCAAAACGCTGTAAACTATCCAGTTTTATTCCGATTTCAAAAAAACATGTTTGCTGATAATGTCATTGAGTATTTGTAATATACAAAACCCAACTTTTACAAAACTTTTGATTTTTAAAAGACTTTTTATTTAAGGTTTTTTTATTTTAAAATTTTGCAACTATCTAGCATGAAGTTTGAATAATGTTTGGAAACGTATTTTTTAACTGCTAGAAAATAATTATTTTCATTTTTGAAATCAGGTAATAATTTAATGGTTATAGCGTTTAAAAAAATAGATTTTTATTTAAACATCATTCTAGACAGACCTTAAAACTCTCAGACGACCTGAACTAACAAAAATAATGACTAACGCAGAAAATATTTTAGATGTCCATAGTTCTGACTCAAATTTGGTATTTGTCAAAAATTTGAGGTTCAATCAGTACTGAACCGAACTGTACCCGAACCGTACATTGTTGCGTAATGGGTAAAAGTTAGAGTAAGGTGCGGCGGGATTAAAACAAATAGGTATAAGGAATCATTCATATTTCCGTGCAAGGCTCATGTTCGGGGCCTTGGAGGGGCGCCAAGCTTAAAAATGTTGATCTTATGCTAATTTCAAATCTCCATGACTTTTGCCGTTTCCCTATGATTTTAAACATCTTGGACTTCAAACGCCAACAAAATTCGAAATTTTAAGAAAATTCCAAAATTAGACTGTTATGTTAAAGACGGTTTCCGTTTTTCACAGAATGGAAACCTGGCTATTTCAATACTTAAAAAATTTCAATTTTCGCATGGATAGTAAAATAATCTGCATTTGTCCAGAAAACCTTACTGATCTAAATTTCTCTTGCAAAAATGCTCGCCAGGAAGGCATTCCAAGTATTTATGCATCAGATTGGCGCCATCGCGACCATGCCCCAGCAAACATCTAGGTAGGATCGGGTGCGGTATATGAAAGACACCTGATTTATTACAAATTAAACTGTCGCAAAATTTCAATTCTAGGATTTTTGATCAGTTTCTGAAATTAGTACACGCTCATGTAGACTCCTTAATTTTCTGAAGGAACATGTATGCTAAAATCCTTAATTCAGACTAAAATTTGAAAAGGACCCGAGCTTAGCAGGATACAGATAAAATTCGGGACTTGCGCTTATATTTGCAGTCTGATCCACGAGTAATGCAGGTATGCTTATTTTTTGCATAAACAAAATAAAATTAGTGTCATGAGTATGTAACAATTATGAAAACCGGAATCACTTCAAACCTCACAAATTTCTGACTCCAACGGCCCCGTCAAGGAGTGGGAGGAGCTGAAAGCGGGGAAATCGCGTCCGTGTGCTATTTTTAGCTCAAAGGCAGGTCAATATTTTTGAAAACGGTTTTCTGCATGAGTTTCCTAATTTTTGTCCCTACAAGTTAAGTTTTGAAAATTTCGTAGTGGAACTTGGTACCAACATTTTTAATAGCATGAACATGATATTTTCAAAAAGTTTGTTGACTGCTTTCCCGAGCCAAAAAATATTGCAAAAACACATAAACGTCTCACAGAAAGTCCTAGACGTCGCTTTTCCCAGAGAACTCGGGTTTTATGGACAATGCCTTTGTGTTTAACCGTGATACGAAAATAAATCTCTTTCGTCGAAAGCAAAGGTGTCAAAAATAAAATTAATTTTCTCAAATATGATCTTTCATGTGAGCATTACTTCGTTAAGTTTATTATCTAAATTCCTTTAAAAGCGAATGAAAACCCAAAAAAACAATTAAAGTAACTAGGTTGTTAACCCTCAGTTTTAATAAACCCTGCAAGAAATTTAAAAAAACTATGCCAACTTCAACTTGAAAACAATAATTCGAAATTCAGCTAGGTTCTTCGTATTTTTTTATTTGTACTTTTTAGAGAAAATTGTTTTTTTAAACAATGTAAAAATTTTTATTAATATTAAACTTTGAAATTTAAACCTTCAACCTCGGAAAAGCTCTAACTCCTTATCGATTATTCATATTTCTTCTTTCTGATTTGGTCATGTTCCCCCCGGGTAAATAACTCTACGTTAACATCCACCTCTGAAGAATATGGCTAGTTACATTAGTTAGGTTAGTTGGTTGACTTGAACTCGAGAATTACCAAATTTTTACAAAATCGGAGTGTTACGAGTGTTACATTTCAAACCGTCGCATTGTAAGCGAAACTCTTAGTTCTTTCAAATGTTGCACCATTTACATACCAATTAATGTTCCGCGAGATCTATCATTTGCACTTTCACTACGAATATATTTAGGTTTTAACAGTAAAATAATTGTTGAGCTTATTAATTTTTGGACTATACATATGTAAAGTGCTGCTGAAATGTATAGTATATAATAGCAGATTTTCGACTGAATTTTTCTAATGACGAAAAGTTGGGGCGCAAGAAAAATTTTGCCTGGGGCGCAAATATAGGCAGCCCGGGCCCTGGCAATAATTGCACTGCAATTTGTGGCTGTATTTATGGAATTATCACGAGCAGATAATTTTTCACTGCCAAAAAGTATCTAACGACAAGTCGACATTAAAAAAATATTATAGTGTAAAAATCCAGCTTTATTCGTCAATTACTCCGTCCTCTTATTAATTAATAAATATTTATACTTAACATCTATATATGTCAGATAATCGCTTATCAAAAAATAGTCACATCGTTACTATATAATAAATACCTATTGATCAGTGATCAATGATCACAAGTATTCTCTCTCCTATAAAGATAAAGTTCCCAATCACCTAATCTTATAAATATCACATTCCGACCTACAATTAGTCCAACACTACTGCTATTAAGTAATTAATAAATATATATATCTATCCTTAACATCTGTCAGATAGTCTCTTATCAAAAAATAGTCACATCGCATCACCAATAAAGATTCATCACAAGCCTTCTCTTGTTCACCTAATCTTATAAAGATCCAGTTCCGACCTACGCTTATCTTTCCGCTTTTTGAAAACATTCCAAAATCTGAGCGTCTCGTACCCACCGGTTACAATATTCTCGCCACGTGGCGACATTGATAAGTACATCGCTCTGTCGTAACGTCCATTGTCTAACTCCCCAATTTTTTCGAGCGACGGATACTTCCAAACTTTAATCAGGTGCGTCGAGTAGCCATGCGTCGACACGAATTCGGCGGAATGCGGCGACCAGGCCAAATTGCAGACTTGTGAGTCCGTCGTAATACTTCGGATGGATTTCGCTTGACCGGTGATGGTGTTCCAAAATCGAATCGTCTCATCAGCGAATCCTCCACCGCTGGCGAGCAGGCCTGTTGGAAAAAAAATATTCGTTCAGACTTCATTAAGTTTTGAATAATTCATTTAACATTCATTAATTTTTGAGTAACTCATTCAGAATTCATTAAGTTTTTACTAATCCGTTTAACAAATCCTGTTGAAAAAAAAAATATTTGGGAAAAATTCATTTAAAATTCAACGAGGTTATAATAATTCAGTCGAAATTCATTGAGTTTTGGATAATTAATTCATTCAATAATTAATTGTTGAAAAACCCATACATAAAAATTCATTAATTTTTTTATTTACAATTGTCGAAAAACTCACTAAAATTCATTAATGTTTTAATAAATCATTTAAAATTCATTGAGTTAATTCATGTAAAATTGATTTTGAAGGTTAATTCAAAACTTATTGATGTTGGAATAATTCATTCATTCATTCAATTAAAATATTCTACAATTTCTTGCAGTAATTTCTTGCACGTGTTTTTTATTGGATACAAACTTGAAATGAATTATTCATTGAATGAATTCGAACAGCTCATTTGCTCACCATATTGATGCGGTGACCAGGCAATCGCTCTGACCGCGGCGGTATGTTCCCGATAAGTGAGAATCGTTCTTTCTGAATGTCTCACACTCCAAACGTTGAGCACATTGTCGTTTCCTCCAGAGGCCAAGAGCTCCTTATCGGGTGACCAGGCAAGCCCACAAATTTCTCCGGTGTGGGCGGCCAGCTGATTTTCTATGATGACCGGATTCGTCCGGAGGTCGGATTGATTTATGCAGCAGTCTCGTGAACCCGTGGAGAGCATGGTATCCCCCTGCGACCACGCCATTGTTCCGACGCGGGCGGTGTGACCCCAAATCGTGTTGACTAACGTTTCCCTCGCAGCGTCCCAGACTTGGACGAGGCCGGTCTCTGTCCCGACGGCGAGATGTGTTCCCTTCGAGGAAAATAAAAACAATTATTTAAATTTCTTAATACATATTACTGCTACTTAAATGAATTTAATTAGAAATTGAAAAATTGAAAAAAGTCCTTCTGGCTGGACAACGGAGTGTTATTGACTACTTTTTTTAACCCCAGTTTTCTAAATAGGACTAACAATTCACTTAAAACTGTCAAGAATCGTACATAAAATAAAGTTATTATGTAATTTAGAAACTTCCATTTACAAAATGAAATAAAATTCTACTTTCCAATAACACTCCGTCGTCCACAAGAAAGAACCTTAAAAAAAGTTATATATGTATATTTATCAATAATTCATGAAATTATGTAAATTATGATTTTGGAAATTTCCGTTCATCGAGAAAAATTTAAATTTCCAATCGCACATTTCACAAAAACCTTAAAGGGTCACCTTTTCATTCCAGGCGATCGAGCTGACAGGATTTCTCCATGATCCAGTATCACACAATTGGGTGACCTCACCCGTCACGCCGGTCCACTGCCGGTGATCTGTCGTCAGATTTTGATTTGTAGACCAGAGCCACACACTTTCTCCTAAACCCACCGCGACGCTATTTTTCGACGACCAATCGACCAAATTGAGGCAAAAGTCCTCCCGTAACTGAGGCGCGTCAAGAGCCTAAATTAAGCAAATTAATTCATATTACTTACGCAAATTAAGTAATTAATTTAGCAAGCATGCGACATAACTGCAAGGGTTCGATTTCTGTTTTTTTTTTAAAACGGGGGGACGAAATTCTGGAAATTTCCCGTAAAAAAGGGTTGGCCCCCACTTTCCCGTTTAAATCGAACCCAAGCATACATAATTGTGGCAGTATTTAAATTAAATACCTTAAGCGGGACTTTTGAAATCTTACTGACACCCTTGGAATAAGAATGGTTCAGAAGCTGAGCAGAATTTGCATTAATCGGAGATAACGAGTACGGTGACCACGCCGAGTTGAGGAAATTGCTCCGTTCGGAGGAATCAAACTGGAAAAAGGGGATCATTTATAATTTAATTTTTGCAAAATACTCATTTTAATTCTAAAATTGGAGGCTTTCCGATTTTGCCCAAATTAATTAGTGTCGCAAATTGATCGCAAATTTGATTAGGATGAAATTCGCAAATCGTTTCTTCTACAAATTTCATACTAATCAATTTGGGACGGATTGACACTAAATTTAGTTAAAATCCGAGGTCACACGCTTGGAGTCACTTACCTTAAATAACTTTCTACTCGTCGGCGACGGCGATAACACGGGGACATTTTCTATTTGATCGCGAAGGACCTCATTTTTCAGAAGATTCGAATAAACTCCTTGTCCGTTGTTACAATTCGTGTCATTTGCTGTTGGTTGTTTATTCCACGATCCAAGCGGCCTGGTAGCCAGATCCTGAACATATTTAAATAATTAACAATTAATTAATTGCAGTTTGGTTTTTAAAGATAATTTATCATCAAATATTTCACCTTTGCACTGCTGCTTGTAGAAGATGCTGGTGACACGGGGAAGCACGTGTCCCACGTGTTTCCAGCCCTCGTGGGGATGAATCTGTCGCCATGCCGGGGTTTTGGGGGGGTCTGACATGCCCGCATTTTGAAAAAAAAAAACAGTTAAAAACTGTCAAAAATACCCACTCGACAAGACAAATAAAACGAAGCAATATTTTCAACCTGTTGTTTTCGTTCCATTTGAACTCTTCCCGGCTCAATGTTGTGGGAAATTGAGATTTCCAAGTTTTATTGTGTTGTATTATACAACTTTTAGTATAAATAGTAGGGAATTCAAAACCGGACCCTTTTCTGAAAACCGGTTTTCGGTTTTTCCGGTTTTCCACCCACCAAAACCGGTGAAGAACCGGGTTTTCACCGTTTTGCCAAAATACAATGTTTGGGCACCAGGCAGGTAGAAAAATTAACTATGTGGGTATCGTAGGTTTATAGGCCCTAACCTTAAGGACTTGGTTCAGAATCCCCCGTGGTAACGCTAGGTCACTTTTATGTAACTTTGCCCCAGCTTTGCATGGGATGGGTTGCATGCAAAATTTTCGACTCTGGTTTATTAACTGACAAAACTATTCGAGAAATTTATAAAATCAAGTTGTTGGCCCTAAACCTTACCCATCTCGTGTAATTTTGGTTTTACTAGGACATGTCCATTTTTACTAAGATCAACGTTTATGAGAAAACCAGTGAGAGAATTTAGTTCCGGTCTTTGGCAGAAGCTGGACAACTATGTTGGTTAGTGCACTAACTATTTCTGCTAATTTATGAAGGTCCAGGGGATTATTGAAGAAACAAAATATACGGTAAAACCAGTGTCGCCAATAAATAAAGGGATATATACACTTTCCGTCAAAAGCATAAATTATCCAAATGATCTCCTCGTCCAGATTGAGGTCTTGGCTTTATTTAAAAATTAAGATATCCTATATGCATGCACGATGTTAGTCAGGACTCTTGATCTAAATTTAAAAATCCAGTATGGATTATATGTTGCTATGCTGTGCTGCTCCACAAACACATGTGGTATGGGATCAATAGCTTTATTTTATAAATTTCTTGAATAGTTTTGCTAATTAGTGCACACCAGATTCAAACTTTGTACACACAACCAATCCTCTGCAAACCTGTGACAAAGTTGTATAAAAATGGCATAGTGTTACCACGGACGATTCTGAACCAAGACCTTAAGAACAATGACCTAACGGAAAGATGCACGAAAAACGTTAAACTAATTAAAAAATATATCTTCTCTAATTCTTTGAGGAAATAAATATGCTAACTTAATGGATTATCTGTTAACGTAATATGAAGATGCAAAGTAATTATAAATATGTAACCGAAGCCTAGTTTTATTCTAAAAAAATATAGGAAAACACTATCTACCTCTATATGTAATCCAGAAGAAAATACATTCGTATACATAGATATGGGAAATGAGATACAAAAAAGAGACCAGCATGTCATCTTTAAGATTTTACTAATTTGCAAGGTTACACATTTTTGGCGAATGCCCACACGAACAATTTTACTGTAACACGTGCACTGGATTTTGACCGGAGAAATTTGTGTCCATTCATGGACAAGGTAAGAATTTTGCACAAGTCGGACCGCACATACATACATGTTTGACTTCTAAAAAGACACATTCATACAATTTTCAGCCATAAATTAAAGCTGTTAAAATGTTATAACTTCAGGTTTTTGCACGGGTTTCTATGTAGGTTAGCATCACGTTAGCAGTTTATTCGAAAATATAATTTATGCAAATAGAAATTTGAAGTTCCGAGAATTGATTTATAAATGAAATATGTAATCGCTTGACAAGTTAAAGGGGTTAAAAAGCCGTTATCGCAGTTGAATGCGAACCCACAACCACCTGCTAATAATTTATGTAGCTTTTCAAATTCATTGCTTTTAATTTTGTTGATTATTTTTGCAGCTTTGAAAATTGTGTTAATCCAATGAACTAGCAAAATTCTGTTAAAAATTATCAAATAGTTTTTCAAAATAATTGCAGGCCTTAATTTTAAGCGCAAATGTTACCAATTTTGTTTAAATAGTGTCAAAATTCGAAAAATAGTTTCGTTTAAAAATTTAAAATTTTGACGAAAATCCGGTTTTTAGAATTGCCAAAACCGGTTTTCGGTTTCACCGAAAACCGGGTTTTCTCCGGTTTTTCCGGTTTTGAAAAACCGGTGTTGAATCCCCTAATAAATAGTGAACAAAAACGTGTAATTGTCTCGACCCCACAATTTATGACCTTTTGACCCTTCACACCAACTCGTCGACTTTTGACCCCCTCGCATCAACCATCAAGATTCCTTCCCTTTGTTAACGTTCTATTGTATACGGGTTTTGAGTTTTAATTTTATGTCTTAACTTTCCCGTCTTCCATCCATGTCGATTTTGAAACCTGTTCATCTCCGTTTTTTATTAATGTAAAGATTTTGTTGCATTTAAAATCGGTAATTTCGAGTTTTATAAAGTTAGAATTGTAATTTTTTACGTCCATAAAAAAATATTTGAGGCATTTTAATTTCAAAGATTTAGTTTTTTTTTATTTCCAGAACTCAAGTCTTGATTTTGTAAAAAGAATCGCCCAGAAAATTGAGACAAAAATTCCAATTCAAAACCCGCATGCAAGAGAGAACTCTAATCTCCGTTTTTTAATCACACCCTTAAAAAATTCGTGTACATAGCTCGAAATAAATAGTACATAAATACATAAATAACCACGTGTATGTATGTATCCAATTTTATTTTAAAATCCCGCATGACAATTAAACAACTAAAAATACGATTAATTAAATTTTTTTATTACTCAAATTTTTACTATTCGAGTCAAAACTTGCAAAGTTTATTACGATTATAAGTATATATAAATTAGCAATAAAGAACATCTAGGATATTAAAAATCCAGTAACTAATAAGTTTAATATTTAATCTAAAATTAACACTTGCAAATTTTTAGTATTTGGCAAATAATTAATTCTATTACGCGAAATATTAATTATTATTAACTCAAGTTACAAATATACTCATTTACATATATTTATTTATATTAATATATTCATAACAAACATAATTTTGGAAACAATTTTGTTATAATCAATTTAAATGTGAATTTAAAATAACAATAACTACATATTTGAATCGAATATTCGGTCACGAGATTTCCCGTTTATGTAAGTTATAATTTCTGGAAAATTAAAATTCTGTCAGGATTTATAAATATGATACATTCATATTTATCTGTACCGTATCAGTTTGGATGTGTGTGAAAAATTACGAAAAATTACGTCATTATTCACCTGAGGTTTACCATTTAATACCTGAAACATGTGAAAATTTACCTAACTAAATTTACCAAAGATCTAGGCTCTCCCAGATAAACCCAAACACATCAACTGATCGACGACCGTACTACCTAAATTACATAGTAGGATATATCGCTCCTCAAAGCCAGGTCGATACATGGATACAGGAACAATCGGATGCAAGTAGCCAACCCAAATTTAGAATCTTTTATCACCGATGTTTATGTCGCTTACTGTAAGTACAAATTGGGTAAAGGTAGCCAACGTCCGTGCAATTACCATACAGGTTTTTAAGAACCTGGGATATGTACAAGTCCAGTTTTCAAGTTTGCAAAAGAAGGGTACAAAGTCTATTACATGAGACATAATGTTGTACTTAAATTAATTAAAGCAACCCACATGTTTATCAGGATGGCTAACAAAATAACAGTCATGCTGATTGTAATGTTCATGTGAAAATTGAATAGTAATTCCTTGATAGCTTTAAATTTCAGTCCTTCTCCTTGTGTAAGCTTCTTCATATGATGGATAACAAGATCTATCCATACATACTTTCCCTTGCACCGAGTTGGGTTGAAAGACTATCTTACAGATTAAAAAATAACGAAGTTGTTGTGTGTTTGTCGTTGCATCTTTGTGGGGTCTGTGTCCAGGGGTAAGCTTTTTTTCTAGACGTATGGAACAGAACTGAGAAAGAAAAACTTAGCGTTGGACGTCTGTTACAATTAAAGCCATACATTCCATATCTTCTCTTATTATATTGTGCTCCGTTTATTACGTTTAATCACTTTGAGGTATGTACATAATTAACACCTATAAAAATACCAACCGTGGTATCAACCATGCTAAAATTTTGCAGATGAAAACACAAGGGAAGATATTTCATACCAATATCTATCCATTTGGGAAACGAAGGTGGAGGTTGCTACTCACTTCAGTTTTGATTGAACTAATATAAAATTTTCTGCATTTTCGAGTTTTATCACTCAACCCTTTAGAAATATCAGAGTTAAATAAATGGGCAATTTGTGGCATAACGGCATATATATTAATCTCCATGTGTGGCTTGCTGAATGCTGATTAAACACTTACAAATATGCAAGATTTCATAAAAAATATATTCTGCCCCGAAATCTACTTTTGTCGTTTACGTAGTTCCAATTGGATTCATATACATGCAACTGTCGTATTATCCCGATCCAAACACATTGTGGCCAAAATTCACCTGGCAAAATGTATCAAATAGTTACTCAATTTTTTTCCGTCCCACTAGCTGATCACGGTCTTCAGTTGGCACAAGTCGTGGTTGGAAAAACCTCAGTTGATGTCAAAACATTTGAGAACCTGTTTTCAAGTTTTGCTGCAGGAGTGTACTCAATGGTAAAGTAATAATAATTCATATAGAACATACACTGCTAAATGAGTTATAAAAAGTTTTGCATTCCGCACATTATTAATCCGACCGTAATCTACTGTGGATTACGGTCTCTCCAAAAATCTCCAAAATAACTGAAACACGTGCTCTATGACCAGTTTAATGGCTTCTTCCCATAGTCTTGTTTCAAATCATTCAAACAAAACGTCGTTTATCAAGATTGCAAATCAAATAACTTGTTGAGAACTTTAATCAGCGAACTTTAAAGTCTTTAACATTGAATCAGACTTATATTCTAAGAAACCCGGTACCTAAGTTATTACCAGGCGGAGTATCTATGTGACTCTACCGCATGGTAAATTACCATGCGGTAGATTCATTATTGAGTGGTAGCAAATTAGTTACCAACTGGTAATATTTTCAAATTTGGCGACCAGGGTTATTATCGGTTTGGTAACAAAATGTCTACCACTCAATAACAAATTAATTACCATGCGGTAGAGTCATTTAGAAACTCCGCCTGGTAATAACTTAGTTACCGGGTTTCTTAGAGTGCATAAATATGTGGTAACTTTTGAACAGAGTGAGATAGAAGGAAGCTATCTTCACAGTATGTACATATATGGGATATATATGTACACCTCGTAGTAGGGGCTAGGACTAGCGGTAACCAAAGGCTTAAAATACCGCGTGGGTTATCAAATTAATAGGATTTTAATCAGCATTCCAACGAGGTGGGTTATTTTAGCATGTAACGACCCCATACCATTGGGGATAAGGGGGATAATTTGTGTTTTAGGGGCTCTATATTTAATTATGGGAAGAAATAGAATTTATGATCACATACATACATACCGTAAATACTCTATTTATAGCCGGGGCTAAAATCGAAAACTGAGGGTCCCGGCCCCGGCTACAATTAGAGACCGGCTATAATTAGAGACCCGGCTAAATTTTGTTCCGCCCAAAATTTTGGATTTTACAAAATCATGCTGACTCAATTTGAGTTTTTCCGTTCTTTTATTTAGCAAGATATGCCATCAGTAACCTATTCACTTTAAACCTACATCTTCAAACGAGATTTAGCAGGGTTTTTTAATTTTGTCATGATTATATCTACTACTAACTTGAAATTGATAGCTAAAAATTAATAGATCAACTTATTCGTTGATTAGCATAATGTTCAACATTTTTCTTAAATTGACCTTGAACTGGGACAAAGAGAATAAGACAGGCCATAATTAGAGACCCGGCTATAATTGGAGACCCGGCTAAAATTTTGAAATCTTGGTGTCTAGACCCGGCTATATTTGGAGACCGGCTATAATTAGAATAGGGCTATAAATAGAGGTTTTACGGTATGTATGTTATTAATTATATTGGAACTAATAATGCGATGGTGTGAAGTGTAACCCTCCGATTTGGTTGCAATTTCGATTTTACTTGGTCCATGTCAATACAACCAACGTTTCTTGAGGCAGTTTGTGCCATTGTCAGAATTTGGCAAAATATTTGAGGTTAAAGTTGAAAAATGTGCAATTTTTAGGACGGGAAGAGAATGGAAGTTGAGTTAGCTTCCTCCCCCTGGTAAAAATCGCCCTTTTTTCAACTTTGGCCTCAAATATTTTGACAAATTGTGACCATGGCACAAATTGCCTCAAGAAACGTTGTTTGAAACACGTGCTATAAATATGACCATGGTCATAAATGTCTCCACACCATAAATGTCTCCACATGTCGTTACGAAAACCACGTTTAGCAAGATTACAAATCAAATATGTAACTCTTGCCAAGTTTAATTAAAAACCCAATCTCAGCACATTAGAGTCTGACTCGGGATATAAGAGAGAATGGTAATCTGTGGAATGAAACTCTTGGGCTTATTTATGCATGTACAGGAGTTGACGGTGTTTCGAGTACATAATCCTAATTTATTTCATTCACGTATGCACGAGAAGATCACACTATACGACAACGGAAGTAATATTAATTTCTATTTTGTTAAAAAAGTGGAGACGAAATATGTAGAAGATATAAATATCTATGAGATTCCGTTAAGGAGTTCGCAAATCGGTCTTCCTGTGTATACGAAGTTGAATATTCTAAATATACATATGTATTTATATACTTTCTAAATTTTCAAAATTTTGTCTCTGCGATATTTATTACGAATCTGCATTTCAGACGCCAGAGGCCCAGTACCTCAGGCCGTAGCCCACGTCCATGCAATTACCATACAGGTTTTTAAGAACCAGGGATACAAGCCCAGTTTTTAAGTTTGAAAAAGCAGGATACAAAGTGTTTTACATGGTACCGTTGTACTTGAATTAATTAAAGCAATCCAGATGCTTAACAGAATTGCTAATAAAATAAGCTTTTGTCTAGACATATGAGACAGAACTGAGAATGAAAAACTTAGCGTTGCACGTCTCTTACAATTAGAGCAATACATGCTACATATATCTTCCATTGCTATATTGTGGACCATTTATAACATTTAACCACTTTGAGGTGTGTGATTAACATCTATAAAAATGTCAACCGTGGTATCAACCATGCTAAAATTTTGCAGATGAAAACACAAGGGAAGATATTTCATACCAATATCTATCCATTTGGGAAACGAAGGTGGAGGTTTCTACTCACTTCAGTTTTGGCCGAAATAATATACCATTGTCTGTATTTTAGAGTTTTATCACTCAACATTTCAAAAATACCAAAATTAAGAACATGGCATTACGGGGTGGCTTGGTTCGTGTTTTACTTCTACGAATTAGTGTTTACCAAACATATGTATGCACACATTACGAGATTAATGGCTCAAAATTTTACATTTCAAATGCATACATAGGTTTCATTTTTGTCTTAAAGTACAAAGTATTCTACAGAATACCAACCTGCTTTGCAGAACTTGATGGAGTAAAAATGTATCCATTGATAAGTTGTCCTGCATATATTCATCGGTATTCAGTACTTTGGAAGGACTTTGATCTCGAATTGTACACCATCGTAATTGAGTCATTGACAAACTAATAAAGGATTAAGGGAGGATTCCTAACTATTGAAATTATAAACCAAAATGAAATGACTATTTATTATAGGGAGATCATATAAACCACATTTAATACATGTAAAGGTGGAAAGTATTGACAAATTTTTAGACCAACAAACCTACTCACTTATGATATCGATTACAGTGGAGGTCATTATACAGCAATTGGGAAGACCCAGGGAATCAGTGCAACGTTGGTTCGTTCGTCTTTATACGATCGTTATGTACGTGAGTTTAATATATGTAATCTACAGCAATGCAAAATAATAATAAAAATACATTAATGAGTAATGTTTGATTCGTATCTGGCTTTAAATGAAGTGAATTCGCCTACCGCAAATGTATGAGTGAGTTAAATGCGTTCTAAAACTATGAAAAATATAAACATTAAAAACCTATTTTAAAGTGCGTAATTTGTAAATCATACAAAATACACTGTCCATCAAATAGTTGCATTCCTCATGTATACATTTGTAGTACATGAGGAATCAATATATAGAATGTTTTCATATTTAAAATTTGTAACCGTAATGAGTTACAAATTTTAACCTTCTTTTTTCCGAATTTTAACCTTAAGTTACAAAAATTAACCTTCAGAGTTAATTATTGTTCCACTAGGTTGGATTTTGTAGATAAAAAGGAATGTTTAAAAATCCAAAAAAAAAAGAATTTGTCTTATGGAATTTTTCGTAATTATGTCAAATATTTAATTTGACAAGTTTGGGCAAACAAAATAAAATAATTTGAGTCAAGTCTTGTCAGGAATTTTAATTAGTAATTGCTAGTAATTAAAGAGTTTGATAAGAAACGATTATATATTTCATATTTACTGAAATTTCTAAATATGATATCGAAGATATTTCAAATCAACAACTAGCTATTCTCAATTACCAAGAAATTATACATACTTTTTTTCAGGGTTGTGACGTATGTATCAAGGAAGTAATTAACTAATTGAATATGTGCACTAATTATTCCTAACTGTAGTAAAGCTAAACTTCCAACCTTAAATTCTCATGCTTAAATACATAAATACGTTTTCTTATGGGGCCATTTTTAGTATAAAATTACATAACCTAAAAATTATTCTCATCTAAATGATGATCTCCGATTACAAACTTTTAGTTGGCGTGTAATCCTGCGAATATGGATGGCGATGGATTGGCAAATTTTCGAATTAAAATTGTCCAGTTCATGTCCAGAGTTTTTTTTATGCCAAATTCCCTGCCAAAGTTCCCTGCCAAATTAAGCATTATTAAATACTACCAAACATAACAATCTGCACGCTAATTAATTCAGCTTTTATACATACTTACCTGGTATGTACATACATACATAGACCGGCCAAAATAGTCCACAAATTCCGAGTTAAACGTAACAAATCTACGTCCGATTCCATGATTTACCAGCGTCCTATCAGTTTAAATAAAAATATAATTACAAATTTATCACGATTACAACGGCGGAATTCACGCAGTTTATGTAAAATCCTAGAATTCTATAAACTTACAAGGTTTTTTACAAAAATTTTACAAAAATTTGGGAGGAAAATTAGCTCACAAATTGTTGCAAATTTACTTTGATCTCTTTAATTTGTAAAAGTTTGTTTGAATTGCCTCGTTACATAACTTAATTTTATTTATGTATTTTGCGAATATGTGTTAACCTGGTATTAGAAATCAGCTCAACGATTGCATAATATGGCCCAAATAAGCCGCAGTCAAGTTAAGTTATTATCTGGCTGGATATTTCCTACAAATGTAAGACCATTTCATTAGTAAAACTCTACTAACTAATTTTGCATAATAACGTTAACTAATTAAGTTTGCGCAATTACCTGGAATTTGTTCCAATTATCTCGAACCTGCACAAGCACAATTTATTCTTAACTTTACATTGTTTAATCTTATCCTTTATTCACCGAAATAGAAATGGAGGCCGAAAAAGCTTGTTTTTTTTTTTCTGGAAGTGAAACTGGAATAAAAACATCTTTGTGCATGGGGAGCGTCCATAAATCACGTGATCGATTTTTGGCCAATTTTGACCCCCTCCCCCCCCTAGGTGACCGGTGGTGATAATTTCGCTACCCCCCCCCCACCGGTCACGTGACAGGAGATGCTCAAATTAAATCATGTTGTCCGGAACAACAATATTTTTTAAATCATTAATCAAATTAGAGCTACACTACACACATGTGTAAATACCTATTTAATACGCCAGTCAGACATAAGTATTTAAGTCGAAGCAAGTTTCTAAATATGCAAAATGAAAATCAAATTTATATAACGTGCGTGTGGTATGCCAAGAGAGTTTATATATAACTCTCTCATGACATTTATTGGCATATACAAAAGTTTAAAAAACTTTTGTATATACTACTCATGTCACGTGACATCTGACCATCTACCCCCCCCGTGATAATTGGTGACAAATTTCAGACCCCCTCCCCCCCTCTAATCGATCACGTGATTTATGGACGTTCCCATGTACGCATGCACGCGTATTCTTACGCATCTTCCCTGGAAATGCGTGAGGGGGGAGCATCCACGTAAATGATGAAGTGTCGACAAATCGCGAGTTTTAAATGATTACGTAACAAAAGCTAGTTTTCGTTTCCGATCAGGATTTTTCCAAGTTGTGAATGTCCCACAAAATCAATGTTTCCATGCACTTTTTACACTACTGTACTGGAATGTGGTCCGTATATTTTCTTTGTTCCCAGAGCGTAGCGTGTGCATGGAAATGAAAGCGAGAGTGAGACCACAATTTTCATGAAAAGTTATGAATCGTAAAATTTCTTTACATTAGGGATTTGTAATATATATGTACATACATATAAGCTTTAATAGTTTATTATGTCGCATAAGCTACTTTATGTTATCGTTTTGTCCGCACGTTTATCTGTCCAGTACGGCACGGCGTGTGTGTATGTATGTATGCCATGTGACAATTATCGCGATTATGATTCATTAAAATTTCCTTTACATATGGTAAATACATGTATATTGTTCATAATTTTTGAGTAGTTATTAAATACATATGTAGCTTCAGGTTCTTTATATTATCGTTACATATATCAGTGGGTCAGTTTATGTATGTACACTCTTCAAAATGATGTTACCCTTTTGAAGCGTGCATGTACATACTCTGAATATGCGCATACATAAAACTAACTATGAATATTAAATATTTTTGCTTTTGCGGATGAACAATTTTTCAATACAGAAAGCTGTACAATAGAATTAGTAACATTGGTTCGAAAATACGCTTATTTATTGTCCTGATCATCCACCAGTGGCCGCAGAAGCGTGGGACATAGGGACAATGTCCCCATGGAATTTTTACTGTGGGGACATGCAATGCATTCGTCCCCACCGTTTCGTGATACACAGATAAGTAATTTAAAGGGAAACCATTTCAACATAATTGATAAAATTCATGACTAGTGTCATCGAAATATACAATTCATTTTGGAATAATCAGCTATTTTGATTTTTTTAAACTAAATTACCTAAAATTTTAATTAAAGTTTTGTATTTTTTTCAAAAGCTGGATTTTGTTGACAAAATGTATTGAGCTTGAAAAATAAGTGTCCCCACGGTCCAAGTTATCTTCCGCGGTAACTGTCATCAATATGTGGTCATCTCCATCCTAGAATAGGCTACTTATCTATTACCAAGTGTGCTCAGCTATTTGTAACTGAAAATGATAGATTACTTTAAGCAGGATCCGTCACCACAAAACATTGGTCACGGAAACCGTGGGGACATTAACATTGTAGGGGTATATAGGTGAGGGCGGGCTTCATATAACATGGGCGGATTATGGAGACATCGAATAACCATGGGGACATTGTCCCCATGCCCATGGACCCACGCGCTTGCGCGGCCATTGATAACAGACATTGTGGTTGATCAAGTGCATCAGCACAGTTTTACTCGGAATATAGTTCACGTCATTATCTATCTTATAAGCTGGAAATGTTTGCCTGCAACGGAAGTGAAAGTGGAGAAAGTTAAGTTTCGAATGGCACGAAACAAACATTTCCAGCTAATTATATATGTAAATTCAATAAAAAATAATTCCGTGGAATTATGAACAATCCCACTCAATTTTTATGATAATCAAATAAGCTCTCGCCCGGCGGGAGACGGGCTTATCCGCTAGTCTTTAATAAATAAATATATTCAGACATTTCGATTGCTTGACCCGTCAGGATTTTGTTTTCGTGACAATAATTATTTTCTATGACGAACCTTCCATAAAAATATTTATGTAATGCACTCTTAGAAATCGTGTAGTAAATACTTCCATGTGGTGTTCAACGGTAGTAAATTTGTACCAACGGGTTTGATTTTACTACCCAACGCTTAGAAATCTGATAGACTTATGTATGCAGATATTTATTGATTTGTAGGTAAGCAGAGGTGAGATGGTTTCCTAAAACCCAACCCTACTTTAATGAGCTCAAACCCAACTCGCCCGATTGCTTATTTTTTAACCTAACACGCCCAAACCCGGATAGGTCGGGTTGAACCCTATTTCAATCTCACCTCTGCATGAAAGTCGCTACCGCTTGGTATTAAAATTATACTCGTCCATAAAAATGTGTTTAAGCGATATTGCAAAGCTTAAATATTGAGCCGTTACCTATTTCTTATCAATACCTATGTACATATTTAGTAGAGTCATATTTATTTGAATACCACTAGAAATTATTTTATATAATACTGGATTTCTAAGAGTGAATAGAGATACAGCTCTAATTCAACAATCACTCACAATATTGGGTAAACTTAAAAAAAATCAGAGGAAACCACATGACACATCCGGTTTACCAAGTAAGTATGACCTCATGCTTTGCGTATATCCTTTTAAAGCAAACATAAGTACATAGTCGGCTTCTCACCTACCGAAGAAAATAGTTCCAATTTTTGTTTTGTTAAAAAGATGCTTTTCAAGATTTTTAAATCCCGGATGCGAATCGTCATATTTTTCGGTGTGGTGGTAATTAGCGACGCGAACGGTGGTTGGATGGACGACCTTCCTCCACGGATTGAAAAGGTGGACAAGGAAGTATTCCATCTTCCTCCAGAGGCAGAGAATATTTGTGAGCCCTTACATATTAAATACATAATATATGCACACTTAAAAATCTGCTAGAGTTGTATGTACACTCTAATTGTAAATAAAATAAGCAAAATTAACTCAAGGTTGAGTAAAACAACATATCCATGTCATTTGTAGATTTAATGGGAAACATTTCTTTGTCTAAAAAAAATTAAAAAACGTTCCATTTGCAAAATTTTCAAATTATAAGAACGTCCCTGATAGGCCGAATTATTGCAATAGTTAATTTTTTAATAGCAATTTCCAACCATTCGGGAACTGTGGTCTGTTTATTCCACCTCGTTTCGACGTATCGCCCCGCAAAACCCGGCCTTTCCGATATTACCTTCACTCCGGGTGAAAATTTCGACGGGAGTCTGTGCACCCACGTGATCTGTACGAGACTCAGCCTTTCTTACAATCTCGGAATCCAAGAAAACAACGAGTTCCGTAAGTTTTTATCTTGTTACGATGTTACGGTGTGAAACACTTTATGTAAATACATATGCGTCTGCCTGTCCGTCTGCAATGTGTCTGTCTTTCAGCATTCCAGTCCCGCTTAATAAATAGGATTTGCATGCTTATTTAGTTATCGGAAATCAAAATGTGGAACATTTTGAAAAACTGGGTTTTTGATTTTGTTCGTTTTAAAATGTTTGAAAATGATCCTAAAATCGATTAAAACGTTTTTGGTTTTTCTCGCTTTAAAATATTCGAAAATGTTCCAAAAATCGATTTTGAGTGCCCTACTTTAAACCATGCTCCTCTGATTTTTGTCCAGGTGCGCTCCCCGTGGTTAAACAGCTCCATGAAAAATATCCCACCACCAAATTTCTCCTCGACGTGACCGTGTTGCCCGGCGGCGTGTACGACTACATCGGTGAACCCCAGTACGAAGAGATGAACCCGTTCGGCACTCCCACAAATCCGGACGCATATGCCCACAATATGAGGTTTTTCCTTGACAAAGTTAAAAACACAGTGAGGTAAGTCGCACTTCAAGTTTTTCTTGCATACTCTTAGCAAATTGAATCATCACCAACCGGAGTGTAAATATGTATGTATGATGGTGATAACGGGTATTACCATATAGTGAAAAATATACATATATGTTCATACATACATATGTACCTTTGTGGTGATGAAAACTTATCACTTGGAATCAAACTACCTACGTATTACACAAACCCGGATTGAAGTTATCACCAAATCTATACCATCACGGAATGTGATGGTATAGATTGCTAAGAGTGTGGCAAACACATTTCAGATTTCTCTCGCCATGAAATTATCTTAGTAAATACTCACAGTTTACGTTACTTTACCTGGTTATCCGGATAAAATCTTTAATTACGATTTAACTAACTCCTATTTCTGCGAACCAAATATTTCAGAGACCACGGTTTTCAAGGTGTGCACCTTAACCAAGCTTTTAACGGAGAGGATCGCAGCCGTACCAAAGCACGATACCGGGCAGTGGTTAAGGTTAAAGCTTTTTTCGTTTTTGTCATTTATATATATGTATATATATTTTATTTGAAATTAGGGATTGCACTAAAAATATAATTTTTGAAAAGTGCATAAATTCACCATCAATCCTTTGTAAGTTTTAAGCAAGCTACATGAACTCTAGAGTAACTTGGAAAAAAGCAAAGTTTATTCTGGATTTAACATTGTTTACATAACATACATACATAATTTTGAACGTTTCGTTTCAAAAGAGTCACATTATTCGTAAGAGTGTAAATTGTTGAATTTTTATACTGTTTATTTTTCATCGTCTAAATATTCTTTAACCCCTGTACATATTTTTTACTTTATCTATGTATTTATTGAGGGGTGAAGCGCAGTGAAATCCCTTCATGGAAATATCTTGTCCGTCTGTTTTACGGTCTGTCCGTCCGTATGCACGATAATTTTAGAACGGATTCGAATTTCGACATGTGGTTTTCGCCAACAAATTTCTAATTTTTGATGTGCGGATGTGTTCTAAGATTGGCGTGTTAGGTCATAAGGTCACGGGGCCACGGTGATGACGCTAAGGGTCGAAGATGTCGAATTTTGTATTTTTCCGTTTTAGACATAGTTTAGGGTGCAGAAATCGACATAGTTTTGACGTTCCATGTCTTTAAGACCGTTTCGCTTCACCCCTTTGCTGCATTTCGTTGGCAACGGTTTATTATGAGGACTTTTGCTTGTTTTAATAAAAATATTACATGCTTTACAGGCTCTCAAGATGGACTTTGCTCCAGAGAATCTTGTCTTGACGAGCGATCTGATAATGCAGGACGGGAAAATATCCGACGTCAACGACATGTTCGACCTTGTCATGGTCAATCCTTCCGGACGAAATTATGACGACTTGGCCAATTTCTTTTTCACGCCGGCTAATTACTTAGACGGAAAGGGAATTCGTGCCGGAAATAAGTTTGTCCTGCAGGTTTACATGTTCGGATTTCTAGGCCAGTTTTCCACCATGGATGGAAGTGTGAAAAGGAATTTCCAAAATGATTTGTGGGGCTATAACGAAGTGGGTTTCTATTCGATTTATTACAAAAGTTGGGGCTTTGCGTAAAAGATGTGACCGATTTTTAGAAAATTTAGCGCAGCAAACCCTTGGATTATTGAAATAATCGTTAATTTTCCAGAAATTTTATTATCGACGGGCAAAATTTTGCTGATTTTTGTGTATTTTCTGAGAAAAATTTTATCCCGCAATGCGCAGAATTTTGATAATTTTTGTTTCTGAAGAAAATAATAGAGGTAGATTCAATACTTCGGTTTGAGTCGGATCGGATCTTATTTAGGCCGTTCACATGTATCCGATCCTTCCCATCCGATCGGATCCGACCCTATCCGATCCGATCCGACAATATCCGATTGGATCCCTTTATGTATATGTAGTTAATACATACAAAGTAGTAAACGGTCTGAAAATCACGTCGGATCAGATAATCCCTGATTACTCACTAGAAAATATGGCACAGATTACGTAATCTATTCAGCCCCATAAATTGATCACGTCTTTTATCCAGTCCCTTTAATGCTTTGTGAAACATCAAAAAAATTCTTTACAAATTTCCACCAGATTTGCCAAATCGTTGAGAACAGCGGGATGGATTTATTATGGGACTCCAAAGCTGGCGTGGCCATACTCTCCAATGGGACGAGGGGGGTGGTCACCCCCACCCCGAAAAGTGTCATGGCCACCGTCGAGTTCGTCATGACTGCGGGATTACGCGGTGTCATGATCTTATCCACGCCGGAAGACGATTTCACCCCGTATTGCGGAAAAGTGAAGTATCCATTGTCAAAAAGTGCGAATTTCGCGATGACCCGGGCTGAAAATGAGGCTCTTAAAGGGAAGAAATTTTGCTTTTACAAGTATCGAAACTTGTTTCAAAATCCGAGCATACTTTTACCCACTAAAACGTCAAGTAATATAATGTATGCCTTGGTGAATTCTACGATTGAGTTAAATTGCAGCGGGATTGGAGAACCAGACATAAATTTAGCTTGGGTAAGCACACTCAACAAGAAAATCAGTGACTCTACCGGCTTTTGGAACGTCCATGTATTATGTCAAGAAAAAAACGTCAACTTTAACACCACCCACCCACCCATCCCTTCGCTGTCCTACTCATCTTAAGCTTAACACGAGTAGAATATGAGCCAAATTTTTGATGACGTAATATATAAACGTTCCCTTTGATGCTGGCGGTTTTTTCTGTGATGGTGGTGGTGCTCAGAGGTTGACGCCGACGAATTTTCGGCGGCGGCGGCGCCAGTTTTTGGTGATTTTTCGGCGGCGTCGGCGGCGCGGCGCGGTGTCGCAATGTTAAAGGAATAGGAAATCAAATTTTTCGGCGGCGGCGGCGCGTAAAATGCATCGGCGTGTGGCGGCGCGGCAGCGTGAGATCGGCGGCGTCGACCTCTGGTGGTGCTGGTGTTAGCCTTGGTGATTTTGTGTCACCGAGCTGGGGGTGGGTTATTTCGTCCCCAAGCGGTAGTGTTTGATCACCATCTGGTACATGTAATCACCGGTCGGTGGTATATAATCCAGTGCTAAGATTTCTTAGAGTGCACTCTACACTCGAGTGTAGTAAAACTTACATTTTGTTTCAGGCTGAAATAAATGCTACCCTGCAAAGCAACAAATTATTGAGCGAGTCAAACTTCGAAGAATTGAAGGATCCCGATTGTCCTTCTAATGTTACCAAAGTCCACAAAATCGAGCTTTCCATGACCACCCCAGGAAATGAAACGTTTCAGTGTAAAGTTTCCAATCTTTATGGAAGTGATTCAAACAATTTGACCGTCATCACTAGGCTCAAACCATGTATGTAGATAAATATTCTCAATTAATTACTACATACTCAAATTCTTACTTATTTCTCAAACAAAAACTCAGATCTGCTCCGAAATAACACCATAATCGCGGAGGAAGTAGATTTCGACTTGAATTTTGTCCTCCCGGAGGGCGAGACATGTAAGAAAAACAAAGATGGAAATCTCGTTATTGAATTTCCTAAAGAAAAAACAGATTGCATTACATTGTTTCTCGTCAGATTGGGCCAATCAAGTTGAAGACGCTGTCTTGTTTTGTGAATTGGACGTGTTTGAAACCCTGGCTGGATTGAAAGACTTCCTTGCCCTGGCAGGCGCCAGACTGGGCACGTGTACGCATATCGTCCTCAGCAATAATTCGAGTTGGTCATGTGATGGGGAAATGGGGTGTTCAAATCCTACTCCAGGTATGGCTTAACCTCTTGGCTACCAAACTACATACACACATTTGTGTAGATAACCCATTGACGGCCAAAGTACACCCACTCTTAGAAATGGGGTTACGATTATAACCAAAAAGTAAGCGTATATGACTCCACTGCCGTGGTTATGACTTTGTCACCAACTGGTTATAAATTTATTAGCTCTGGTGACAATTTAATACCAAGTCGGTGAAACTTTATAATTAGTCGGTGACAATTGTAACCACTCGAGGACAAATTTATAACCACGGCGGTGGAGTCACATACGTTTACTTTTTGGTTATAATCGTAACCCCATTTCTAAGAGTGCATATTTTTGTAGTATTGTGTTTTCTGTTGACGACCAACTACACAGGATAAATATCCTTGACAGCAAAATTTGTTAAAAAAAGAGTATTTCTTCCGTATTTTGTGGAAAACTCGATGGTGAAAAGTGAATTTTTTCGATCTTGGTCTTCCAAAATTCTGGAATTTTCCCTATACCGACCAATGTTAAACAGTGGATTTTCGTCTTTTTCGTCAAGAAAAATCGGAAACTGGTTGAAAATTTTATTTGATTGCCATCAGGTATATTCATGAAATCAATATGGTACCTGAGGGAAATTATATTTACAAATCAGTAGTCCGATAGACGTTGAAGAGGGGCAGTTCATAGATTATGTAGGGCAAAAATTATGATTCACTAGACCTACCCTTTATGTAAACATGCGAGCACAATATTATTCGACCGTTTGGCCCCACTCCCTCACTTTATACAATTTATGAACGGCCCCTAACTCTCATTTACAGGGGGTTGTGAGTGAGGCATTTTTGCAAGTAGAGAGTTGGATTTTCACCTAGCAAGATGCTCTTCTGTTCAAATCAAGTGAAGTAATCCATTATTAAACTGTCAACAAATATCAGTTAAGGTTCTCATGGATGACGCATTGGCGCGTAATCTCACTCTGTCCCTATCCAATGTATTGAAATGTAATTTCTAAAAAATTGAATCAACTCCATGAGCTTTGACATAAATGCAACTTTTAATATTTCAATGTAAAGCCAATTTTTGGTACTAAATTTAAAACTTAGACAATTGGTTTGCAATGTTTCATACTAACTTTCCGCACAAATTAATTCGCTATTTTTTTCCAAATCGACTTGTTTGTAGTGTCAAAAATTAGCTTTACATTGAAATATCAAAAGTTGCATTTATCTCAAAGCTCATGGAGTGGATTAAATTTTTAGAAATTGCATTAGAATACATTGGATAGGGGCAGAGTGAGATTAAGCGCGAACGCGTCATCCATAGGAACCTTAATACAAACTGGTTTCCAATTCACGACACATTAGTTATATGTAATTTAAGAAGCACTGACCTTCAAAATTTTGACCCGCTACGGCAAACCGTTCCGGGGTTATTCAAGGTCAAAGTCGTTTTCAGCAACTATGTAGCTGGACTCTCTGTAGATGTGACGATGCTTTGTAGATTATCAGACACTAGTGTATAAGCCCGTCTCCCGCCGGGCGACGGGCTTATATAATTTTCGCGCAAATTAAGTGGCATTGTTCATAATTCGACATAATTATTTTTGTACTGTATCTATATTATTAACTGGAAATGTCGCTTGAGAACGGAAGTGAAACTTTCCCCACTTTCACTTCCGTCACGGAAAATTACTTTCACTTCCGTTGCAGACAAACATTTCCAGATTATAATATAGATGTTAACTCATCCAATTTCCTAGAACAATTGGACCAAATTGTTTACGTCAGGGAAAACTACAAAAGTCTAAAAGTGATGATGGGAGCTTTTGTTAATTCGAACTATCCGGCAAAATTATGGCTGCTTTCGAAGAATGACTCCATCTTACCTGAACTTCCCAGGTGATATTTTCCAAATTTTCCGAGTCAATGATTTCAAGAAAGTTTTTTTTTCTTTTTTAACAGAGGACTCAAACTTGACGGACTACACGTGAAAAGTCACAATAATCATAGGTTCAGAACTTTGTCAGATTTTGTGGAAAATGTGAAGGTACATAGATTATTTTTTGAGCTCGAGCAACGGATATAATACATGAAGTAGCGGAATCGACGTAGTGAGAATTCGGCATGCAATGCATACCTGTTCAAAAATTCAGTTTTTATTCAAAAGTCGTCATCCCACTTTATGACTTCAGTCATTCAGTCATTTTCTTTCAAACTCAATTCATCTTACTTCATTTCTTACTTCGCCTCATGTATTAAGCATAGAGCGAAAAATGCTTTCATTCACAGTCATTCATCTGAAATGAGGGAATTCTGTACTCATTTTCATTCAACTGAACGTATTTAATTTCATTTTCATTCATTATCATAATCCGTCAAATGAACGAAAGTGAACAGGTATATAATAACCATCACACTTCCGCTACTTCAGTCCATCTGCTTTCTGAATGTATATTTGAACAATGAAGTTTCTCTTTTCAGACTAGAACATCATTTGAATCAGGGCGGGAATTGTTAACAGTTAGCGTCAAAGATGCCGTGGGCGGGTCAATTAGCAGGGAACGTTTCACAGAAATGGCGCGTCACGTTGATTTTATCGTTCTTCGTGGTCACGACTTTAACATGGGATCTCCTCGGACAGGGCATAATTCACCTCTGGCCGCATTTCAGCCAGAAGATCAATCCATAACAGGCAGACTTAAACTACTTTTTGAGAAGTATCTGGTACGAAATGTTGTCCTGGAGTTGCCCACGACTGGATTTTTGTACCAACTTTCATCATCCACGGATGATGGGGAGGACTTTTTCGGGCTGGGAAAATCAATCACGGGAAACCCACCAGAACGAATTGGATATGATGAAGTAACTTGAAATATTTTTTTGAATACCAAAATTTTGTTTTGAAGAAATGATTCTTCTAAAGAAGAAGAATGAATGAAGAATGAATTCATATTTTTTTCATTTGATTCATTTTTATTTTTCATTTCATTTTTTGTGTTTTTTTTTAAAATTTTTTTACTGTCATTTTTTAAGAATGTGTTCAATTTGCTTATTGTGTATGTACGTATTTAGATATGTTCCATTGCGCAAGGTGGTCACGTGGTTGAGTGGCACATGTTTTGGGATAATGTTGCTCAAGTTCCCTTCCTGAAGAGGGGAGCCGCCTGGATATCGTTTGACTCCTTGAGAAGCATTTATGCCAAAATATCCCATCATTTTGGACCAATCCTTCCACGCGGAGTAATGCTAACCGGGCTACGATTAGACAATTATGACGCATCATGTACCAAAGAATCGGGTCAGGTCTCGCTACTCGGACTTATCCAGGGGATGATGCGACTACCAAAAAAGTATGGTCATTGTTTGCCCAAGAATATCATAATTCCCTATGCTTTCCGAAATAAAATCATGCATACCTGTTCACTTGCATTCATTCATTTGACTAGTTATAATAGTGAATGAAAATGAATTTCCCGTCAATTGAATGAAATTGAATTTCCCGTCAATTGAATGAAAATGACTGAAAGATTTCGTCATTTCAGCTGAACGATTTCATTTTTCATCCAATGCTTAATACGTAAGAAATGAAGTCCGATGAAGTGAAATTAATTTAATTTGAAAAGTGACTGAATGTGTATGAAAATCTTCAGTCAGAAATCGTGTTGACTGACTTGTGAATGATAACAATTTTGTTTAAACAGGCATCTATTAGTAAAATTTGACCCTTTTTCTATTTAGAACTCGAATTGACCCGTTTGGATTTCCAACTACATCAAACATGTCATGGACATACATTGCAATTGCTGCCCTTCTTGTCCTCCTCCTCGTCACCGTGGCAATATCACTGTTTCTTGTTTACCATCGGAATAAGTACCCCTACCTGACCAGGCAGGATTTGGAACGGTTCAAAAATGGAGATCGCCCCATTTTAAGTGAGGATGGGACAACCACATTGCAAAATAAAATACCCCAAGACAATGGAGAGGAAGACAATTATACACGAATACCGTACAGAGAAGAGCTCATGGTTTCCAGGAACGATTACGAAATTGGTTAGTGCATTTTTTTCTGTTAATTGGTTGAAATTATGTATGCGTAAAGTGTAAGTACGTAAGTTCTAGTTATAACCTTGCAAAGGACTTTGTGAAATTAAGAGTTGAATTAAAAACCCATCTAAACTGATGGATTTGTCCGTTGGAGTCAGTTAACTGAGCCCCAATTGATACTTTCTTCAGATATGTAATCCTAAAATTAATTATTATCCCCTAAAGAGGGATGAAAATACTCCCCCAAATATTAATGACGGACGAAACATTTATACAATTTAGGGGTAAACTCCCCCATTCATTTACATCAACCCTCAGAGAAGATTCCTCTAATACTTAGAGGGTAGCAGATGAATTACATATCTACATACATATGTGCGGCGAGTGCATATCAATGGGGGAAATCTATGGGGCACCCGTAATAATTTATTTACATGGGCTTTCTTACTTAAATGGCGATGAGGATGGAAAATTACAAACAAAATTTCCTTCCAGTTTTTTCACCCAAGGCTTCGTGAAAGATTTCAAATTTTGTAATTATGCTTTGTTTTGCAACTAATGTAGGTATATATGTAATACGTAAATAAATATTTCTGCGTATTGTGATTTTTCCTGATAGTTGTGAATTTTTGTTGACAGATTTTACCAAAATCTTGGGCTCCGGCGAATTCGGGTTGGTCGTTAGTGGGACGCTGCATGAGAGGCAAGTTGCGGTGAAGACGTTACCCGAAGGGGGCGAAGTGTCGAGGACCTCACTTCTCGCGTTGATGAATGAGATCAAGCTTATGATGTATTTGGGCAGTCATCCCAACATCGTCGAGTTGCTGGGTTGTGACACGAAAGGAGTGCAAAAAGGTACTTAATTCTTAATTCGTGCAAAACGGGATAGTTCTGTAGCATATTTTTTATTGTTTTTTTCTGCGTTCATGTTGTTATTTGAATGCACTTTAATTTTTTTTGCTAAATTGCGATATAGATTTTTTGAATATTTTTCATTACATAGGTATATAAATTTTTGCTTATATACTTTTCAACGAGGGGTGATTGTCTTGGTATCCATCTTATCGTAAGATACTTTACGGAGAACAGAGAAGGGGTCAAGCTTGGTAAAATTCGTAGCTTTACCAAGTACATAAAATTTTTATCTATGTGAAGAAATCTGAAAGGTGCCAACTCTTGCAAGAGTTACCATGGTAACTATTTCCTATTTGGTACGATTCGTATTATACGAAGAATACTAAGGATGCGATGGAGTCATGAATACCCTCATTAAATACCCAGATTACCACATTTTCACATGATTTCATAATTTTTACACTTATGTATCACAAAAACACTTGACTAAATACACTTTATTAAGTTTCTGGTCAAAACAACGTTTTAAGAAGGCTAGTCAAAATCATAAATAATAAATAATTTCGCACATTTTTAGGCAAAGTTTACATGTTTCTTGAATTCTGCCCGATGGGAAATCTCCTCAATTTTCTTCGCGTGGCGTCAGCAAATTTTAAGAATCAGCAGCGACAAGAGACCCCCTCTGACCAAATTTACAGTAATGTGCTCCACCCCTCGAAAAATGGGGGTTGTTTCGATGACCTCACTTTGCTCGTGTGGTGCTACCAAATCACGCACGGGTTGCGTTATCTCGCCCACAAGAAAATCATTCATGGCGACCTCTCCGCCAGAAACGTACTCCTCGTGAACATTCATCATGTGAAAATTTCGGATTTTGGATTATCAAAACGCCTCCAAGAAAATTATGCAATCTATAAGAAAACTACACCGGTGAGAGTTTTGTAAAATTTTAGTTAATCGCATAGGACCTTGGATACCGTTTAACTGGCGTCATAGTTAATTTGGCAAATAGTGTGCCAAATGAGTAATCAAAATAAACACAAAACATGCCAATTAGTGAATCAAAATTCCATACAAATTCAAATAACAAATTATGTTTGAAAAATTTGCCGGATCATGCAAAAAAGTGGCAGGTTAATTTGATATATGTATGTACATAAATGTTTATATGAGTACTAGGACATTCAAAATTGGAAAATTTCGAAAAACTGGTCTTGGCAATTTTATTCTAATTTTATTAACTTGGCAAAAAAAAATTTAGGATAACTTGGTTGCCCCTTTGTATATTTATAACTGTTTTTTCAAGTGTAAAACCGATCTCCTGCTGAATCTAAAACCTATTTTTAACCAGTTTTTGATTCCTTAATTAACTCACGCTAGGATTTGCTGAGAGGGTAGAAGTTCCACAATGTTTTAGCAAAAATGTTTAGCGAAATGTTGCAAGTTTTGCAAACTACGTAGGTATGTAGATTTATTAAATTTACGTACATACTTTCGGAAATTTGCTGTACGTAATAACTTGTAAATATTTATCCAGTACACAGTGCCGTATCTCTCCTTGGTCCGGCCTGGAGAGTAAATCTCTTGTCCGGCCTTTTATGTGCAAAATTAAGAAAATTAACATAGGAAATTGCTTTCGTTTATATTTTATCTACGGCTATCGTTACAAACATATATTTATTTGTGTGCTAAAAATTAATTAGGCATGGATTTCCCAGTCTCCTGATTATTCCACATGCTTTTATACAGGTCATAACCGCACGAAGCTTAGTTCGTGTATGCACATTGCACATACAGGTTTTGATCTGGCGTATGTATCCTGCCTGAAACTACTTATGACATGAATCGTAAATTTTTGAATACATAGGTAAAGCCAAAAATATTTATTGTTAGGTTAGAGGCAGCCAATTTTGGAAAAAAATATTGTCATTCTCAAAGATGACACTTTTTTACCTCCGACCCCAAAACTTAGCACTCCCACAATTTCTTGTTCGTTTTATTTTGGTACGGTTGGCTAAACTCAATATTAGCATTTTGATTTGTGGAAATCTCGGTGCAATTACAAATATATACCCAAATACAGATGAACACAGACAGTATCTACCGATTAAAGTATCTGTAGATCTAAAGGTAAGATCTGTATAAATATCTGTAGATATTTAGAAGTTATAACATTTCGCTTATGGATCAAAATTTCGAGATAGTGCTTTCCAGGTTTACGTGTTCTTAAGGGATGGGGTCAACAATTTGTGACCTTAGATTTGGACCATATTTTTTTCAAAACTGAAGATATATCTAACCACAAAGATTCTGCTATGCACAAATTTAGAATTCTGAAATTCTTAGGTTACCTAACATTTAATATTGATTTTTGATTAAATTATAGCGTGTTACTATATTTGCAAACCTTTTTTAAGTTCATCAAACTAATACCGGAGTTTTCAAAAACGGTTTAAAGCCATTCTGCACAGAATCGAAAACCGGATTATTAAAATGTGTCAGAAATCAGATTCAGTTCAAACCGGCTTTTCAAAGTCTCCCGATTTTGGATAGAAATATAGAAATGAGACTTGATTGGAAAATTCAACGAACCAGAAATTGTCGAATAAGTTGCATCATTAAAATCATTTTGGTTATCGTTGAAATCAGAATTCAATTTCTACATATGTGCCTATTTTTTATCGATATAGATGCGAATAAGCATTACATCTCCTAGAAACCTGGGAACGCATGTGCATCAGTTTGTTCGAGAGGAAATGTAAGATTCATAGATTTCTACGAAATTGGAGAAAACCGTGTATCTAGGCATTGCTATAAAAGGTTGGTTAGACAAAACAATATTCGGTGAAGTAGGGATCATGTAATTAGTGGTACGGGTTAAGTGTTTAATGCACAATATTCGAAACAGTCATGGGAGACTGAAATTTGTGTAGCATGATCGGACCCACACAGGTAGGCTGTTGAACTTCTAAATGCTCGATTGACAGGGCCATGTATGGCCTTTACAATCATATATCTGAGAAATTGTTTGCTCGGGTTATTAAGTCAAACTTGAATTTTTTTTCTGACAGGACCTATTCTGCTAACCGATTTGCAGAAATCGTCCCAGAAGGCTAAAATTTGAATATTGCATTCCATAATGGGATAATTGAAGCTTTTCAAAAGTAATACTAAATCAAGTTAAAAATATAAAGTTTATAAGTATGTAAAAGTTGGTTGGGAACGTTATGTATATATAACATGACTTATACTTCGAAGGGTCAATTATATCTAGTGTCTGCATCACTCGGCCGGTACGGCCCTTCGGGCCGTCCGGCCTGGAGAGTGCTCTCCACCTAAAACCAGTGCTCCTACGGCCCTGCCAGTACATATGTACGTATTGCAGACTCAACTTCCTTGGAAATGGCTGGCACCCGAGGTTCTCACCGAGCTGAAATTTTCCATCCGCAGCGACGTCTGGGCCTTGGGTGTGACGATGTGGGAGGTTTACTCGATGGGATCAGTCCCATATCCTGGTCTCGGTTGGGATATTGGATTCACGCAGAGAATCGTGAAAGGCTTGCGACTACAACCACCAGCCCTGATTACGTCCGCAATGTAAGTTTAATTCATGATAAATTGGGGGTATTCACGTCAACTGCATATGAACATATGTACAAACTTTGCGACGTTTGCGAAGAGTTGCTACATTCACGACAACCAATCAGATTCTTTTTTATAGAAATATTGGACCTACAGAAAACTCATTTATTTATTATACTCTTAAAAAAATAAAGTTCGAAATTTCGCAAAGAAATTTATGGTTGAAAAATCATTTGCGAACTTGCCCATCTCCTAGGGGAAACAGGTAGATTATGTAGGACTCTCAATTTACGTATGTAAATGTTTCGTAAACTCGCAAAGTAAATTTCACCTGGCTCATTTTCAGTTTCCGTATTTTTATTAAGTAGCTTCAGCTACTTTATGTGAAGACTTTGTCTGTCTGTCTGTCTGTCTGTCTGTCTGTCTGTCTGTCCGTCTGTCTGTCAGCAGGATAACGGGAGAACGGATAAAGATAATCGAAATCGGTTTTCGCCATCATACATAATACCCCAGGGGGAGGATCCTATCAACTTTTGGGTGCAACCGGACCACACCCCCGGTCGCCAGGGGGTGTGGTCGGGGCAAAATGAGATTTTTAGTGCAATTGAATCTATGGATGAAATGGAGTGAAATTTTGAGTTCCCCCGTTGTGCCACACCCCCCGGGCGCCAGGGGGTGTGGTCGGGGCAAAATGAGATTTTTGAAAAAATTGAATGCATAGATGAAATACAGTAGAATAAAGTGCTCCCGAGTTGTGCCACACCCCCTCGTCACTAGGGGGTGTGGTCGGGGCAAAATGAGATTTTTGAAAAAATTGAATGTATAGATGAAATACAGTAAAATCAAGTGTTCCCGCGATGTCGTGGGAGTGCTTGGAGTGAAGTAGTCTGAAGCTACTTCCGTATGCGCGTTTGCGACGGTTTATTTAAAATGAGGATATTCATTACGAGTTGGAATGTTTGTAATTAATAATTTTGAAAAAAAATCGAACTCAAAATAACAGTACATTCTAGCCTTGGATACAGATTCACAAGTTCGCGAATTAATTTTCTGGCCATTTTTTTCTAAATTTACGATCTTTGTATCTTGCTAACGTTTGACAACAATTCGAACTCGTAATGAATACCACTAATACATTAGTCGTTCACGATACTGGTACCGCAAACACCAGAAAGTTTCGAAGATGTGTAGCGACGCGATGACAAGTTTGAGTGACGTGAATACACTTATTTAAAATTTTTTTGAAAAAGCGTATCTTTATAAGATACAAATTGTACACTCATAGGTTCAAAATTTTGGAGGAATGCTGGCAATTGGCCCCCGAAGACAGGCCAAGTCTTTCTGTGATTGAGGCCAAAATTATGTATCTTATCGATTCCGATGAAAATCAAGTATGAGAAAAACATATTTATTTTGTTGAAAAATATGTAGTTCTATTCCTAAATTGTCAAATTAAAATGAAATATTTTCATTATATGTAAATATATTCATAACTTCGTTTCCAGGTCTACACCAATATTGCTACTGGGTCTTAAATACTTACATAGTTGCCGGCATAAATAGGAAATGGGATACAAGCCGGTTTATTAAATATCTAATGTTATGTACTGATAATTTAGTAACTGTTCGAATCCTTAAAACTTACACATAATAATTACTATTAGAGTATTATAATTTACAAAGTCTTAATGCAAAATTATAGTTAAGGGGATAAAATTCCAATTAAATATTTTAAAAACGGTAAAATTTTCGGAGTAAACTTTTTAAATTTGCGTATGACTCTACCCTATCAATCCCACCTCCTCAACTCCACCTTGTCAAGTTCCCCCATCATTTCCACGAAACATAGCGTACCTATGTATTTATGTATGTATATATACACTCAAAATAAGGTAGTAATGAATCATTACCATGCGGAATCACTATGTGTCTCTGCCACGTCGGTTACGATTTGTCGTAGAAATGGTAATAATAAGTTCAGGGAAATTCAAATTCATTACCAAATATTAAGGAAGTGAATACCATTATGTGTTAAATTTGAATTTCCCTAAACTTATTATTACCATTTCTACGACAAATCGTAACCGACGTGGCAGAGACACATAGTGATTCCGCATGGTAATGATTCATTACTACCTTATTTCGAGTGTATACTACGAACCATATTCTACAATAATTATACATTTTATTTAGATTGGTTTGGACGGTACTATTTGAGGACATTTTGACTTGATTTTATTGATTATTGCGAGCTTTCGATCGCTTACAGCGGATCATCATCAGGCATAAATTAGTTTGAAAAAAGAAAACAGAGATACTACAACGTTGTTTGAATTTTTGGAAATTTCAATGACATAATATTCATGGATACATTAAAAAATTAATTAGTGTTGTGGACCAGATAGAGTTTATGGGCATTCCTTTTGATATATTCATCCTTTCTTCTTTTTTTATGTTTCTGATGAATAATCCTTCCTTGAATTTTCTGTAAAATTTCCTGGGTTCCTTAAGTATGAGTTTGTGGGAATTGGGGTCTAGTTGATGATTTTGTTCAATCATATGTTTCGCAACGGGTGAAATTGTTGTTGCTTCATTTCTAATGGCATTTTCATGTTCAGATATTCTTGTTTTGAAGTCTCTTTCGGTTTCCCCTATGTATTTGGCAGGACAGTCATTGCATTTGATGGAGTACACGCCGCATTGAGTTTTCTTGATTTTTTCTTTTGTATTGCATATCATTGTGAATAGCTTAGGTCCAGGATAATAGCCAATTTCTACTTCTAATTTTCTTTGTAAATATCGTGCAATTTTGGTTGTGACGTTTCCTGCGCAAGGTAAAATAATCCGTTTTTCTAGTTGTTTGGTGTCTTGGTTTTGTCCTGCGTTAATTTTTCGTTTGACTTTCTTCAAGCGGTATCGAATCATAGATTCTGGGTAGTCATTCCTTGTGAGTATTTTGATGGTGTATTCTATTTCGTTGTTGAGATGATCTTTGTCTGAGAGTTTGAACGCTCTTGTCAGCAGCGTATCAACTACTCCAATTTTGTGTGCAGGTGGGTGGAAGGAATGGAAATTTAAGTATTTATTGGTATGTGTTGCTTTTCTGAAAATGTGATGGCCTAAGCTTCGGTCTGGTTTTTCGTAGAGCATCACGTCTAGAAATGCTATTTTGCCATTTTCTTCTTTTTCTACTGTGAATTTTATGGCATGGTGAAATCCATTGATTTGATTGAGGACAGCTTCCAATTTTCTTTTTCTAATAATTGCAAAAATGTCGTCAACGTATCTCCTCCAAAAGATGATGAACTTGTTCCTGGTGACTAGTTTGTGTTCTAAGCTTTGCAGATAGAGTTCTGCTACAATTGCTGAGATGGGTGAACCCATGGCTGTTCCCTCTGTTTGGTGGTAGAATTTTCCGTCATATTTGAAATACGTCGATGAGAGGCATATTTCTAGTAGGTCCATAATATCTTCATTTGTCAATTTGGTCCAAGATCCATCATTTTTTTCGTTTAGAAGTTTTTTGATGTAATTCAAACTTTCTTCTATGGGTACCTTTGTAAATAGTGACACCACATCAAATGAGACCTTTGTGTCCCCTGGTCGAATTTTCAGGTTTTTTATTTCGGAAATAAATTCTGCAGAATTCTTGATGGTGTAAACGTGATTATTGCTCAATTTCTTCAAAATATTTGATAGATAAGAAGCTACTTGGTATGTTGGAAATTGTCGGAAGTCAACTATTGGGCGTAAAGGTACATTCTCTTTGTGAACCTTTGGTGCTCCGTATAAGATTGGTGCTCTCGTATTTTTTATGTTTAGTTCGTCATATTCCATTTTTGTGATTTTCTCCTCTTCTAGTAATTTTTTGCATCTCGTCTCAATTTCCTTTGCAAAATCTTGGGTTGGATCAGCTATTAATTCATTATACGGGCCCTCTTGAATTATATTTTCCATTTTTTGTTGGTAATCTGCTTTATCCATTATTACTGCAGAATTCCCCTTATCTGCTTTACATATGCATATGTTTTGTGAATTTGTTAATGATTTAATTGACGTTTGTATCCAGTTGTCCCATTTGTTGAGGTAGTTTTTCTTATTAATATACATACATTTTATTAGTACAACTAACTACCAATTATATTTGTGATGATGACCAATTGTTTAACTGAGAGAGTTATGTCATCAACAACATTGGTTCTAAAATACGCTTGTGTCACCAATTTGTTGTCAAAATCATCGATGTTTGGTCATCTCTGGCACTGCATCCGTTCCCTATTTATTTCCTCGTGGGCTCAGCAATGACGAAATTCTTTCTAACTGAAAACGTCACAGTTGTGTAACTCTTTGAAATGCACGCTTAGAAATCCAGTATTAAAATACTTCCAAGCCTTGTTCAGCGGTAGTAAATTTTTATAGACCGTACGATTTTACTGGACAACACTGTTAGAAATCTGATAAACTCACTCCAGTATTTAGTAATTTGTAGGTATTAAAGCAGAGGCGATATGGGTCAAGGTTGCTCATTCATTTGACTGACTATGATAGTGGATGAAAATGAATTTCCCCTCATTTCAATGAAAATGAATTTCTTTTCATTTCAATGAAAATGACTGAAAGATTCCGTAATTTCAGACGAATGACTGAATTAAACGATTTTTCACTCCCACTCCTTTAGTCTTTCATCCTATGCTTAACTGAAAATCTTCAGTCAGAAATCGAGATGAATGAAAATAAAAATTTCCGAACAGCTACATATCTATGTATACATATGTAGCTGTTCGGAAATTTTGGCGAATGTAAAAATTTATTACCGATAGTGCAAAGCTTTAATATCGAACTTATTACTTTACCATTACCATTACTTACCATCCATTACTTATTATCACTTTGGTAGAATCATATATGAATACCGGTTGCTCTTATTTCAATACCATATTTCTAGGTGTGTATGTATGTACAAGCAGAGATATAGCTATAATAATACATTAATAATATTGTGGAAACTTTACTTATTTATCTCTCCGAGGAAACCACACGATACATCCGGTTTACAAAGTATATATGACCTCATGCCTAGCCTAAATATAATCGCCTTTTCACGTATGTACTGAGTAAACTTGGCTCAAGTAAATATTTCCTGTTGAAAAAATGATTTTCAAAATTTCCAAACCCGAGATAATATTAATCTGTGCGTTAATAATTAATACCTTTCGCGACACGAAAGGTTGGATGGCCGACCTTCCAGCATGGATTGAAAAGGTGGACAAGGAAATATTCGATCTTCCTCTCGAGGCGGAGAATATTTGTGAGCCTGTACATATTATATTTCTGTTTATACACTCTTAGAAAACTGGTATTACATAAATCATTACTGACCGGAGTACGTACATATGTATGTGACTCTACCGGCACCGGTATTAACGGGAATTACCGTTCAGTAATGTTGTGGTAATGAAAAATTTACCACTCAGGAACAATTTAGCACCACTTCGGTAGGAAATTCTTACCAAGTCAATACCAGAGCCGGTAGATTCACACATGTACTCCGATCGATAATAATTTAAGTGTGTGTTTGGTGCATGAATTTTTGACTTATTTCCCTTTGGTGACAAAACGTCTGGTTAATCATTAGTAATGATTCATTACCCAAACATAGAGCACGCTCTATAGTACTTCTGTCGGGTGACGATTTGTCTCCAAATTATTTGGAGTGTAATTGCATATTTGATTTATAACAGTTTTTTCAATAATTTGTATAATTTTAACAGCAATTTCCAACCACTCGGGAATTGTTGTCTGTTTATTCCACCTCGTTTCACGCTACAGCCCACCAAGACCTGGCGTGTCTGGCAGTACCTTCGTTCCGAGCGAAAATTTTGATGGGAGTCTGTGCACCCACGTGATCTGTACCAGAATCCACATTTCTCACGATCTCCTTATCTATGAAAGCAACGAGTTCCGTAAGCATTTTTCTTATATATGAGTCAAGTCAGCATGTTATTCGCAAAGTGGGAACCCTTCATCTATGCATCATACCTGTTCACTTTCATTCATGTTAGTGATTACGACAGAGAATGATAGTGAATGAAAATGAATGTCCTCTGATTTGAATGAAAATGAGTGAAAGATTCAGTCATTTCAGATTAGTGACTGTGATCTGTGAATGAACGGATTTCTCGCTTCTTTAATTTTTCACCCTCCGCTTAATACATTGGGCTAAGTAAGGAATGAAGTCAGATGACGTGAAATGAAATGAGCTTGAAAGAAAATGAATGAGTGTGAATGAAAATCTTCAGTCAGAAATCGGGATGACTGAACTTTGAATGAAAAAAGTTTTTTGAACAGGTATGGTATGCATGTGTCGGTCCGTCGAATTTTTACTATATGCCCCATGTAATAATTAACATGGCAAGGATAGGATGCCTCGACCCTACCCCACCGTTAATCTATCACATTCTTTCTGCACAGTCGCTAGGTAAATATGTAGGATTTATATATTACCTAAATATGCAACTATAGAGCATCCAAAATCGTAATACCTACTTTGAAAAATTTGCTTCTGAATCTTCTCGTCTAAAAAATTTTAACTCTTCCGTTTTTGGGCGCGCTTTTTAAACCATCTTCATATAAATTTCCCAGATGCGCTCCCCATGGTGAAGCACCTCCGTGAAAAATATCCCTCCACCAACTTTCTCCTCGACGTGACCGTGTGGCCCTCAGATCCGGCCCAATACGTCCAAAACAAGACGTCTTTCGTTGACCGGGTTAAAAACATATTGAGGTAAGGGTAAGTCCAGGGTAAGAAAAAACCCGGGGTTTTGCGACTGATTGTTAGTTTGTTAGCAAAGTTTGTGATTTTAAATATTTGTCGCTATGAAATTTAATAGAAAGTTATGATTTAGGGTATTTTATTTATGAGCATACCTCCTAAATGGACCATTGTTGGACCATGGACCAATTTATTGCAAACTATGTTTATGAGATCTTTAATTCTCGTTTAACTAATATTTTTTAGAGACAACGGCTTTCAAGGGGTGCACCTCAACCAAGCTTTTAGTGGGGAGGATCACACCCCTTCCAAAGCTCAATACCGAGCATTGGTGAAGGTTAAGACGTTTTTACCTTTCAATTTTTTACATCTACAAAAGTTAGAGTGCATTTACTCTTCAAAAGGGTGAACTTACTTTTAAGAGTGTACAATTTTAATTTTTATGCAGTTTTATTCTGTTATTGAATTTTAATATTATTCACAGGGTGGTTAAAATGTGACGCTACAATGGATAATTTTTCGATGGAAAAAATTTGTAAGTTTCCATTATCTACCGAAATTGTGTCTCTGAAATTCAACATTTTTAGAATTTTGTCATCTCATCAGTGTTCTATCAGTTTTAATAATAATTATAAAAAATCTCAATTAAACATCGTGTAACTAATGGAGATTTAGGGGTCGTCCCCATTGAAAAATTTGCAATTGTAGCGTAACATTTAAACCACCCTGTATTTTGCTCTATTTACAGATACATATTTTTGTGTTTATTTTAACCCTAATATTCCACAGGCTCTGAAAACAGACTTCGCTCAGGAGAATCTTATCTTGACGAGCGATCTAGTAATGCAGGACGGGAAAATATCCGATATCCATGAAATGTTCGACCTCGTCATGGTCAATCCTTTCGGACGAAATTATGACACCATGACCAGTTTCTTTTTCACTCCGGCCAATTACTTAGACGGGAAGGGGATTCGTGCCGGTGGCAAGAGCAATTTTGTCCTGCAGGTTTACATGTTTGGATTTATGGGCGAGTTCTCCACCCTGGACGGAGGAGTGACAAGGAAATTCGAAAACGATTTTTGGGATTATAACGAAGTTGGTGGTCATTGTATTTAGTGCAAAACTTAGGGCTTTGCATAAAGGACTTTTTTAGGGAATTCAGCCCACCACACCATCAAGGATTATACCTCATAGGGACTACATATTAAGGGGTGAAAGCCCTTTATAAGATCGTTATATCGGCCCGTCCGTCTGTCTGTCTGCCCGTTGGTCCGATAACTATTGAACCAAGAGACCTGCATTTTTAAATTTTTGAAAATATTGTACGCCAACCACAATCTGTGCACTTCCACATATTTATTAGTCACATCTTTTATGCATCGCCCTTTTCATCCGTTGTGCAAAATTAGGAACTAACTTTATTCCCGAATTTTCACCAGCTTTGCCAAATAGTTGAGAATAACGGTATGGAGTTATTATGGGACTCCAAAGCTGGGATGGCCATACTCACCAACGGGACAGTGGGGGTACTCACGCCAACCCCGAAAAGTGTCATGGCTACCGTCGACTTCGCCATGAATGCGGGATTAAGCGGGGTCATGATGACGTCCACTCCTGAAGACGATTTTACCCCGTACTGCGGAAGGGTGAAGTATCCCTTGTCAAAAAGTGCGAATTTGGCGATGACCCGTGCCACCAGCCGGGTAGTCAGGAATCAAACCGTATCTGAAGAGTTGCCCTTGTCACTACCGACCAAATATATTCCAATTCTTATCGCTGGCATGATAATGTTGACAATTCTGGGAGCAATTGGGGTTAAAAAGATGAAAAATATACGGCGTTCTACTACTATTCGACTATTAGGTAAGGAGACGATGATTTGCAAATATTTTTAAAGTCAAAAGGTCCCTTTTCGATAGTGTGCAATTATTTTTGCACGCCATTTCTACCGGCGCAGGTACTATCTTTTTATGTATTCAATTTTACCGCGTGGCCACACCATAGAAACAAGTCTTCGGCTTACGGTAACAAATTTCCTCGGGCGAGAGTAAATTTTTTGTTATTACAAATAGGGCATTGAGAAATTAAAGCGGAGCAGGGTTTAGCCTCTGTCACCCTTCTGTGATAAACTATTACCGAAGCAGTACAATTCCATAGTACTTCCGCCGGTTAAAACCGTGCCATAAAATTGAACACAAAGTAACTTACATACACCCCTGCACCCCATAACCTTTCAGCGAAATTTATTTTCCTTTTATAAAACTACAAAAGATGTACATAAATAGTAAACAAATTTAGTAAATTTCTATTTAAATACAGAAGACATCCAGCTAAGTCCCTTCATCCCTAGCGACTTGGCAAGCGTACTTCTCCCCCCATTACAAAATATTTTACCATTGCCATCCCCTTGGAGATCTGATTCTTCACTGGTATGTTACTCCATCCTGGGAAAAGGATCGTACGGGGCCGTATATCGAGCCGAAGATCTGGCCGCCATTTCCCATACGGAATACGCCATCAAATGTGTGGATATAATCAAAACGCTCTCAGAATGCGATGGTGTGAAGTGTAAAGCTCCGATTTGGTTGAAATTTTAAACTTATGTGGTCCAGTCAACGTTTCTTGAGGCAGTTTGGGCGATGGTTGGAATTTGGCCAAACATTCGAGGTCAAAGTTGAAAAACGAGTGATTTTCCTACTTACATTTTAACCAAACCCGTTCAAAAATTTAATTTTCATTCAAAAGTCAATACCTGACGAAAGATTTTCATTCACATTCAAATTCATTTCACTTCACGTCATCTTACTTCATTTCTTACGCCGCCCCATGTTTTAAGCATGGGGTAAAAAATGAATGGAGTGAAAAATACTTTCGTTCACAGTCATTCATCTGTAATGACGGAATCTTTCATTCAAATAATAGGAAGTTCATCTTAACTCACTATCACTCACCATCATACTCAACTCAAATGAATGAAAGTGAACAGGTATGAACTGAACTGGAGTTAGGGTGTGCTTCCTCCGCTTTTCATAAATCACCCATTTTTCAACTTTGACCTCGAATATTTCTACAAATTCAAACAAACTGCCTCAAGAAACGTTGATTTTATTAACCTGGACCACATACATAATTCTAAAATTTCTTTCAAATCAGAGTGTTACACTTCACACTATCCCTCGTATTATCAGAAAGCCATACCAACTCCACATCATCCTCACCTTTCCCCAGTGAGAGGTCCATTTACCTGAAAAAATATGTCACCACGCTTCTTAACGAGATAGAAATCATGGACCAACTAACTTGTGACCATGTCGTTCGGTCCTACGGGTGTTGGGCGGAGGCCGAAAATAGTTCCCAATTAGTCTTAAATAAGCCCCGATTAGAGCGCTTTATCCGCCGACTTATCGCCACTGCCTCCGCCTCATCGACGCAGGATTCACCGCTTATCTTCATAAAAATGGAGTTGTGTCACACCAATTTAAAAACTTATTTGGAAAAATGGTCCCAACCGGGAGATGAGGTCAGCATCCTGCGCCAAGTCGCGGCCGGGTTGCGCTACGTGCATGAAAAATTCTTCATCCATCGGGACCTTAAGCCGGGAAATATATTTTGCAAGATCGAACCGACGGGTAGTTTAAAGTGGAAAATTGGTGATTTTGGGTTAGCTGTGGTGTCCAAGGAGACCGGAAATGCTGAGGTGGCAGGAACATATTTATACCAGAGTCCGGAAATGAGGAACAAATTGGAGTACAAGGTTAACACGGATTGCTACAGTTTGGGATTAATTGGCGTGGAGGTGGTGCACGAGGAGAGGAAGAGCTTTGAGAGATTCGTGGTTTTTGGGAAATTAAGGGGATTGAGTGGGGTGGAACGACGGAACTATTTGAATAAGTGTTGCAGAGGGAGATTTACGACTTTGGTAAAAATTATTGATAAATTGTTAAATGTGGACGTGACAAAGCGTCCTTGTTCGGCAAGGTTGTGCGATATGCTAAATAAGAACGTGGATATCTAGACATTGTACAAATAATTTTTATTCTATGTACACTGTAATATTTCTGGTTTAAAATTATTGATATGTAATAAACATTACACATTTAACATTTTTATGACGTCATTGTATAAGTTAATATGGAAGATTAAATTAATATTACAATATATATGTACATATGTACATATTTATTTGATTTTAATGGGGCGCCTTTCTTAAAATATCCACATCATCGCCGTTCGCTCCCTCCAAAAGCAGCACGTGAAAACGCAGACGGTTTGTTTGATGTATAATGCAACTTTGCCAAGAGCCGCTTCTGCTAATCATAGATCTGTACCAAATACACAGAATTAACACTGTTAAATTTACAAGGAATGAATTATCTCGTTTTCTCAATATTACATGTACCTTAAGCACTTGCGAAAACGCTACGTTTCTCCAGGTCAGCTACATTGTGACCTTTAACCGTACAAAATTAAAATAGAAAAAAAACAAATTCGCACTGAATTTAAAATGGAGGAGATCGTAGCAATTGTATTCGTGGTGTGCTCACCTTGAATTTATTAAATACGTGGAAAAATAGCGTGTGATAAATAATAAAAGGTATAGAACATAAAGGATGTGATTGATTTTTCGAGAATTTGGACCCCTCCTCTAACGTATATTCTCCATTTTGTAATTAATGTGGGAAAGATAGGATACCTCAAGCTTTTCCAAACCTTAAATTAATGACATGCTTTTTGCACAGTCCAATAACATAAAACAACACATGTGTGCGAACTCGTCGTAATACCTAACATGCTAATTTATCCAGTATCGAGGCGTGGGGAGCATGCACGTATGTAAATTATTAAGTGTTAACAAATTGTGGGTTAAAATAATTACATGACATACAATTTTCATGTGCGATACGGGCTTTTGTAATTCGTGAATATTCCTTTAAATCAAGTTTTGCATTGCAGTTATGCATAGAACGTGGCCGGTATTTTTTACTTTGTTCCCACAACACAGCGTGCATGGAAATAAAAGTGAGACACGTATCTACATACTTAACCATTCACGTCAGTATTTATTAAGATAGATATATACATACAATGAGATCTGAGCCAGAATGTACACATTTTTGCAAATTTAAAATTGTTTTCTAGAAATCGTCTAAATACGTATGGTTTAATATCACTGGAAATAATTCAAAAGTTAGGGCGAGAATTACATACATATTTAAAAAAAGGTCATCAATTTATTTCAAAAATTATTTTAGGACACAATTTGGCCAATGCTTCGAATTTTTTTGACATTGCAAAGGAATTTTTTTATGCTGCTAAGGATTTTGTTGACGTTGCTAAGGAAATTATTTATGTTGCTAATTCTGGGATGTCAGGGAAAATTTAAGGGGACGGACTTTTCGGAATTATTTATAATATACATATGTAGATATTTTTTAACCCAGTAAATATATTCACTTTTCTATAAGAAACACTGAAGAAAAATTGAAAAGTATTTTAACAACGCATTTTGTATTTTTACTCGAAAATACCTCCCGAGAACTTGAAGATACAAAATACAAAATGAAAATAGATTAAAGTCTTCAAAATACATACATTTGTATTTTAAAATACTTTTGGAAATGATTGTATTAAATGCAAAATACAAAATACGTATTTCGTATTTCAAATACATGTGTTTTCATAATACTTTATTTTGCCCATGCCTGCAATTTGTTATCTCAAAAGCTACCAAATCTTGTAGTTTGCCTAAGACAACATAATCTTTATTGTGCTCAAAGTTCACGATTTGGCAATAATCCCACAACTCAACTGGTTTTACTAGCCGAGGATACTTGGCTCTAAAATAGTATTGATTTGCATATTTATCTTCTGCAAATTAAACATCTTGCAGTAAAGGAATAAATAGATCAGATGTAATGAATGGCGTGAGAAGCTGCCAGAATAATATTTATGCTATACATACTTTTCAAGTTGTCCATCCATACCATGGGTGGACAAGGGCAGGGTCCAACTCCTCATCTGTCGCTGCTTGCTGGTAAATATTTGTAAACAAGTTGTGTAAGGTGATGCATGAATCTGAACTTCAGAATAAAATTACAAAACATTCCTGGGTCGGATGACAAATTTTGCTTATTTTGGAAGGGTAAAAGGTCACTCCATAAATACTCCGTGACGAAATTTGAATTTAATCAGTGGATGACAAGATAGCAACGAACGAATATTCTAATTTGTCCTGTCTTCCCTGCAAAAATTTAATCTAGAGACTTAACATCATGTAAGAACTATTTATTATAATACACAAGATCAAAGAAATTGGGAAATATTATGAGAAGAAAAACAAGAAATTTACGGTTTCTGATAATGTAAACAGGCATACATAACTTAATTTTTGAACTCGTAAATTATTGTAGCTCGATACAGCATAGTGAGCTATATTAATTTATATACCAGCCACTAAATTCTACTATCCCATCCGTGCAACTATTTATTCTTTTTATTTACAAGAACATCTTCGTTTTACAAGGTTAAATCAGACTGATCTGACACATTCCTGGTTTCGGTCGTATCCAAAAATGAATATTCCTCCCTATTCTCTTCATTAATTTAAACAATAATTAGTCTGTTGCCCATCAGAAACAAATTTTCCCAGATTTTTTAATATTAATACATTTATTTTTGAATTATCTATTTACATACATATATATGTAGGCGTTGGTTCCATGTCGCCTTGTTTACTTTTGGCTCAATCTTGTGGAGCTGTGCACCCATCACTTCTCTGGCAAACGTTTCGGTGGAGATAGGAGGCCCAAGATCAGTAAGTCGTAAAATTATACGAGTACAGGTAACTTATTGACAAGGATGTATACATAATACACAATATTTTTAGTAGGGGTTCCAGTCCCGGGATTTTTCGGGATTTTATTCCCGGGAATTCCCGGGAAACGGGATCCCGAAATCCCGGGATTTGAAGAACTGAAATCCCGGGATTTCGGGATTTTTCAATTTGTCAATCAGAAGTGAAATTGCTTATAATTTACAATTTTAATAGTAGTTTTATATAATTTTCGGTTATATGATTGGTAAGAAAAAGTTTCGATGAGCATAACCAGTCGAAATTGATCCTGAACTCGAAAATTTAAATTTGAAACAATATTGATAGCCATATTTTTCGCACATTGATCTAAATTTTGTATTTAATTCGTAAGCAAAATTTTTAATACAAGATGGAACTTAAAATTTTCTAACTTCGATGTCAGATTTTAACTTGAGGCAACAAGAACACTTTATTTTCGGTATAATTATGGAATCTGAAATCAGTTATGCCAAAAAATACTAACACGTTAGAAGTGATTTCGAATTTTAGTCGATGAATTTAAGGCTGAATGAAAGGCTTTTTGAAGGTAGTTCGTATATTTGAGCTTGAAATTTTTAAATTGCCAAATCCCATGTCCAATTGTAGTTTGTGAATAATGGTTCACAATTTAGGCCAAATAATACTGACGAACGTAAGTTTGACGAGAGGATTCCGAAACTTTATACTTTGTGGGGTCTGGGACCACCCCCTGCAAAGCTAGAGCCAAGAGAATATTTTTGAGTTTTTCCCATTCGGGCTTCCGTGTTAGCTCCCTATCCACTGCTATGTTAAATTCTGGACAACTGCATATTTTCGTTCTTTGCCCTCTAGACTTGCATAGGGTCATCCCAGACCCCACAAAGTATATAGAATCCTCTCGTCAAGACCTTTCCAACGATATCCCATTTATTGAGGTCGGCGACCTTTGACATCGCGACCTTTCGACCCCCGGAAAAAGGTCACGCATGTCGATTTCGACGTTTAGGGTAATAGAACTATTAATCTACTACCAAAGATCTGCAACATATCAAAAATTGGGGTAAATCCAATCGACGAACATTTCGCCATACTTTTTGCGTCACAACTAAAAACCAATTTTTCGAAATTAAAATTTTTGGCTTTAAAGTTGGAATTTCGACTCAATTCGAAGAACGCACCAAGGTATTGATCCAAAGAGTGTAGGAGAAAAATTTTGTGCAATTCCATCAACCCGTTCCTGAAATAAGTTGTTCCCTATGCCATCACTTTAAAATCCCAAAAGTCTCATAACTCCCCAGGGAAAATTTTGGCGCCTAAAATATTTTGCAATTTTTTTTCTTTTTATAAGGTGAACATAATAAAATAGTTTAATTTCACTTTTGAAATACTCGTTGGATATGTCTTTGTCGAGTCCTATAATTCTTACTCAAATATGCTCAGGCCAGGTACTTTTTATAGCCATGTACCTTTTTTTCCACCAAAATTGACTAATTTCAAGTTATATGGTAAGATTTGAATTTCGGGAAAAAATCCAGGGATTTGTCACGGAAATATGAATGAATCCTTCATCTGGGATCCTAGTAGATTCTAAAAAACATAGTGGGTACCCTGGACTCAAACGACAGGTCGTGAGTGTCCCTTGTAAGTAAACAATTAAGTACCCAATTAATAATTTCAGTGCACGACAAACAAGGACTGCTCAGAACCCACCAGTGAAGGCACTGTGGTCAGAGTGGGAACAAATTGCGCAAGACGAAACCCATTTCCTTCTTGCTGTTGGAAAAGATGTAAAGGACACACTCTAGGTTACTGTCGTTGCAAGTTGAGTGGGTTGTTCGGCTGCGCGGGTGGGAACGACGGGGTGGAGATCGATAATAGAAATTGCTGAGAGAAAAACTAAAATCACCCGTGGCAAAATTTAATCAAAATTTAATTTAATCATTTACACTCTTAGAAATGGGGTTACGATTGTAACCAAAAAGTAAACGAATATGACGCTACCGCCCTGGTTATAAATTTGTCATCGAGTGGTTACAATTGTCCCCGACTAATAATGAAGTTTCACCGACTTGGTATTAAATTGTCACTAGAGCTAATAAATTTATAACCAGTTGGTGACAAATTCATAACCACAGCGATAGAGTCACGTACGTTTACTTTTTGGTTATAATCGTAACCCCATTTTTAAGTGTGTACTTTAAATAAATATTTAAATCAGATCTTTCAATTTTATGTTTGTCAGCACTTAATTTCATTTAATTTCACTCAATTTCACCTAATTTTACCCATAGATTAAATTGCACTAAAAATCTCATTTTGCCCCGACCACACCCCCTGTCGCCAAAGGGGGTGTGGTCCGGTTGCCCCCAAAAGTTGATAGGATCCTCCCCCTGGGGTCCTATGTATGATGGCGAAAACCGATTTCGATTATCTCGATCCGTTCTCCTGATATCCTGCTGACAGACAGACGGACAGACAGACAGACAGACAGACAGACAGACAGACAAAGTCTTCACATAAAGTAGCTGAAGCTACTTAATAAACGAGCATAACTGGATACTTAATCGATGACTAGCAAAAAATTATGCATATAAACGTTCCAATTACAGTCAAATTTATGGAATGGGTCATAACAAGTTGTGAACATGATTTGTCAAATATTTCAAAAACATTAAAGGTTTATTGACTTAAGTATTTCTTACATTTTGGAATATGACTGCATTAATTAGTGAGAGCGACGTAGGAAAATTTAAAATTTCCTCTTTATGAACACGGGTTTTATTTGAAACGGGGTAAAATTTCTAGAATTTTGTATTAACTAATTTGTCTATGCGATATTTCATATGTTTCATGATTTAAATTTTCCCCCAAAAAAATTATCCTTCACCATGTTTAGAAGGTTAGCGGCTGGTTGGATGGTTGGCCGAATTTGGGGGCCAAAGTTAGCCGGTTACTAACTGATAATTTCCTATACCCCACATTGGAAATTATTTTGTTTCAAAAGCGGTGGACCGTAATTACGAAGATATTTTTCCTGCCCCGAGTTTCATTTGAAGATCCTGCTGAAACTGAAAACGAACAAATTCAAGAAAACCCATTTGCCCCGGAATCATCTGAAACTCCCCAAATTAATGAATGTGAGGAAGACTCATTATGTGTGACGGAAGGAGCACGTGATTTGATTGACTCGAATTGTATGGCTGAACATGTGGATGAGATAATTTCATCAAATGATGAGTTAGAATTCTCAGAATCGGATAGTGAATTAGAAAACGAAGAAAACTCCTATTCCTCTGAAAGTGAAGAGAACCTTTCATACAATTATGACGCTTCTACTTTGTCTCCTTATGATGAGGATGAAGAGAAAAATAACAGCGATAGTGACAGTGAAGACAACAGCCACGATATGTACACAGCTTAACTAAAATCATCACACCATTAAGGAGAATGCAGTAGCTTTAACAATTATTACTTAATACTTTTTTACAATAATATACAAAAAATCATTGACCTGACCAAGAAAACTCTAAATATTCAGGGACGTCATTGCAACCATGTCTTGAATATATTTAGCTTAGAATTGTTTTATCTGTTATACACCAAGCAAAATAATTCAAAACATTCAGAAACTTAATAAAGGCAAAAACTATTTTTTTAAATTGATGTATTAAAAAAACTAAGAAAAATTGGCGGAACACTTGGCTAACTGGGGGCGGAACACTTGGGAAATGTTGGAAGATTTTCCAGCGTTGAGTTTATTTTAAGTAGTTTACATATTTAGTTCCGATTAACTTCTCCAAATGGCAAGATTATTTTTAAGTGTTTCGTGACATATGTCATAAATCCTGGATAATCTTAAGTTAATAAAGACTAAAGGATACTCTGGACTTGGTATGCTTTACCCGATATTGAATTCAGATTGCCTTTACTTTTCAAAAGGGTAACATTATTTTTAGGAGCGTGCAGCATTTTCTCTAATTACCGTAGAAGCCGACGATATACCGCAAAAGCTGATTAATCACGTGCAAAATGTCATCATCAAATGTGCGGTCCAACAATGACACGATCGCGTAGATATAGCTGATGTAAAAGTGAGAGTCGGAATCCCCTCCGGACATCACAATCCGTAGCGTTGCCCACGAATGGAAAATAATGTGGAACCCGATAAATCCCAAACTGAAGAGACATCTCCTCTTCAAAACGGGGGTCGTGTAGAACAGTTGGGTTTTCCGGTTGAACCGGAAACTACAAACGCCTATCCCCGAAGCGAGGATGAATTCGAGGTGAAATATTTTGTAAAAATGTTCCGAATACATTTTGCCCTTTATTTGTTTAAGCCGCGAGCCAACTTTGCATTACTTTCCCTACAGAATGAAGGATTTTTCGCAAATAAAATTGCAGGATGCGTGCCTGCACTGAAATTTGTGTGTAGGCGCGGCCCATTCGAATTAAATAAGAGAACATAATAGCTTGAATTTTACTTCCTGCGGAAGAGAAAAAAAGTGGACAAATTGTTATATTCTACTGTGTGAGTCAAATTGGAGGTTGGGTTCTTATCAGTTTATAAAATCCAGGCCCGTATAGCAGAATAAATAGAATGGTTACATACATAAATGGCACATCAAACTGGGACGTAAGTATCTAAATATGTAGATTATACATATTTACGGAGAATAGTAAAGTCACAGCAAAGTAGGTTGTTTTCAATTACCGGGCGTATCTATGTATAATTTCATACTGTTCGTGTAGGGTTCTATGTACAGGTTTTGGTTATACATGTGTACCTATTGTGCTAGATATGTACATATGTGATTATATATCTAAGAAAATGCAGTAGCATTTGTCTACCCGTTTAGTTTTCATGAGAGCGAATTACCGCACCTCCCGGTAGTTTGCAGCTAACGATAGTTACGGTAATAATACATGTATTACCGTAACCATCGTACATGTATATATGTACATACGAGGTCCTTTACACAAGTCGTCGCTTATACATACAAAAATAATTCCACTGTGGAATAAATTCCCTACTAGATGATTGTTAAGTAGTTATGATTGTTAAGGAGTATAAAGAAACTGAAACCAAACTTATATCTAATCCTGGTCACAATAGTCGACAAAGTCTACATTTTGTGGCTGCTCGTGCAAAAGTTGTCGCCTTCAAAACCAGTTGGAAATATAAGTTGTCGGATGAAAATCCCGGAAAAATGTGATACCACGTTACACTTATCAAGTCTCACTTCTCCTCAAAATTTATCCGACAAGTTTTGTTTTTGATCCGACAAATTTTGCATGAAGAGCGACGATATGTAGATAAATAGATACATAAACGGTATTTAAGATAATTGCATGCAATCAACTGATACAATCTGGTCTGGTCTGTGGTAAAAAAAAAGTGTGCAACGGGAGTGCATCATTATTGACTACCACCCTCTGTACAAAAAATATACGAAACTCCATGCACATATTTATAACTACACCCCACAAAAAAATATATGCAATTTGAGGCTTCGAAATTTATCTAGGTAAAGTATCTCCCGAAATCAAATTATCTTAGCAATCAATATTTTTCTTGTATCAAATTGACAGGATTAAAACGATAAAATTCCATAAAAAATTGATGGAAATGTCATGTGTAATTTTAACATTACTTTTTTTCTGTATATTCTGCTAGATCTTGGGAACTTCCAACTTGGAAGGGTTAGCCAAAACAATAAGTTTGCAAAAATTATCGTGCAATTTGACACCACTTTTAGAATTGAAGTTGTCACCGACGCTTGGTGTCAACGAAATTCTGGTTTTTGTTACCAAGTTGCTAAGAGTGTACAAACTACCACCTTAATCCATGAGGAGATGCATCATGCTTGTAAATCAATTAGTAATTATCAGTCTTCAAATAAATCCAGACCTTTGTTTGTTTAAATCATAACTTTAACTTTCCTTTATTAATTTAATCAAAATTATTTACAAGCCTCTATCATACGTAGGGTTCAACAAATTTTAATAATTCCAAAGTAAATTCTTAAATTAAATTTAAAGGACAATGACTTTTAAAAGGAGCGGCTATTTCAATTGTAATGGCGGGCAGGCCTCTCTTATTGGTTAGAATCATAACATAGTTATGATTGCTGAAAACATAAAATTCAAAACATTCAAATTTGGAGAATGTGGCGCCACGCCACAGCGCCAAATATGAGTTTTGCACGGAAATATGAATGGATCCTTCATCTAGGGTCATAGTAGATTCTAAAAAACATAGTGGGTACCCTGGACGCTCCACCCATGTCAATAGTGTCCCTTGTAAGCACAGTGCAGCAAACCAGTGTGCTCTATGCCTTAACTCGTAGTAGGAAAGGACCTTTCTGAGCAAAGGTCCCTGCGGAATGGACCCTTCGAGTTTTATCTTACAATGCGATGGTGTGAAGTGCAACTCTTCGAATTGGTTCAAATTTTTGGATTATGTAGTCCAAGTCAATGAAACAAACGTTTCTTCAGCCATTTTTTACGATGGTTGGGATTTGTCAAAATATTTGAGGTCAAAGTTAAAAAACGGGCGATTTTTCCCATTGAAAGGAATGGAAATTTGCTTCTTCCGCTTGGTAAGAATCGCCCGTTTTTCAACTTTGACTTCAAATATTTCGACAAATTCCAACCATCGTAAGAAATGGCTGAAGAAACGTTTGTTTTATTGACTTGGACTATATAATTCAAAAATTTCAGCCAAATCGGAGAGCTGCACTTCACACCATCGCATTGTTAGCACAAAGAGATCCGACTTTTACACAACACTGGTTGAGTGAGACGGTCAAAAATATAACACTATCATTTGGCCTTATGAATAGAAATAAGTTAATGCTTTTACTCGAAACTTTCCATCCAGAAAAAAAATTCACGAAGGAAATTGTCAAAAATATTTATACGACGAGCCAAAAAGAACCGACTAGTCACGAATTTTAGCGGCATGTCAAACAAAAGGAAAGGTCAAGAAGGGCTTAAAACTGAGAAACAGGTGCCTGACTTTAGGCTTATTTTATTACTTTCCCACCCAAAACTGACGCGGTTCCCTTGCATGCCTTCGGTTTCAGCCAAAACATTAAAGTATGAACGGTGATGTATTCGGTGAAGTACAAAGTCTTAAACATCCTTCTAATTCTAAATAGAGCTAAGTGCAGTGAATGCTTAATTTAAAATAAAGCTAAGTGCAGTGAGTTCTTAAGTAAAAAAAATAACTCCACTTGTTTTAACTATAGTGTTTATTGTGCAGTTAGCTTTTTTTTAAATTACGAACTGACTGCACTTAGCTTTATTTTAAATTAAGCATTCACTGCACTTAGCTCTATTTAGAATTAGAACGACGTAAAAGTATCATAAAAGAGTGATAGTGAGTGCCGCAGGGTAAAGTTATAGAGTGCTCCATTTCTGGTCTATGAAAATTATGGCATATGTAAAGTAGCTAAATCTGAATCCATACTGTTCAGAATTTGTTACGACATAATTAGCTTTATCCTTAGTGTTTTAATGGTTGTATAGAAAAAATGGTATACAAATAAATATGTATAGCAGACATCAGGATAGTTTATGTAGCAGTGGGAGATAAATATTTGTCAGCAAATAAGCTGACAATTCCAATGGATGAAGATGTATGAAGAAAATTTAAAATCGAGGTTATGATATATAAATAATTTATTACGTCCTCCACGTGCCAATAATGAGCTGATTACCTAAGCTAACTAATCCTAAATCGTATGTATATCCAGGTTCGGTTTAAATAACGTTTTCAGCGACTTGGGCAAGTATTTGGAGATATATTAGGCAACTCCTCAAACCTAAATAGCAATTAGCCATTTTTTTCGCAAACAATCCCTAACCTTGTAAAACTAATTCAAGAAAAAATTGCAAACTTTGCTCGTCCGGGTGGTTGCGTCGGGGTATTAGGGTACAGAGGTCGACGCCGACAAATTTTCGGCGGCTGCGGCGCCAATTTTCGGGGATTTTTCGGCGGCGCGGCAATGTTGAAGGACTAGGAGATCACATTTTTTGGCGGCGGCGGCGCCTACCTAATAATAATACTACCTAATACTACTACGCCTAATACTACCAGCGTTCGGCGGCGCGGAGGCGTTAGATCGGCGGCGTCGACCTCTGTTAGGGTAAATATTTGTTGGGGGCCGTGTATTTATGATCTCATGAAAAAGGCCGAGTTTTGAACCACACATCCTACATATTGATCGTCACATACGAGGATCTCAATCACTCGCCCACTATTTTACTGATATAATGGATGGATACTCCCTCAGGTAAATTTTGATAAATACCCTCAATAATTAGGTATCTAAATATATCGTGATATCTTTGACTTACTAAATTTCAAGGTAATCTTATCCGTGGCTAAGGACTTATGTATTCATTCTTATATTTATATGAATAATTATTAGTTGGAGAAAAAAATATTGGTGTATGTCCCACCGATAAATGTTCACGACCAAGTTTAAATATTTAGGTTAAAGTCAAACCATGTTTCGAAAGGTTGCTAATTTCATTTGTCATAAATTCGGTGGACTGACTAATCCTAAACTTCAAAGAATTAAGAATCAATATTAAGCATAAAACGTATGAATTTGTGGGACTAAATGTCAAGCTATTTTTTATAAACAACTTATTTATTAATCTGCCATATCTCCCGACAAAACCTAGAAAAAGGTTTGGGCTTCGCCAAATATTTTTTAGTTTTGCGAAATACATCGCAAATATCTTGCTTACTTGTTTCACAATCTGGTACAGATACGTAATTTTGCTTAAACATGATCACAAACATTGCCATCAAACTATTCGCGTTGCGAATCCGTTTCGCTGAAATCTTCTTCTCGAGCCCGATTGGTTGGAATTTTAAGAAAAATCGGCTCCAAAGGTCAGATAAATTGCGCCTATTTGGGGCCTACTTTTGGGCCGTGGTTCTCGCAATTTACACTCTGCTCGAGATTTCGCTCCTTCTGCCAAAATTGAGAACGTCAAAGGGATCAAATCGAAACATTTTGTTTCTACTGGTCGACATATTGCATTCTGGGATTAATCAGATCAGCACAATTATCTCGTTTCTTCTCATCTTTAAGAGGGACGCGATGATTGCTTGGTTCAATGGGATGCTGGATTTGGACGCAGTATTGCAGAGTATGTAAAAATTTACAAAAAATATATCATATCCGATTGTATATGGGATATCCGAATTATCCGTCGGATTGATCCGATCGGATCAAAAGTCTTATCCGATACAATCTGATAGTTCTCGGATATTTTTGTTCAAGGACAATCCGATCCTATGATTTTCCGATACGATCCGATGATTATCCAAGACGATCCGATGATTATCCAATACGATCCGATGATTATCCGATCCGATCCGATGATTATCCGATCCGATCCGATGATTATCCGATCCGATCCGATGATTATCTGATCCGATCCTATGATTTTCCGATACGATCCGACGATTTTCCGATCCGATCCGATGATTATACGATCCGATCCGACGGATCGGATATTCCCGGATAGGATAGACCTACCCTAAAAATTACCATGGTAGTGGAGTCACATATGTATCGTCACCTCCTGGTAATATCCTTGAATTTTTAGAGTGCATTATGTAAATATCATACAAAGAGTAGGCAGTTCAACTCTGTGTGTCTGCTTTTTTGACTCCCTCACTGAGATTTCTATGACTCGTTCTCGCTCTACCCCTCGAGGCAGGTTGAGACGACGGGCTTATAAAAGTGCTGCTCGCATATGCGGGCTAAAAAGCTCGTCAGTAAATAATTTATTGTTTTTTTTGCAGGACGCCTAGCTCACTGCATTCCAACCTCTCACAAACTTATAAAAGCCAACAAAATTTGGCACATAGTCGTCCCTGTGGCCTGGAATTGGTCCATGTTTACCGGAATGTTGCCTGGTTTCGGGCTCCTCCTTTTTGAAGAGATCGAACCCACGTACCGCTTTTTAGAAGCATTGTTCGGAATCAAGCCAAAAATAGAGCTAAAATTTCTCCCGTTATGGCTAACTTTTATGTTATTTTTGTTAAACGTCCTCACTCCCCTGAGCACAATAATCTTGACACTTTTCATCTATTTGTTGTCCTCGTACGTCTGGTTGGTCATGATTACACCGACCGACCGACAATTAATTGCAAAAAATGGTAACGGTACGATTGTGGATGCAAAAGAAACGTTTGGGGATTTACAAATTTTGCAAAAAATAAGAAACGGACGGATTAATTTGACCGAGTTTGAATTAAACACCCCGCTCGGCCAGGTACCGTGGTCACGGCTGATCTCGTACTACAGGTGTCAACAAGTCTTAAACACGATGGTGAACGGGATGGTGCAAAACGTCTGGATGGGGAGTCACCTCGGTTATATTCTTATGATATTGACGTCATCGCTTTATTTAAGTATAAGGTAAGGAAATAATTTGAGTATTGGAAAGATCATTTACGCTGGAAGCAGGGTTTCTGCGGGTCTCTTGACGGCCTATGCTTCGCAATACATGCAAAAGCCACTTTTGAAATTGGCCTCGAAGTGATTTTTTTCTTGTGGAAAATTGAAAAATAGGACATTTTTGTTCTTTCGTATTTTTTTGAAAAAGTGACCGTGATCTTTAAAAAAACACTCGATTTTGCTATTTTACATGCCTGTATACGTAAAATAGCAAAATTTCAATCTTTTTTATCAGGTCAATCGGTCACTTTTTAGAAAAATATGAAAGAATAAAAATGTCTTATTTTTCGATTTTCTATAAGAAAAAATCATCACGAGGGCAATTTCAAAAGTGGCTTTAGCATGTATTATGAAGCATAAGCTATCCAGAGACCCTGGTTTAAAGTTAGATGTGGAACAATTTGAGAAAAGAAGGTCTCACACTCAACTCTTTTTTTCTTTAATAGGCACTCCGGGAGTATCGCATTCCCCAGTTTTCTCGTCTGTCCAACCCTCGTCATCGCCGTGGTAATCCTGCTCGTCGTGGAGTGTACAATTGTAGGAAATTTGTACGAGGTTTCTGTATCGTTTACGAAGAAATTGAGCCGTTCCAGGAGCGGGAAGAGCGCTGGTGCATTCCGTAAAATTTGTAAATCCCTTCGACCGATTAAACTGGAATTGGCGAGTCCCTTCTTTTTCGTAGATAGAGGCCTGATTTTCACATCCTTGGATAAAGTATTGAATTTTGTCATTGAATTGTTATGTATTCATCAGTAAAGCCTACTACTCAGGTGGGAATTTTCATTTTCTCACTCGAAATGGGGTGTTCGCGTTGCATAAATTTTCGCCTTCATTAAAATTAGTCCGATTTCGCTGGAAACTCCAGTATAAATATAATTAGATAAATAAATTAAAGTGTTTATAAATATAACATATTTTACTTCATTCATTTTCTCGTATTTTTGCATAAGTTTTTTACTTGAAAAATCCCTCCTGAGTGGATACTAGGCTTAAGAAATAAATTTGTAGTAATTTACTCAAATTTAGAAATCTTTTCGTTTCGGAATGAAAGTAAGGTATGAATTGTTGCATGGAAAATAGCAAAAAATACTAATGTGTGCAGAAATTCGAGGAGAAGACAATGTCAGAAATTATGTATTAAATTGTCCCATGCCATTCATGAATAATTTATGTGTTTCACTCCTGCGTTGAACAAGTTTAAAGAAAACTTATTTGTAATTAGTTTTACTTTAGTTTGAAAGTTATTTTTCTGTGTTTTAGTCTAATGGATAAATACTTTTTGTCTGACAAATGCATACATAACCTGAGAAATTTATCAGTAAACTTGGGTTAGATGTTGACCCAAATTGTGCAAAACAAAGCTGAAACAGTAAGCCTGTAAGTACTTATTTTGGGTGGGAGCTTTCCAGGAAAAACTAAAAGTTGCAAAGGGAAAGTCTGTTTAAGTTTAGGAGGAAATTATACATGCAAATAGCAAAGTGAACCTATGCAGATAATTTTTTAAGTTCACTATTCTAAATTTAGAAAATCACAGGAATAACCATTTAAGGTATGGTTTATTAGTCGTGAGACGATTTGAAAGTCGGCGTGTTTCAAACCGGGAAGATAGAATGTCAAGAAAATTATTGATAATTTTCATAAATACGAATATCTTGCAAGCGTAGTTCTAACCTTATTTGGTTAATTAATAAATTTCAAAGTAAGACTTGTGGTGTAACAATGTAACATATTTTGTTGATCATCGTTATCCAGGGTAAAAATATTCACAATTACATATCGTCGGCTTAGTGAGTAATGCAGTCAAGTCCAAAACGCGTCAAAGCCAGCAAAATTCGTTATGGACTTGACTGCATTTCTTTTTGACGCGTTTTGGACTTGACTGCATTATTCACTAAGCCGACGATATGTACCAAATGTAGCCGTACAATCGACTACACTTATATGCACTCGTTCTCTGCCAAATAATGATCCCTGTTTGCTAAAGGCTCCCAACAATGAATGTGTCGACGCTGCAGGTTTAACAAATGAAAAGATCTTTATTTAGAATAGTCACCGAATATCAAATTGACAGTCAAATCTAGGAGAAGACAAAAATGTGTGTTGCCACACGAAAGGACAAATCGAATCTTAATGTATAGAATTATTCTTCACAAAATCTTGGCCACTCGGCCCACAATTTAAGTTCAAAGGCCTACCTGGTTTACCTTGATTTTAACCTTGATTGAGCCTTGGTTTAGCCAATCACAATAAGACACAAATATCGAATGTTCAAGAACTTTTACAATAACCAATCAGATAGAATTGAACAGACAAGAATTATCATTATCACAAATAAACAAATATTAATTTAATTAAGTTGGGTGAAACTGCAGGATTTCAGGCGCTCACTCAACACAAATTTCCATATCAGTTCGTTTCAACTCACACACACAATTCACATCATGAATGTCATAACTTGGGGCGTTCCGCAACACCAAATTTAGATACATTTGAAAAACGTGACGGACAAAGTTGGTGTAAATTCAAGAAAGTTGGACAAATAGGATTGTTGGGAATTGTTTCATTTGAGTAAAAAAGACAATATTCAGGTTGTAACATAATTCAGCTCATCTTCCATGCACATGGGGTGTGGCGAGTCGTATCTGGATCTCGGGTGGCTCGTCAATTTCAAAACACCACGAGAAGAATCGTCATACAAGTCTCGAACACGACAGAAGTCTCGAACTGTTTTTTGCGATACCTAAAAATGTTGCACTGTAATTTTAATACGTCTGTTTTCAATTTAATATCAATTTTATATTGGGCATACTCACGAAAACATCTTATTTCGCATCGCAACTCATTCAGCAAACCTGCGAAGCTAATAAGGTCTTTGTCGTGAGGGGAATCGCAAAAAATGACTTCGCAAATCTCGCAAATCTTTCTAAAAACACCTATTTTGCTGTTGTTTCCATGGATTTATGACTAGTAATGCTGAACATAAGTTTGCAAAATAGCTTTGCGAAATAGGAACATGCCCATTTGATGGGTAAATTTGTGAAAAAAAAATTACATGGTTTTCCAGGAAAAGTTTTGCGAAATCTCGCAAATTTGGCAAAGGTTATGTTGCGAAATTTGCGAAGGCTGACGTGAGTACGCTCGTTGTTAAAAAGTACCGAGTGCCCCTTGATGACGAGATATTTTAGTGCTTCCAATTTTTGCAAGGCGTAAGAAAGCCCGATGTCTGTTACACAATCGTTGTTAAGTCTCACTCCTTGATCCCTTCGCCGGAACGGACCGCTATGAACGGTCAGTTCCCTCAAATCTGAAGATCGGGATTAAATAATAATTGGCACATTTTATTAAGAGTGTTAAAATTTGCAAGAATTGATTTTAAAGAAATTTGTGTGTAAAAATTACTGGCAAATTCAAAGTTTAAGAAAAAAATAATTTTCTAAAATATGCCAACTTATATTTATCAATACACTCTTAGAAGTCCGGTATTAAAGTAATACTCATATAAATAAATATGTATCTACGAGTGTGGTAAGTAATACTCACATAAATAAATATGAATCTACGAGTGTGGTAAGTAATACCGTGTAGTAATACATTATAGCTGCATAATTTACCATATCCGTAGCAAATTTGTATGGACGGACCGAATTAAAATTTTGATAACAAGCGGTAGCATAATTAATACTGAAAAGTAAAGATTTCTAAGAGTGCACTGTTCCATGCATGAATTAAGGATTTGAGAGTACGCTACCCAGTGTTTCGTTTCTTGCGGGTTTGCAGCATTTCTTGCACTGCAAAGCAAGAAATGCAAGAAACGCAAGGTGCAAGAAACGCAAGAAACGCGACGCCATCTAGCGACGTGCCCTATGAGCTATAGCGGCGGGAAGGAGTTTCTTGCGGATTTGCGTTTCTTGCGTTTCTTGCGGGTAAAAATAACTGCAAGAAACCACTTTCTTGCGGTTATTTCGTGCAGGTGGTTACTTGCACCCGACGCCACCCTGATAATGACAGATCTTGATATGCGCTTTGGATAGTTGGTAGGACCCTCAAAAGGGTTTGATGCCATGTTACCATTCATTTGCGCCCGCCACTCCAATGCGGTAAACTAGACACACTAAAACTTTCGCCAAAAATCCAATTTTGCTCGTATTTTCATAATTTTTTCATATTACTGATCCTACATAGGTAGATAGTTGCTTTATCATACTCGACACCAACCTCATCTTTTTTTGAAAATTATCCAACCGAAATTTTGATTTTGTCAAGTCAATTTCCATGCTAAAAAAATATTTTAAAGTTTTGAAAGTTTCCCAAACGTTGATTTTGTTATCGGATATGATAAAAAAACTATCTGGGATCAATATTATGTAAAGATTATAAAAATCTGAGCAAAATCTGGGCACCCCTTCAAAGGGTTGTTTCGGGCGAAATAGAGCCATGATGTCAAACCGCTTCACATTTTTTGTCTTCTGACACGTCATATCCAGGGTTTCCTCGGGTCTCTGGACAGCCCATGTTTCACACTAAATGCCAAAGCCACTTTTGCCTCGTGGTGATTTTTTTCCTCGTGGTGATTTTTTTCCTCGTGGTGATTTTTTTCTTATAGAAAATCCAAAAATAAGACGTTTCTGTTCTTTTTAATTTTTCGAAAAACTGACCGTGTGATCTGTTAAAAGCAATGACATATTGCTATTTTACATGCATGTATGTATACGTAAAATAGCAAAAGTTCAATCTTTTTAACATGTCACTTTTTCGGAAAATATGAAAGAACAAGAACGTCATATTTTTTTATTTTCTCAAAGAATAAAATCACCACGAGGCTAATTGCAAAAGTGGCATCAGAATGTCTTGTGAAGCATAGGCTGTCCAGAAACCCAGTTCCTACCGCATATCCAAAGGGCATGAAGATCTGTCATTATCAGGTTGGCAAATTGTCTTCCTAAGTTGCTTACGTTTCAAATTAGTGATGGATCCGAACCGAGGTTTTCCAATATCCCCACACATTTTTTTGGCTTTTTTCATCTCCTTTTTACTAAATCCGGTCAAGATTTCGTCCAACTTGAGAAATCCTGCGGTGTCAATGTTACAAGTCTTGTCCAGACCGACGCACAACGTGCAGGACTCCATGCCCGGAAAACTTGTCCAAATCTCACGCAACGCATGACCCGACTGATATCCGAGCGATAATTCTTTTAAATTGGGGAAAAGGTGGCCTAACTTTTGAACATGTTCTGGCCATAATCCCCCCGCGGGAAGTTCCAATCCCCACACAGAGGGCGACTGCTGGTCCCAATTATCCAGTAGGAATGTTGAGAGATTGATGTATTTCGCACATCCAGAAATCCTGGAAATATTATGGCGAGGATGGTAATTATGTAAATTGTGAGGTTCCGGACTTTGTACTATTTAAGTTCTATGAGCTAAGTATGTCTCCACCTTAATTTTAGAAGGGGAAAAATTAGGGTTTTTAGAAGTTTAATACGACCACCGACCAATAATCCTGAAAATTGCTTGAAAATGCACAAAAATAATTTTAGGGCAGATGGTATTGTAATCATGCAATTTTCTAAATTATTGGTTAATTATGGAGTCGGTCTGCTATCTACAGATATTTCCATCATCATCTCAGTATTTTAGCACCAATAAATTTCCCCTTTCACTAATAAAGAAATCAAATCTTTAAAAATAAAATCTTAAAATATGGTGTGATAAGGTCGTAAATCACTAAAGTGTCAAACAACTAAATCTTACCCCCATTTGACATGACAGAAAATGTAAAATTTCTTGAAAATCTGAAATTCCCTGCAAGAAGCGATTTTCATTTATTATTAAGCATTTTTATGCATTTAAATGCACCCTGCATGCATAAAAAAAACTCGAAAAAAGAATCACTGGTTCTAGCTGTTTTTCTAATTAACGACAGCACTTAACACATTAACGTTAACACACAAACGTGTGTTAACATTAACATTAACGAAGTAGTTAGCCCTTCTCAAACTTAAGGTACGAGCGCACTTATCTCATTATGGTTGAATTTTTAAAAGAAGAAACTAATTTTTGAAAACTTGTCAACGATCCACAGTGACCTCGGGGGGCGATGGTGTGACGTAAAATTCACGATTAATTGAGCCTGACGTATCAGGTGAGAAAATGAACGCAATTTTACGGTCACCTGACTCCGAAAAAAGTCACTGAGGAGGGACGATGGTTGACGACTTTCCCCAATCCCCTTTCCAAAAATTAGTTGCTTCTTTTAAAAACCTACAGTGCAAATTTGCATAGCCCGAACAAGGGTTTGAAACGGACAAACTATGAAAAAATTTGGATAGTTACCACCATTTTCATAAATTGGTGTGCGTTATCTCGGTGGTCCACATGGTTGCAAAATTTTATCAATTTTACTTCAAAATTACTATGTGTAAGTGGTAATTTACCACTATGTCAAATTTCAGCTCAATACAACCATTTTCGAAAATCGGTATGGGTCACCCGATGGGGTTCCTCATATGGAAAATTTTCACTAATTGACTGCACATTACCTCACTAGAAACTATCAGCAACCACTCTACCAAATTTCAGCATTCTATGACAATTTTGGAATTTTGGTGCATATTACCCCCACCATCTATATGACCCCCACCAGTCAACCTCTTGACCGATCATGCCCATCTTCGAACTTGATTCCTAACTTTATCCCATATACATATGGTGAAAATTTCAACTCGATCGGATAGCCCGTTCTTGAGTTATCGTGTCACAGACGACAGACAGACCGGGTACATAAGCCCTTGTTCGGGCTAAAAATTCAACCATTGTTGGACGATATTTTTTATTTTACCAGTAAAGTCTCTGCTTCGTAACGACTCTCCCACCGTGGAAGACCGAGCCGAAGTAGTTTTAAATTTGGCATCTGTTTGGGAAACGTGATACCCGTTCCGGCCAAATTGTTCGAAATTGCACAAACTATAAAACTTTCGAGTGTATTTGCTTGAACGTGTAGAAACCCGAGGAATTGTTGTTCCCCTCCGATTGAGTGAAGATGCCCAATTTTTAGCCATTTCAAATGAAATTGGTCCTTGTTTCTATATAAAGTTTCCAGAATGGCACGGTCCATTCGTTCAAGACTTAAATGACTCAAGTTTCTCGCACTGCGAAAACAATTTTAGAGAAGATTTGTAAACACGTACGTAAATAGTGACAAGAAGGATAGAACGCTACATGACCTGGTGTTAGTAAGCAGGGTTTCCCCGGGTCTCTGGACAACCTATGCTTCACAATTCATGCTAAAGCCACTTTTGAAATTAGCCTGGTGGTGATTTTTTGTCTTATAGAAAATCGAAAAATAAGACATTTTTGTTCTTCGTATTTTTTTGAAAAAGTGATCGAGTGACCTGATAAAAAAGATTGAAATTTTGCTATTTTGTGTATGTATGTAAAATAGCAAAGTCGAATGTTTTTTTACAGGTCACTCGGTCACTTATTCAAAAAAATACGAAGAACAAAAATGTCCTATTTTTCGATTTTCTATAAGACAAAAAATCACCACGAGGCTAATTTCAAAAGTGGCTTTGGCATGTACTGTGAAGCATAGGTTGTCCAGAGACCCGGGGAAACCCTGTATACTACTCTCCCGATACTGACGGTTTTACCGGACTATTTAGGGCGAACTACCAAAATTCCAGTGTAGTCGAGGCATTGAAATTGAACACAAGTAATGTCTTTAAAAATGTGCCTAATTTTAACGCCGTAGTCGATTTTTAAACTGTAAAAACTTTACCGATCTGCGCCCAAAAGTCCGTGAAGAACTTGTTCACTTTGTGACCAGGTGATAGCTTCCCGTAGATTTGGACACATTCGAAATAACCGCGAGAAAAGTTCTTGTCCTATTTCCGTAGTCGTGTGACACTTCTTAATGGAGATCGTTTTAATTTGCGTGGCCACCTTGGTGACGGCGTAGTTGTTGAGAAAAGTTTCGGATCTCTGGTCCAGGGATAAGTCAGCAATTTCAATCGTTTTCAAATTTGGCGCTTCATCACTTGTCAAGATTTCCATCAATAATTCCAGAGAGTCGGAAAGAACCCACTGAAAAGTTAAAGTTGCGACGTGCTGGCCACACTTGGCCAAAAATAGGCTCGCATTTTTTGGTTCGTAAAATGTAAAATTAGAGTATTTCACACAGTCGGGCCCAATGGTCGAGACATAGTCGCAATACTTATCGATGTCGGATTGCCCCCGGGATAACGCTAAGAAAATAGAAGCAATTTAGTAGTTTTCTTGTATCTACAAGCTAAACTACCGTAGGAGTGCCAGACAAGATGTACAGTGTACATTGTACACCTAAAATGGTGCTCCGCATTAATCCGGTTTTGGCTGGGGTCGGATTCGAATTCCAAAATTGGGATCGGAGTTGGGATTCGATTCGCGTGTCTGATTCAAGCGGAACACTAACCCAAAACGGAGCGCAAGATGACTTATTCAGCAAAGTGCTGGAATTTTTGTGGGTTGGGGTTTCTGGTTTTTTTGGGTTTTTGTGGGTTTTTGGGGTATTAAAACCCGGAAAACTGCTTAATGGGTTTTTGTGGGGTTTTGCGGGGTTTTAGGAAGATTTTGGGGCTGATTGAAACAAACTTCTTCAAAATACATATTAGATTAAAACTAATTTAATATTCGCATGAAATTTTGAGAATTTTCATGTGCAACTTGAGTTTCCAAGTGTTATTAGCAATCAATTATGTTTTCTATTTGGTTTACATGTTAAAGACAAATTTTTGTTTTGAAACGTCATGTCACATATATGAAAATTCATAAAATTTCATTCTGAATCCGAATATTGAACTAGTTTTAGTCTAATATGTATTTTGAAGTAGTTTGTTTCAATTCACTCCAAAATTTTACAAAAGCCTATACAAACTCCAATAACCCACAAAAACCCCAAACACCTACAAAAACCCCAAACACCCACAAAAACCCCAAACACCCACAAAAACCCCTAATGCCCACAAAAAACCCCAAAGAAAAACTACTGAGGCGATATTAAGCAATGTCGTTATTTTGGTATGGGTGGCTATACTGGATTATCGCTGGACACCTCGAAAGTTACTTTGTCATAAATTTGTTTGGGTACTCAACGTATGGAAAATATTTATAGTTTATTTGTAGTTTTATATTTACAAAAATAGACTGCAACTTTGGAAATCATTCCTTTAAAGAGGGGCGTCGCGACGGAGCCCCAGTGGCGATTAATCATTCGACAAACGGCGACATCCTTGATTTTCAAATACTTAAAAATGTTTTCCAGTACCTAAATAAATAAATACATGAAATTGATTTATCACGGAAGTTTAAAAAGTGTAAAGTTTTAAAGCTCACAAGATCAATTTGCAATGCGCCCACCGTCTGATGTCGTATCGGCTTTTGCTTACTCATATTTCTGCACTCTAAATAAAAATAAGTAAAATTTACTGAAATAGAGGATGGGACAACAAATTGTTGTAAGCAGTTTGGGAAAATTTATCCAGCCTTGTCTAAAATTTGTCATCTTACACCTTTAAAAATCCGGCGCAAATCGTCACAATGACACCAATTAGTGATAAACTTTGGTGAAGAGTTTTCACTTATTGGTGCCAATTTACTACCGAATAATATCACTATTCGGTGTATGTAGTCACATATGCACACTGCGCGGTGTCGATTTACACCGGATTTGTAAGAGTGTATTCATCATTCAGGAGTAATTTTACTTAACTGTATTTTTAGTTTAGGAGGTAAGATACTACAAATTAATTGGACAATGCCACCTCACTTTTTACGTATGATGAACGAACAGGGAACAATTAATTTTATTTGGGATGCAAGTTTCTACAATCGTCTAAACATATGGTTTCGATAACACAAAATATTACAATATTGCACCGGGAGACAAATGAATACTGAAACGTTGTGGCCTGCACAACGCTTATTTGTATTTTGCACACGTATCAATATCAGTTATACATACGTGTGTCAGGCACGGGATCAGTTGGGATGATGAAAGTTTCGCAATCATACGTGTCAACATTAGCCATTTATTTGCACATACATCTAGGCTAAATTTTGCATGTATATATGCAAACTCGGTAGTCATTCAATCTAAAAAACGTGTCTAAAATATTCGCAATGAGGACAAACGTTTGTGATGATCACAAACGTGAAGTAATTCGTATAGGCTATTGTATACATAATTGAATACATATTCTCGTGACACCGACATCGTAAAAGTAAAACCCTAAAACGCTTTGCTTTACAACGCGGCTGGGAAACAATGACCTTAAACTATTTAAATATTCAGAAATACTGACAGCTTAGCAAAATTATGCAAATCAGCCGGAGACGTATCCATGAGAGGTTTTACTTTCATTAAGGTGAAATTGGATGACGACATTCCTAGCACCCCTACTCAAGTTGGACTCGTCCTGCCCCATAAGCATGCATGTATAGTTTCAATTGTCATCATCTCCCTTATTTCTGCAGCAAAATTAGTGAGGTTTGTTGCAATATGAGCTTAATTTATTTAAAAACAAACAAGTGTAGTTGAAATTTTGGTAGAAATGAATTTGAGCTGAGATAAATCTTTTCTTAGTTTATGAACTAAGAAACTAATTTATCTCAGCTCAAATTCATTTCTACCAAATTTCAACTACACTTGTGTGTTTATCAATAAACTAAGCTCATATTGCAACAAACCTCACTAATTTTGATGCAGAAATACCGGAGATGATGACAATTGAAACTATTTTTGTTAATTTTTGTCGAGATTGGGGTAAGTTGAACCCTGCGAAGCCCACGGCGGATCAGTCATAATACGTGAGTTTTACTTCATCACGAGGAAGGGGCAGTTTATTGTGTTGCCCAGGACTCATTGTTGTTTATTTATTCATAGTTTTACATCATTTCGGACGGGCTGAGTTGTTCGTCTTCCCAAGACACTGTGATCATATATTGGAGGAAAAACTTTGGATTAATTAATTATTTGGTGGACGTGGTCGCCTTGTACGCGACCTCGGTGGACGTGGTCCCCTTGTCCGCGACCACGGTGGACGTGGTCGCATTGTACGCGACCTCGGTGGACGTGGTCCCCTTGTCCGCGACCACGGTGGACGTGGTCGCCTCGTCCGCGACCACGGTGAACGTGGTCGCCTCCTCCGCGACCATGGATTTGACCTCCACGTTGCTGGCGTTGTATGTATGTATGTATTGGTGGGGTGACGATCCTGCCATAGTTAGACTGGACCGTCAGCTGCGCAAGCACAAGGGCTTATTGCAGTCTCCCCGTATACACCGCTTACTGTGCAGAGTTATGACTCTCACGATTTACCGATCTAATTTGATCAACAAACCGCCCTGATTTGATTATAAATTGAATCAGATCGGGCAGAGGCATAGTAACTATTTCCTCTGGTGGCACGTCGTGCCTCCCAAAGAGTTGTAACCTAAGGGCACAGTACTTGTCACAGGATCCAAGAAAATGAAATACAGTCTCAGGGCCACGGCCGCATAGGCACGTGGCCTCATCAACTAATCCCATTGTCCTAAGGTGCCCATTTAAAGTGCAGTGCCCAGTTAAGGTTTGTATTACTGATCGCAGATTATTCCGATTTAGGGTTAAAAGCTTTCTGCTAAGCCCTGATGAAGGGGCAAAGAGAAAAGCTTTAGAAGTTGAACAACCCTTGCTGCTTTTCCACGATTTGGTATGCTGCAATCTTGCCCAGTTTACAATGCTGGAGATTACAGTGCTTCTGGATAGAGGAATAGAGGGCTGCGGGCCAAGATACCCAGTAAGAGTACCTTCCTTGGCCAACAAATCAGCCACCTCATTCCCTTCAAATCCATGGTGAGAGGGGATCCAATGAAGTGTTACTTTCTTAGTCTCCCCAATATAATTTAGCATGTCAATAGCCTCAGCAGTTAGTGATGAAACTGGCCATGGGCTAGTGAGTGCTTTAATGGCACCCTGACTATCAATGAAGAAGTCAACGGTGCCATAGTTATGAGAATTTACACCCATAATTTCTGCCTGGAAAACAGTGGGTGCCCATCCCAGAGGAATAGAGCACCTCACAGCTTCCTGGACAAGAAACGTTCGTTGGACGTTGCTGGCGTTGCCGGCGACGCTGGCTGCGTGGTCGTCCTCTCCCCCTACCCGACTCGTATATGTTTATGGTAATCATCGTCCGACATGACGTCAAACTATGAATAAATAAACAACAATGAGTCCTGGGCAACACAATAAACTGCCCCTTCCTTGTGATGAAGTAAAACTCACGATTTTTATTATGATGACGGGTCCTGGGAAGACGTAAAACTCAGCTCGTCCGAAATGACGTAAAACTAATATACAACAATCGTTGTACTTTGAGCTTCGCTCAAATTTTGGGTGGGACAGTCCAATTTTTTGAGGAGTTTGGGGCAACACGCTACCATGTGCGATGTAGATGGGGTAACAAGAACCTTAAGTTTCCACACGTTCCGACTATCAAAGAGACACTTATGTATTTACGTGAAGGCAGGGCTCCTCCGGGTCTCTGGACAGCCTACATATCGTCGGCTTGGGATCAGTGAGTAATGCACTCAAGTCCAAAACGCAACAAAAAGAAATGCAGTCAAGTCCATAACGAATTTTGCTGGCTTCTGGCTTTAATGCGTTTTGGACTTGATAATACAAAGTGGTAAAGCCACTTTTGAAATTATCCTATTGGTGACTTTTATCTTATAGAAAATCCAAAAATTAGACATTTTTGTTCTTTCATATTTTTCGAAAAAGTGACCGTCTGACCTGTTAAACAGCATTTAAATATTGTTGTTTTACATGCATTTCCAAGGCGAGCAAAATAACTTTATTTCAACTTGGAAAAAAGTTTTAAAACCAATTTTATGTTAATCTGATATCCGAAAATAGGAGTGCAGCCATCGTCGCAGAAAGTCTAGCTGGTCAGGCCGGTGTATCATCTCCTGTAGCACTCCGACATGTGGCTCCTGCAACAATTGTCAATCCACCGCAAGTTAGGGAGCTCGATGATTTGGAACCGTCAGGAGTAGAAGCACAAGACAACGATATCCGAACTCTGGCTCGACTACCGTACACCGAAGGCGAGGATCCCAGAGTCACTTGGCAACGACAACTCATCCCAGGGAATTATAGTGTAAGTGGTGCCCCACCACCTATTACTTGTTAATCTTACAAATGTTATAGAATCGCAACATTATGAAACCGTCCACCGCAAGTCCAAAGTGTGGGGCACACGGAAGAAGGCAGCCCTTAAGAAGAAAACCGGCAAGGGCAAGGGCAAGGTAGCTTCTTCGGATCAGGTATGTTGCAAGTGGTGGGGCACCACTTACCCATAAACACTAACATGTTATTTTTGCTTTAGGAAATCAATACTCGGAAAAACAAGACCGCATTCCGCCCATCGTCAAAGTCCAACCTTTATGAATTGTAGTCCAAGCTTTATGAATTGTTTACAAAAAAATATGTTTTATCACCAGAAGCAGCACTGCTGTGTCTGCTTTTCTTACTTTTATCCCAGAAATCTGATTGCTCCGTAATAAATTAACCGTTCTGTGAATATTCTTGTATCTGTTTTTATTCAGTATCTTATTTTTTATAACAATCATAGTGTAAAGGTGGTGGGGCACCACCTGCTTACTAAAGGGAATCCAGTACACGTGGTGGGGCTCCACCTTCCTACTAACTAAACGGTATTCGCTGCATGTGATGGGGCACCACCTACCCTAGCATATTTAATGTAAATAGTATTGAGTAGCTTATTTGTTATAACAATCATAACTAACTTAAAGTTAGACAGGGAAAGTATTGGAGAGACCTACCCTAACATCCCTAAAATACTAGTGTAAAGGTGGTGGGGCACCACCTACTTACTAAAGGGAATTCAGTGCATGTGGTAGGGCACCACCTACCCTAGCTTTTCGAGTAACTTTTCTAAAATGTGTTTCTCTGCATGTGTTCTAATTGACACTCCATGTAGGAGCTATTGCCGATGTTTATTTCTTTCCTTCTGTACTACCTCTGGCTTTTGAAGACGGGGGCTGGAACACCAGAAGCAGCACTGCTGTGTCTGCTTTTCTTACTTTTATCCCCAGAATCGTCAGACTCGGAGTCAGAGTCATCTGTGTCGGAGTCAAAGTGATGCACTTTAGCTTTAGAATAATCTCTTTTTCGTTTGATAGGATACATATGTTCCGTTATCTCAACCAAATACACTCTTCTTCTAATTGCTTCTTTATCAGCTTCGGTCATCCCTGTATACTGCACCAAATAGTCATCCAAGGATAACTGGGATGTCACACATCTATTAGTTTCTGGCTCTACTGTTGCGTGTCCGTACCTGATGTGAATACACCTGAAAAGAGTATGCGAAATAAAGTAAGTGGTAGGGCACCACTTATTAATTACTTTAAAGGTGTTTTACAAGTGGTAGGTCACCACTTACCTTGTTGTAGACCTGTCTACTAAATACAATAATTCTTCAGGACTCCAGTTTGTCACTTTGAATTCGTCATAAATAAATCCGACTACACCAGGCCTAACCCTCCCTATACCCTCTTTGCCGGATATAACAAGATATCCTGGGAATGCAGCCTGTAAGTAGTGGGACACCACTTAGTTCATGTAGTAATGGTTGGAGTAGGTGGTAGGGCAACACTTACCTCTGGCTAAATAGACGTCTATATTCCGAACATTTCTTAGAATTCTAACTTGTGTCCCTAGAGTCTTATTAGATACGTAATCCCAAAATGATTTGGACATCAACCAAGCGATTACTACTTTGGCGAGCGATGTGAGTTCCATCTCAAAGTCCCACATCGTGTGCAGTCCTTGTCTGTATGCGTGTCTAGCGACCACTTCTTGACGTCGTTATGGGACGAATACCTCGTTTCTT